AATAAAAGTACAACATATGCTTATCCAAAGACAGTTTAGAAACAACAATACTTGACATGTAACAGCACTTCACATTGGCATTTGACAACTACAACTTCATCAAGATAGGCACAAACTAATAATGAACGAGATAACAGTTGACAGAACAAGGATTACACCACAAACGATTACACCTAAAGTTCCAACATAACAAAGCATTAACAATTGGCAATTAGCGCAGATTGAATAGACCAAATTTGGTAGATCAATCAACACAGTTGAGCTCAATAGCAACAAAACAAAAAAATAAGATAATAAAGTCATTAAACACTGAAGTATATACCGCAAATTCATTAACAGCACGCAATTTCGCAGCCAGCTCCTTCAAATCCTTGACATCCTTGACAAGCTTGAATGGGGTACTCTCTACAGCAGGTGGAACCAGCGGCTCAATACTGCCAGCATCTTTGTCCACAAAATCCAAAAAAGAAAGCTTTTCCTGCTCGCAAGAAATATTACCATCGAATATATCAGAGATCTGTAAGCACCAGAAGTTGACGCAAAACTACACGAGTATTTAGTGCTTGAGCACAGCACTTCAAACCAAACCATTCCATCAATGCAACAATCCTCGGGACATAGGGCTACAAGGAATTGCCTCAGAACTGAGTGAACAGGACAACCTAATGGAAAAGAAATAACAAGTAGCAGCCCTAATCCTATACTGCTCTTCTGCAAGTAATATACACATGCATGCATCAGGACCATTTTTTGTCAACAATTTTCCCCCGCAATAAACTCCAGTATCACTCTATTAGTATGACACTGATCAAAATTGAGCAGAGCCTCCCATATGGCTTAGTCCTAGTGGCCCAGAAGCTCAGATAGTGATGAAATGCTGAAGCGCAAAGCATTTCGAAAGACCTGATAATTATGAAAATACAAAAGGCTTAGACCCTTGTGCATGCATGCCTCACCATCACGGTTCTTATTTCAACCAGAAGAATGGCAAATGAAAAAAAAAGTCCGGCAACCGAAAACAGCCTACCAGGGGATGAACGAACCGCGATCCATCGGCACTCCTTTCCAGCCAGACATGCTCAAATGGCTGATTGGAATTATTTACTAATATGTTATGCTCCTCCTGCGGCCTTTTTATCGACGGAATATGGAACGGGATCTTTGCTTTCCCACCTGCATTTCCCTTCCTATCAGCAACCTTCACTGCCGAGTCCCCGGTGGAATTACTGACGGAGCTACCAGCCAATCCACTCTGTGGGTTGATCCAGACGTTCTTCTTCTTCTTCTTACCGCATACGGTCTGGAAACCATCGCTGTCCATAACCGAGTTGTTCCGAGCAGCATTTTCCTCCTGGCTCTTGCGCACTACCTCAAACTCATCGGCAGACGAGTCGAAGCGCTCGAATATATCGTCGTTCACGTTAACGAGCCAATCGGAGGCCTCCACGCAGTCGATATCGCCATCGCCTGGGAATTCAATCTCGTCCTTAAGGACGGCGCCGGAGGAGCCGATTGATTGGAGGAGCGACTGCGATTTGGTGGAGATTCGCTTGACGGGGGACTTGAACTCGTCGAAGTTGTAGAAGAAGTGGAAGTCCTTGTTGAAAGGAATGGTGCGAGAAGACGCGGCGAGGCTGGAGAGTGAAGAAGAAAGCGGCCCCGCGGTTAGGGTGCGCAGGGTCTGGGATTGCGAGGATTGATCAACGTCCATGGGGTCTTGGCTCATGGCACGACCAATCGGAAAATGAGAGGGAAAGAAAGAAAGAGGGAGGTTTACGTTAGGGTTAGGGTTTTAGAAGAGATGCTGCCGCGAAGAGGAAGAAGAGGACAGACGTGAGCCATCCCAACATTTTGCTTCCTTGCTCATATTAATCTTCCCGTTTTCTGTTTGGCACACTTAAAATCAAATATCATGGAATTAGGGGTGGCAGTCGTTCGGTTTCGGTTTAACCGAAACCGAAATTCCTATTATCGGTTAAACCGAGCTATCCTGCACACCTATCGACCACCGACCGTGAGAGTGTCACGGTTAGCCGGCCAACCGACCGGTCGGTTTTGGTTTTAGGCTCGATTAGTCGGCCAACCGAAAATTACATTTTCTATAAAAAAAAAAAAAATTAAAACCCGAAAATTCTGCACCACATACTTACCCCTCGGCCCTCTCTCTCCCCCTACTCTCTCTCGAATCTCTCTCCCTACTCTCTCTCCCGAAAATTCTTCTTCCTTTCCCAGAGAAAAACTCAAAAACGAAATCGCCTCCCTCGCCGAAATCTCTTCCTTTGCCTCCCCGAAATCGCCTCCCTCCTACCTACCCTCACCTCTCTCGTTCTGCCCTCTGCCTCCCCGTTGACGGCGACGGGAACAGCGGCGGCGACGGGCGTGGGGCGCGGCGACGGGCGCGGCGACTGACGACGGCCGCGGCGACTGACGACGGCCGCGGCGACCTGGCCTCCATGCAGAGGAAGAAAGAGAGAAGAAAGAGGGTGAGGGTCGGTTTGCTGTAGGAAGAAAGAGAGAAGAAGAGAGAAGGGTCGAAGGAAGAAAGAGAGAAGGGTCGAAGGAGTTGGGAAGAGTCGAAGGGTCACAGAAAGTCAGAAATCTTTTTTATATTTTCGGTTGTGGGTCGGTTGGCCGGTTAGTCACGGTTAACCGGCTTCGGTTACTCGGCTAACCGGACCCCTGATTTCCTCTACCGCCAACCGACCGCCCTCTTCTTCGTCGGTTTTTCGGCTAGCCAAAAACCGATCGGTTTGGTTGAAACCGACCGGTTAGCCGCTAACCGGAAAACCGTCCGCCAGCCCTTCATGGAATTCCACCTTTATTTTACGTTTACTGAGAATCTTGCCTCCCGTTTGGAAAGCATGAATTTTGTGGGTGGTTTGGAGATTTGAAAAATGAAAGTTTTGGAAAATTTTTGGTTATGTAAAATTATGGATATATGAAAGTTATAAGTTTATTATCAATTTGAAAAATAATATTGTTTGTTTTATAGATTTGATGATGAATTTGGTCATTTAGATTTTTCTGTATGAAATGAAATTGATATATATTTGTGGGATTTTTCCAAAAGTAGCACTGTTTTAAAAAAAAATTCAAAAATAGATCCCCACTCTGAAAAATTACAAAAATAGCACCCTTTCTGCAAAACCGCCACCCGTACCAGCGGTTTAGGCGAAAACCGCCACCCGGAGGCGCGTTTTTCAATGAAAACCGCAACCCGGAGGCGCGTTTTTCAATGAAAACCGCACTGGTAAGGGGCGGTTTTGCAGACCGCAACCCCACCATGCGGTCTGCTTTTTTTTCTTTTTTTGAAAAATCCTAACCTAGGTGGAAACTTCAAACGAACGTATCTTTGTGTTCAGGTATCCGATCGTCGCGATTTTTTTTATTCTGCATAACCTTTTGAGATCTTGCAAGCCGAATACTGTCAAATGTGGTTTGGAGCACAAAGTTATGGTTGTCCAAAGTTTGACGAAATCGGAAAAAAGCTCGTTCGGGGTAGCAAACGACCTTTTTGGGGACGAAGGCGGGACGAAACCACCTTCGGCAGTCTTCGGCTTGCAAGATCTCAAAAGTTTATGCGGAATCAAAAAAAAATCGCGACGATCGGATACCCGAACACAAAGATACGTTCGTTTGAAGTTTCCACCTAGGTTAGGATTTTTCAAAAAAAAAAAAAAAAAAAACAGACCGCATGGTGGGGGTGCGGTCTGCAACCAAACCGCATGGTGGGGGTGTGGTCCGCAAAACCGCCCCCTACCAGTGCGGTTTTCATCGAAAAACGCGCCCTCGGGCGGCGGTTTTGCAGAAAGTGTGCTATTTTTGTAATTTTTCGGAGTTGGGTGCTATTTTTGAAAAAAAATTAACAGTGCTACTTTTGGAAAAATCCCTATATTTGTCATTTGGTCATAAATTATGGAATTCAAAGTCAATGATCAAGTCTCACCTAAAAAGGTGGAATTTTCAAGTTCGGGAGGTCCCCAATCCCCGTATTTCAATTCTTAAAGTTTATGTGACCACGAATTTGTTGCCCCTAAATGCATAAAATAAATAATGAAGTTTGGACAAATTACATAATATATCCAAATTCATCATGAAGTCCATCACCAATTCCATAAAGCAAACAATCCCTTTATTAGTTCATTTCAACATGAAATATTTGTGGATTTGGAGTTTAACAAAATCGTTTTCATGTTAAAGTTTTGGGTTTTATGAAATTTGTACTAGTTATAACTTAGATGGATTTTTTAAATAAATTATATAATTAGTTATGAATCAACAACTCTTTACAATTAGAAATTAAGGGGTTGTGTTGTTTTGGTGATAGTTAAATTGATGTATTGTCATCAATGCATGCATAATAATATACATGCATATATTAAAATTGGTGTATTGTAGTTTACATCATTTGGTTTATGTGATAGCTATTATGATTCTTTTTAAGTTAGATTACTTTTTGAGTGAAATGTCACTTTTACCCTTTGTATTTAATATAAAAAAGCAACACACAAGAAAGTAGGGTCATAGTTGGGACAAAAACAAAACCAAACAATCTCAACCAAATAATCTCAACAATCTCATCCAAAACTTGAGATTTAACTATCACTCATTTTGAGTGATAGTTTGTGTCAAATAAAAAAAAAATCATGTATTGTTTGTGCAGAAATTCAAAAAAACAATACATTCTTTTCCTTGAGATTTACGGCTCCACTCATGCTTCTCTCAATGCTTTTCTTTTCCTTTGATCTTCACTCTCCGTCTGATCATTTTCTTCTTCCACTTCAATCCATATCTTTTTTAACCACTAGCGAAGGAAATTTGTTGTCTAACATTGATTTCTTTGTCTATCACGTTCCTATTCTGTACTCATTTGTTTTCATGTGCTCTCTCTTTCTTTTCGTCTCTAATTTTATTTGATTTATCTATATAATGAAGTTTGTAGCTAGGTGATCTCATATGAAATAGGTGTGAAATTTACCTGGTAGATACTAGGATCCTATTCTCTACGGGACCTTTCATTCCCCACTCTTTGGTAAGAAAGAATTTCAGTTTGAGTTTTAAAAAATGGATTGTAGGGTTGAGGTTCCTCGATCTTGAGCCTTTTGGCAAAACCCAGGAAATAAAGAAAACAAAGAAAAGACGAGACGATGGGAAGCACTAGAGGAGGCGTTGCATAGACTCTAGAGTTTTCTTAGACTCGCTCGAGAACGATAGGCGACATATAGGTAAGTGATTTGGAGGTCGCGTAGTAGTGAACGAGATAGTTTAGTTGAGAGAATAAAATACACACTAGCATATATTTTGGTATTGATCGGTATTTCGGTATATACCGATCCCAATCCCGTAATCCCTAATACCGAATAACAATTGAAATTCAATCCCAATCTCAATCCCACAAAATAATACGTGTATTCGGTAATACCAAATATAGACAAATTCGGTACGATATTCGGTATATCCCAAATACCAGTACCAAACTTCCAGCCCTACCCGTAAGAGGCTCCATTGCTATGGGGAAAAGGTAAGGGGAGATGGGACCCCCTGCCTTACACCCTTGGCTACCTGAAAAAACCCAAACAGACTGCCTTGGATGGAAATGCTGAAATATGCAGAACTAAGACAAAGATTAATCCATTGACAGAACTTTTCCGGGAAGCCCATTTTGATCATTAGTTCATTACACAAAGCAAATACTCCCAATTAACTGAATCAAAAGCCTTCTTTAGATCAATCTTCACTGCACATCTAGAAGAGATTTGATTCCTATTATAATTCTGCACTATCTCCTGAGCCATTAGGATGTTCTCTAAGATACTTCGACCTTGAATAAAGGCAAATTGATTTCTGCTGATAATGGAAGGAAGAACCATTTTCAGCCTATTGACAAACACTTTTGAAATGATCTTGTAGATTATGTTAATACAGGGAATAGGACGATAGGCAGTAAGAGAAACTGCATTAGGCACTTTTGGGATCAGTGTAAGAGATGTTGAGTTCATATCTTTTGGTAAGTTTCCTCCACTGAAGAAGTGTTGCACCCCCCTAATGATGTTAGGACCTATAACTCCCCAACATTTTTTATAAAAACCAGGTGTCCAACCATATAGACCTGGAGCCTTGGTAGGATCCATGTCAAATAGAGTCGTTTTGACCTCTTGTACAGTTCGCATAAGTACTTATTTGGTTTTGATACTTCGATTTTCATATTTTGATTATTTTAGTTGCATTTTAATACTTAATTTAAATTTTTATCTATCTTATCTACACATAACATAATAGCAGCAAGAGAAAAACCCTTCCCCCATTTCAAATTTGTTGCTCCAATCCAATAGCGTTTGTAGTAAGGGTAGAATAGGTAATACTAATTTTTTTCTCTTTCCTCTGTGGAACAAGCCAACTTACCGTACACGCGCGAACTTGAACGGTCCCAGAGATTGTTGCGGCCCACAAAAACAGAATAGGTTTTAGCCACACACATCTGTTCGGCCGGATTTAGGGTACCCAATTCGTGGGTTCCAAGCCCAAGTTCACGCTGCAATTCGGCAAAACGAAAATTTCTGGCAAGTCGTATACAATTCGAGAATTGATTTCGGCGGGAGCGCGAATTTGTTGTGGGAGAACGCGAGTCCGATTAAAACTACCCTTTTGCATAGAGTTTGAATTTTTTTTGAGCCATTAATTGTGTGAATGGTGAAATAAGAGTAGACTAAACGAGAGGCGAGAACACTGCCACCATCGGCTCTAAATGGATGAAGCAGATTGCCGATTAATTGAGGTCGGTCAAGATGAAAATGAAAGAACAACCAACGAGTAGTGAGATAGGGCTTTGAGACTATAGAGATACTTCGTTCTGGAGGAAACAAGGAGTTCCGACGTCGGAGAGATATGACGACAGTAGTCGATGTCGAACATGAAGAGTCGACACTTTTGAATTGAGGAGAATCATCCACCGTCTCGATGCTTCTGGTTGCTGGATATTATTGTCCTTTTGTTTTTACATCAATGTAACTATATTATAGAAGTACTGGGAATGGAAAGCCCAAAGGCCATTTACTAATAATCTTGGACTTTTTTGTGGCAAGAATCTTGGACTTTAATTTAGTTTTTACTCGAATTCCAAATTGTTAAATTTTATGACGAGAAAAATGGATCGAAGGATTAATACAATCTAAATGCAATATTGTGAAATATACCCTTTTTCATATTATTAATCCTTTATCCATTAATACTTTACGATTTATATATTGTTAATATAAACAAAATAAATGATATTTTGTATACTAATTGTCAATTATATTAATATAAAATAATTATATATAATATAATAATGACACTCTCATCACGCTCCCAACTTTAAGTTCTTCTAAAATAGAAGCTCTCGCATTCTTGCTTCCGCTCTCGCTCCACGAACTGGTTACTTAAGGCCGGACTGATCACCCACTCTCACGTCGTATCTACCATTCTCATCTGCAAGCCAGCTGCGGATCAACGAGTTATTTACAACAAACTCACCGCCTGTACCGACCTTCTACACCGATTTCGGTTCTTCGCAGTCAATTTCATGTGAAGTGAGTGCTTTCTTCCCCTTCTGGTGACGATTCCACCACTTCTCAGCCCGAGCCCGATCGAAAGCTGTTTTCCATACCCCTCTGTCTTTGCTTCTCTCCCGCCGACGAGCAGATCTAGTCGGGGAAGCGTGAAGGAGATTGGGTCGGGAGATCCATCCACTATGTTTGTGATTTCCACCCTCCTTCCCGTCGATCTGGGTTCGGTGCATTCATTGTGCTTTCTGGTTTTTTCCATGCGATGATAAAATCTAAAGAAATCAAGATCGAACAACACAATTTGGGGTAGGAATCGTCGTTTCTGTATTCCTAGAAAATGGTGGTAAACACGGACTCAGCTGCCGAACTGGTTTGGATTAAGATTTTTATCAGGTGTCAGGGAACCATGTGATTTTAAATTCAGCCTGTTTGACCGACCCTATGCAAAACTTTAATTATTCTTTACTTTCAAACTTTCTATTTGATAATAAAAAATAGTGAAAGAAAAGAAAAGACTGCAATTCGCCATTTGCACATCACTCCTTCGAGAACAAAACCATAGAAAGTCGAAAGGAAACTGAAAATATTTAGTATTGTTTTAATGTTAAAAATAACCAAATGCATCTTTATGTTTAGTTATTTACTAACAAATACCAAACGCTTTCCTATAAAATACACTATAATTTAACCATTATGATATCAAATGATTACATAATATATATTTGAAATGATAAAAATTGGACTAATTGGGTTGGTCGAGGTTTAACCATTTAATAACTTTAAAATACATTATATTTTAGCCACTTAGATATAAAATAATAGCATAATATATGTTTGAAATTAGAAAAACTAGGCTAATCGAGTTGGATCGTAGGTTAACCATTTAATCCTTTCTGTGAGTTGATGAATGGATTGTTCCATTCGAATTAATAATTTTGGCGACAAGATGATAGTTCTATAAAGAAAATTAGTCGGCCAACGGGCCGAGTAAAAGCTAGCAACGATTGTGACATGCTCATTTCTCGAAAACTGGAGGGGCAGACGATTTTTTATTCGGTTTCTAGAATTTGGTTTCTATAAACTTACTCCACCTCCTCATATTACCAGAAATAATACTTTTTCACAAGGTAACAGGTACTCGAACTTGGTTCATAAGACTGATTTTTTATTGCATCATTCATGCATCTTTTTTGCTAAAATTCACTATCTTTCTTACGTGTTTTCAAAAAAAACTATATAACATAATCTATACACCCCCATTACATTCTCAAATTTCATAACTCACCTCCTCCGGCGAATTGGCCGGGCTACATGCTAGTATTTACCTAACGACCCTTGGATCCTACATATGGCATGACGTTATTGGTCCGGTGATGTGGCCTACTAAATACTAGTCCGTCGGCTACGAGGAGTGCGGTGTGTAGAGCTGGCGGGCTCCGTCCCATTGCGAGATTATTTACGAAAGAAACGGAAACGAGGAAACAAAGCACAATTGTTCGGGAGAAAATAATTTCAAGCTCGCCGTTTGCTTCTCCGACTAGCTGCTCCTCGCTCTCGCCTGAGTAGAGCAAGAAATCCCCAATTTCCGTTAATTCGGCCGGAAGCGGCAGAAGGGTTTCCGGAAGTCGAGCGCAGGGTCGAGTTGGGGGTATGGCGATGACGATTGAAGGAGGAGGTGGAGGGACATTGTCGGAGATCTACCAGAGCGCGAAGAAACTGCTACTGAAAGCTCGAGACGGGATCGAGAGAGTGGAGCGGCTCGAGAGCTCTACCTCTAATGGAGGTTTGGATTCTCCCGAGCTTTCCTTCGCCGTCAAGAAAGATATCTCTCAGATCCAATCCCTCTGCGCCGAGATGGATCGTCTCTGGCGCTCTATAGCTTCCAAACCTCAACGCGATCTATGGAAAAGGTATTCGCCAATCGAATTTTCTACTTATCACTTTAGTTTCATCATCTTCGTCCGCAATTGGATCTGCAAATTCGAACCTACGTCGTTGATTCTCATTCCCAACCTTGTTGCAGAAATTAAAACCCTAAACTATGAGTCTGGATTCCTTGAAATTGTCTTGGTTGCTCAAGCTTCCAATTTCTAGTTTTGCACCGTTCAAGAGCTAGCAAATGATTGAAATGAGCTGATTAGCGTCTAGTCCCAATCCTTGAGAATTGCGATGAAAAGTTAACTTCTGGGTTTATATGTTGTTTGGTCACTGCGTCCTGCTTAAAGATACTATGACTCTCATAAAAGAAATGTATCGTTGAGATGTTCCAATCTCTCTTTCATTGCTGCAAGTTTGATTGTTCGAATTAATGTCATCTATCACAGAAAGGTGGAACAAGTAGCAGAAGAAGCTGAATCATTGAAAGAAAGCCTAGATAGATACTTTGCGAGGAATCAAAGAAGGATGAAGGAGGCACAAGAAAGAGCAGAATTGCTTGGGAGAGCGGTACTCAGTTTTATACAAATTCTTTCATGCCCAATATGGGTTGATGTTTTGTTTCTTTTTGAGGGTATTGGTAGAAAATGCACCATCTGATCAAATTTGTTCACACATTTCCAGAACGGGGAGTCTTCTCATGTGTTGAGAATATTTGATGAGGAAGCACAAGCAATGCAATCAGTCCAAAACTCTAAACGGATGCTGGAAGATTCTTTGTCCACAGGATCAGCTATCCTTACAAAATATTCAGAACAAAGAGAACGCTTGAAGGTAATGACAGTGTTGTGTTTGGGTAAAATAGTAGGTCTTCATACTGCTGCACTAGGCAGTTCTTTTCTGTGTTAATCTGCACTAGGAAATTTGATCACATGTCTTGTCTATTGCTTGAATTTGTGACTGTGTGAGTGAGCCTTGTAACGTTGGGATAAGTTCTCAGAAGCCTAAAAAAAGTTGAACAATGGGAAAACTAGGTGCTTCAATTTTCAGATTCTCAAAAGTTGCATCTAAGGCAAAGGATTATGAAACTATTGGTATTCAGTTTCTCTTGGAGGTTATTTAGGTGTGGGGATATTCAAATATTGGTATCAACACATGATGGATTTTGAAAATGATGTTGTTTGGATGGACTATTTGAGAGAAGTAAACTGTAAAATATGGGTCCCTTAAGTTATTAAATTGATGGAATAGACAAATCTTCCACGGAAAAAGTTGGGGCTTGGAGATATCCCAGATCCATCAATTTGAGATCCGTTTTTGGTTACCCTAAGTGATAGTCTCCGAATTTCTTCAGTAGGGAAATTTAAGCCAATTCTATCACTTTCTTTTCACGTCCAAATGACCCCTTTGAGTTTATCCTTATACAAGTAGAAGAGCTTATGAATTTCTTGGCATATTAAAAAAGGCTCTTTAAAAAGATGCTGCATGCTCTAACTTGTTTCTGCTATCAAGCGAGTTTTGCCGAGGTGTAGTTTGTGCTGGGCTATTGTTTTAGTTAACTATGATCGACGATCTTCATCACCTATGAGGAATTTTAGTATTCCAATGCCATAAATGTTCTTCATACGTCTACCGGTCTCTGATTGCTTGGTGAACTGTGATTGGCAGAGGGCACAACGGAAAGCTTTGGATGTGCTGAACACGGTAGGGCTCTCAAACTCTGTGTTGAGGCTGATTGAAAGACGGAACCGAGTGGATACGTGGATCAAGTACGTTGGTATGGGCGTTACTATCATCATCTTGTATTTCTTCATCTCTTGGAGAGGTTGAATTGGCAGCTCTCTTGGTCTTCCTCTGCTGGCTTTCTTTGTCCTTCGATTGTCTGCCTTAACACAGATGATAGAACCCATTTAGCATCCACAGGAAGAATGAGTTTGCAAGACATCATTAAAGATACGGAAAGATGTATATGCATAGAGTCGAGTCACATATTACGACGACGAAAGAGGGTCTTGCATGTTTTCCTTGGTGTGTACTTGAACCTGTTGGCAACGAATGCATTTGACTTGTATGTAGTTAACAAATATGGATTACATAATTTGATTTTGGCGGGTGGCTTTCTCCTCTCGTTTGAGTTGAGCACACTGCACCGCCCACTTACATATTACTTATTAGCTGCTACTCCATATCTGTTGCACTCTAGTTTGCATATGGGTAGTTAACGGTTTGATCTAAAGCACCGAGGGTGTATTTGTTTTATTCTTTGATTTTCTCAAACGTAATTTTCTCTCTGGTTAGTTGAGTTTCCAGCCTTCAGGCTGAGCTGTTGGCGTCGGCATCTGCAACGGCCGCAACTCTTTTCCTCCTCTATTATGTTATGATGAGTATCTCTTCTTCAACGATGGTTGCTCCAGCAATAGATTTCCTATCCTGCTCTAATGACGTGCAAGGTGTTCCTGTGAAACATCAAACCTTGGGGCCAAGCTGTTTGGGATTTCGGAAGCTAACCGGCTTACGTATATCTCCTTTGATTTTTGCTCTTAGACAGTGGCCAAGTTCGTGTCTCCCTGCTCTGTGATCGATTATTGCTGATACAATTGCCATCTAAAGCGATGTGTGATTAGATTCTACAAAGGTGAAAGTGATCTGTGGTTCTATTTTGAAAATTTGTTGTATCTGAGGCCATGGACGCCGACGATTCGTGTTGAGGATATGGGCAGGCTTTGCCGATCTGGTTACGTCTGTCAAATGTACAGTTGGAGTATGTCAATTTCTAGAGATTGAGTCGTTTAGCAAGTTGGGTGGGTATTCCTTTGGGGGTGGATCAAACAACTCGTTTGGAAGGTCGTTTGGCGACGATTCTGAATCGGTCGCATCGATGAACTCTCCGGCTCAAGTTGAACTCTCCGGCAAGTCGCTTGATTCCAGAACCAAGGAGGAGTTCTCCAGTGGTGGTGGTGGTCAACAGTGCGGAGAGGATTGGACGGTGGAGGAACGAGTTCTTCTCCTGCTCCCAGCGCTCTCGCTGTCGTTGATCTCGAAGAATTAGGTTTTTGTCGCGGGTGGGAGAAGGGAAATAAGAAGAGATTTTATCCGGTACAGGGTGTGGTAACAGGGTTCTAACCGATAACCGGTTTTCCGGTTACCGGTTTAACTGGTTTTCTTCCAGTAACGATAGTCGGTATCACTTTGAGAGGAAATGGTATACCGATAATCGGCTAGTCGGTAACTGATTAAACCGGTAATCGACCGATTATCACCCCTATTTCCAGCTTCTTATCGCTTCCAACAAATGGCGGAGTCACGATTCAAGATGGCAGGGAAGGCGTGTAGCGCATGGAAGGAGGCATTGAGGAAGGTTACTAACGAAAGCTATTTGTAAGTTCCTCCATTCCCAATGCATGCAATCAATTGACCCAATTATCCCATGAAATCCATGTTGATAGGCTTTCCTGAGGAGTTTTCCCAAATCTTCACGTGTTGGTTCACGAACGTATCTAGGTCTAAAGAATGGACGATTGCATTGTAGAATTTCTTCAAAGTCATTAGACCGTTAGTCTCACCAATATGAAGGTATTCATAAACCTTATTCTCAAAACTCCTTATATCCAAAAAGATTTCCAATTTTTAAAATTTCATCCTAGTAAAAGTTGTAGGACTAAAAAATATATGCAAAATCAACACAAACTTTCCGAATATCGGATTACGGAGCACAAAGTTATAATTGTCCAAAGTTTGACAAAAATGAAAAAATTGGTCGTTTGGAGTAGCAAATGCAAGATTGTCAACCCGCGGGTTGACCCACTTTGACCCTGACCCGGTGAGAAAATCGGGTTGTACGCACCCGCCGGGTTTACCGCTACAAGGTATCGTGTTGGAGGTCAAATTGTATAATTTTTTTCTTTGGTTTGCGAAATGCGCCTATTTTCCAATTTTTCTTTTCGATTAACTCAATCTTTGAAATCCTTAGTTGAACTTTTGAATATTTATGTTATATAAATGTGTGAATTTTCACAATATGTTGGATCTAAGTACGACATGCTACTTTGGTGTAATATTATATGTCATTACTCATATGTTAGATGATATTTGATATAATTTATCAGGATAAGTACAATATAATGACTCTTTCCATATGCCCGGGCTAAAATGTGCTAAAATGGGCTAAAACGGGTGACCCGTTAAACCTTGACCCACTAGATCGCCCGGGTCCAGGTCAACCCACGGGTTGACAACCTTGAGCAAATGACATTTTTTTGATTTTGTCAAACTTTAAACGATCATAACTTTGTGCTCCATAATCCGATTGTAGTGAATTTTTTTATTATTTTGCATAAATTTTTTAATACTACAACTTACTAGGAAGAAATTTTCAAAATATGAAATCTTTTTGGATATAAGGGGTTTTGAGAATAATGTTAGCTTTACTTTTCACATTTCCACATGCATTCTGAAAATATTTCTAGAAAAAAGTTGTAGTCCTTGGAAAGTTATGCGGAATCAAAAAAACATTTCACTACTATCGGATAACCGAACATAAAGTTAAGGCTATTGGAAATTTCAACACAGTGGATCGAGTCTGATGAACTCGATCCACTACCTCTAGTAGTATATCGAGGCTCTCTAACTCAATCCAACTAGTGGTTCGAGTCCATTGAACTCAAACCACTCAAAACTTAGGTATTTTGAAAAAAAAAAAGTTATAAGCATTGTATTTTAGTAATTTTTTTAATTATTACTGTATTTGGGGAAAAATCCTGGATTAGATCTGCTATTGACGAAGGCAAACATATATTATTACCCACATTGACCGGGTAGGGTAACCGTGGGTTCGGGCTTTGTTGTCATCCTAATGATTTCGATTAGTAAAAATCGGGTTAATTGCATGATTGGTCACTGAGATTACAAAAAACGTTCATATTTGGTCACTCAAAATATTTAAATCCATTGGTGGTACTTCACTTTACGAAAACCATTCACGTTTGGTCACTCTCCGTTAGCTGCCGTCCATGACCGTTAACAGAGTCCGTTAAGTGATGACGTGGCGGACGGAATTGCCAAATCAACACTATTTAACCCAAAATAGTTTGACCCGACCCGCCACGCCATTGAGACCCGCCATGTCATCGAAACCTACCCATCTCTCTAACCAAACCAGACCCGACCCACCAATTAAACTACCCACTAAAATTAAAACCCCAATCTTCCAATAATATATAGTACACTTTTGTGTATTTTTCTCCATTTCAAATTTCGTGCAATGAGAGTGAAAGTAGGAAGGATATTTTTGTCTTTATAATTAATTATTTATCTCACATAAAAAATTTCAACATTAGGATTTGAACTCGGGTCTCTTCAGACAAAGACAACAATCACAACCATTTACACTGAACAAATTTGTTGTGTCTTTTTGAATACAAAATATACACGAAGTTCAACTCTCTGAAAATCGCAGGACTTTCCATCATGATTAGCAAGCCCACTAAGTATACCGTATGTATTTTTATGGTGTTTGATACTTCAATTTTCATTGTAGAGTTTCATGTACTTTCTCAATTTTAAAATTATTTCTCTCTTTAATTTTTGCTAAAGGTAAATTGGTAATTGGCTAACATGAAAAAAACTAATTTTGTCACTACGTGTTGTGTCCTTGCAATTTTCAATTTAAATTTTGTGGTTTTTATCTTTGTTCTTATCTCTTTCTAACTTCCTCAAAAATTCCCTCCATCGTACAATAGTTTGCACCCCTTTCACTTCCCAGTACAAGGCCTCCTTTGAAAATCAATCATCTGATATCTTTTGGCACGTCGGTTTTATTGTTGGGTTTTAAGTTGGGCAAGTAAAAGAGTTTTATAAATAATGGAGTTGCAGAAGGAGGATTAGAAATTGAAATTTTGGTTGAAATATATGTCTCTTGAGATAAAAATTTGGTTGTACAACGAAGAGTGGTGGCTATTGGATCTTTATATTTATGGTTTTTATATCTATCACAACCTATTTCTATCTTAAAACGAGGAATCATTGATTGATTTATTGAAGTAGGTCGATTCTTTATTCAACCTACCGGAACTGATAAACCAGGAGTGTTTAATTTTGTACCTTATTACTTTGATTGAGTCTATTAGTATGTTGGAGATAACCCTAATTTTGTCGTTTGCTCTCAAGTTTTGATGGCCCCCTCTTAGCTGAGTTGTTAGTATATAGTTGACTTGAATCAACAACTCTCCATTTCTTTTTTTATTAGTGACATATTGTTCATAAAAGGAGCGCATTAAACCCTTATGTAGGATTGTGAGGTTTAAGATTTAGTTTCAAACTATCTATGAGTCGTGTGGAATTTCACTGAGCTTTTATACTCTCTTTCTTGACAATCAACTAATCAATAGCATTTTAATAAGGGCTTAATTATCATTATGAAAATGGAATTATTGATAAATTATATTTTTTTTTTCTTAAATGATATGGTATTTCTCCGAATGTTAGACCTATATATTCTTTCTTTATGTATCATCTTGATCGAAGAATTATCAATAAAATTAAACCGGTTGATTAGCTTAAACATAACATAAAAATATAAATAATTAAATATGAATATTCCGGCCAATGGGCCGGGTTATAAGCTAGTTTCTAAAACAAATCAACAGTTCAACACCCTCCTCTTCTCCATCCAGCGGCGGTAGTGCGAGGTCGCCGTGCTGCGAGAAATGGCACACCAACAAAGGCGCCTGGACTAAAGAGGAAGACGACGCCTCGTCGCCTACATCAAAGCCCACGGCGAAGGCTGCTGGCGTTCTCTACCCAAAGCCGCCGGGCTCCTCTGCCGCGGGAAGAGCTGCCGCCTCCACTGGATCAACTACCTCCGCCCCGACCTCAAGTGCGGCAACTTCTCCGACGACGAGGACGAGCTCATCATCAAGCTCCACTCCCTCCTCGGCAACAAGTCTGTCTCCTTCTTTACCCTCCTGTTGATTTTTGGCCGGCCAATAAAAGAATCCGCCGTTCAAATTTGTTCAAATATATATTTTTAGGGTTTTAACAATTTTTTTTTGTTTTTTGCTTTGTTCATATGGTCGCTGATTGCAGGAAGATTGCCAGGGAGAACGGATGACGAGATTAAGAACTACTGGAACACTCACATCCGGCGGAAATTGCTCAATGACGGGATAGATCTAGCGACTCACCGCCCGCTCTCCGAATCCGCTCAAGCCAGGAGCGGAGGAACGCCTCCCGCCGCCGTCGCGACAATAACCACCACTTCGTCGACGACAACGATTTCGTTTGCCACGGCCGCGTGCATTAGGTATCAGGAAGACAGTAAAACCGACGTCAAGAGGCTGGTCACGCCGTCGCCGACGGCTGCTGCGGTGGCAGAGAAGGAGGTGGAGAAGTGTCTGGATTTGAATCTGGAGCTGAGAATAAGCCCGCCGTACCAAGAACAGTTATACCGGGACACGGTGCCGTCTGGTAAGGAGGAGGAGCAGCAGTTGTTCTTCGATTGTAGGTTGGGTGGGGTTGGAGAGTAGCAAGGACGGTGTAGGTTTGGTTAGAGGTTTGGGTAGGTTTTGATGACATGGCGGGTCTCAATGACGTGGCGGATCGAGTCAGATTATTTTTGGGTTAAATAGTGTTGATTAGACGATTCCGTCCGCCACATCATCACTTGATGGACTTTGTTAACGGCGATGGACGGCAGCTAACGGAGAGTGACCAAACGTGAACGGTTTTCGTAAAGTGAAGTATCACCAATGAATTTAAATATTTTGAGTGACCAAACTTGAATGTTTTTTGTAATCACAGTGACCAACCATACAATTAACCCAGTAAAAATCATATTCGATTGTTGGGTAAGTACCCTAGGCACGTGTGGGCCACGTAATAACATTTCATTGCGTATACCGGACCGGTTGGGGGAGTTCTGCAACAAGAGGCTTTGGTTCACTTGGGCTCGGTCCATCTCACTTTCCCACCCACGGCCCACCCCATGCAAGCAGCTCTTATTTACTGTCGATCAGCACGGGTACGACGCCGTCTCAGCCCCGAAGCAAACCCTACTCTTCCTTCCTTTCCATGATAAGAAAACTCGACCTCCATCCATGGCGAGCGAGAACTAGTGCGACTTGGACTGGGAGCTCCCGCTAAACGTACTCCTTTGCCGTTCCAGAAAACGACGACGAATGATGAGTTCAGCATTAGCAAACCAGCAGCAGCTTGCTCGTCTAAACTCGTCTGCAAGCGGTGGAGCTCCCTGATCTCCTATCCTCGCTTCAACCGCCGTTTCGTTTCTCACCACAGGGACATGAACCGTCCGATGCCGGACGATCCATTGGAGCTGCTACGGATCATCCGCCAGCTTTCTCCCTCCCATGCCCCCGATGGAGTTGCAGACGCTCTGAGAGTTGTTTTGGACGAATTATCAAGAGTACGATTCGAGTGATTATTCGGTGGCTAGGTTTAATCCTTTCCGTCTTGATATGCCTCCCACTTCTATTGATACTCCTGCTGCATTATCCCCCTAGAAATGCTAGTGGTCTCTTTACATCTCACAATGTGCTTTGCACGTCATGGCACTAGAAAACGAAACCCTACACCACTTGTTTAACGGTGTGGAGACTCGAAGAAGACGATCAATCTTGGAGGAAACAGTTTGAGGGATCGTTGAGCAAGACATCAAAGTATTGTAACTATGATGTTGTTGGGGGCTGTTATCCACTTGGTCTACATCCACACAAACCGGAAATGGCCTTCTTTCATTCCATCGCCGGCAAGGATAAGAATGCTATATGGTGCTACGATTCGACAAGGGAAGAGTTGAAAATCTTCGGTGAACTAGCAGGGTTGCCGGACTGTCATGGCCTCTGGGTGTTCCAGCCTAGGGTTTCTTGCTGGCCGTCGCCAATTTGAAGGTACGAGGAGTTGCAAGGCATTTACAATGGAAGCCATAGTTTTTTGGTTGAGAGACAGACTCAGACAATAGTAGTGAAGCAAAAACTTTCTCCGACAGTTAATTTGTAATTGTTTTTACTCTTTTTTTTTTTCCTTCGCAATTTGTAGAGCACACAATAATGTTACAGAAAAGACAGATAGTTGTGACGAAAACTGTCCAATGGATGTAGAAAGACAGACAAATTCTCTTACCGGATTACTTCAATTCCAAAAAGTACCAAGGTCACGATGAGAGGGAAGGGTACTCTTACCTTCCTTATTTAGCTAGGTTTGTGTTTTCTTAGTGAAGACATGCAAATTCATTTGGTTAATTAGGTTGTCTACTACTGATGGGACGAAGTGATATTTTGAGTATTTGCTGTTTGTACGTACGCGTATTCTGGGCAATATTAAAGGTGGGCTTAATTGCAAGTTTGGTCACTCGAATTGCTATAAAATTTCACGTTTGCCACTCAAATTAATTTATTCCATTTATAGTCACTCGAATTAGTTGAACAGTTCAAGTTCGGTCACTCTCCGTTAACCTCTGTTAACTTTGACTGACGTGGCGGTCAACTCTGACAGTTGACCGTTAAATGTGTGACGTGGCAAATAAAAAATAATTAAAAATAAAAAAATAATTAAAAATAAAAAATAAATTTTTAGAAATTACACATCATTATAAAAAAAATTATAATTATAAAAAATGAAAAAAAGAAATTATAATTACCTGAGCTTCATTGCTGCCATTGGTAACCAACGGCTTAGCAATTTGAGGCTTCATTTGGAGTGATCGCTTCACTAGATGCCAGAATTCCTCTTCAGTTGCATTGAATGCCTTCTTTATCACATCAACAGACAAACCCCCTTGCTCACTCGCGAATTCTTCAATGAACAGAAGAAAAAAAAACAGATTAATTAGGGAAGGAACAATCAAATAGTCAAGCCTTCAAAGGAAGCTAAATAACCTGCTAGAAAAGCAGAATTCTAGATGCCCAACTGTATGCCATATCGTAAGAAATATGGATAAAGACATTCTACTGTGGAAGTTCAGTAAACAATAGAAGACAACACACAAGAATCCAACTTGCACAAGAAGGATGAGGAGAACGAAACCAGCAAACTAAATAGCTCATCCATGGAACGATTTAAGAAGGAATACGAAGTATAGACCAACGCCGGGATAACATAAACAAACACAACACAACTGAGAGAACGGGAAGTAGAATGAAAATCAAAACGAGGAACTAGCCGCAGTCTCAAAACCCTAATGCAGGCGAAGAAGTTTGAGGTGAGAAATTAGGGGTGACGAGAGAATTTACTGTGCATGAAAGGGAAGAGGTGCTTGTTGACAAATCTAGAAGCTTCCGGGCCACCATGTCCGTCGTAAATCCCAACATAAGTCACCGACGGAGACGTGAAAACCTGACTCTGATCCTCCATGTTCGAATTCGCCTGGACGACCGCGATCGAATAGTCTCCCTAGGCGTGCGACTTCAAATCCGAGTGCCACAACAGCCCATCGCTACCCCCGCCGCCGCGTCGGGCGAAGCATCTCTCCAACGGCCGGCAGCAAGAGCGCAGCATCATCGTATATCCCTCTGCGACCACCACTGTTTCTCACCCGCTCCGTTTCGTCGTTCTCTGATCGGCCTTTTTTTTTTGTTCACGGCCACTCTGTTCCGACCTTCCCCTGTTTCGTCTGCTCTGTTTCTGTTCGCTCGCTCCTCCGGCGCCGCCGTTGCTAATGGCAATTATAATTTCTTTTTTTATTTTTTATAATTATAATTTCTTTTTATAATGATGTGTAATTTCTAAAAATTTAATTTTTATTTTTTAATTATTTTTTATTTGCCACGTCACACATTTAACGGTCAACTGTCAGAGTTGACCGCCACGTCAGTTAAAGTTAACGGAGGTTAACGGAGAGTGACCGAACTTGAACTGTTCAACTAATTCGAGTGACTATAAATGGAATAAATTAATTTGAATGGCAAACGTGAAATTTTATAGCAATTCGAGTGACCAAACTTGCAATTAAGCCATTAAAGGTGATTTTAGAAGACATTAACTCATTAATGGATAATTTCTCAACCAAACATGGAATACTAAGTCAATGATTTTTATTTATTGATCTAATCAATACATGCTTTGAGTTAAAAAAATTATTCAATCATTCAAGAAACATTGATTCTTGTCCAACCTCATTAGTTTCTAACATTTAGCACACCTGCTAATGATGGTTCAATCTAATTTTGATTCATGTCAACTTATCATTTCATTATAGACTTGGTCTAACCCTCAAACAATAACTTTTGTTAACTAGTTTAAACATTCATACATTATTTTAATGACGATATTTGACCACTCTGTAAATTACCTAAACCCTAATTTCTCAAAATCTTGAACTCTAGTTCTCGAATGAATTAATCATAGACCCTCACTAGAATAAATTTCATACTATAATTCTATACATTAAGAATAATGATTGATGATGAGATATATCCAGCGTATCGTATTAGGGTTTATCGAGTTAGAACTTAGAATAAGATTAAATCACTCTGAAAAGTATAATTCTGATTAATTTATGATCCAGATAGTAGCTAGTATTTTACTAAGGATATGCAGTAATTCTAATCATCAAGAGTACCATAGAATTCCTCATTAATACACCATTGATTGTTAAATTTAAAGATTAGTCAATGATGTTTGACTCATTAGCCAATAACTAATACTTAGTCTTTCTCTTTATATATTTATGATTCTTAACCCTTCAAAATTTTTCTTAACAGAACTATCAGATTCTCTTATACTCATAAAATCAATTTACGATCATAGGTAAACCACCAATTGTTAAGTTTTATGTTTTGAACTAAAAATTTATATACCTCTTTTGAGAATAATCCTTGTATTCCCACAAAGTGATGTAACCTAATCAAATAATGAGTTGTACTTGGTGATGGCAAATTGGACCTATCTCGTGGATATTACTTGATCTAACCCGCGATGGGGCGAGTATTATCGGCTCAAAGTAGCGTGGGGTGGGGCATGGGTATCTACATCCGACCAGCCCTGCTTCGGTCCGCCTGGTTCTTGGCTCAATTCTATCTCAATTTCTTACATTATTTATACATATTCCTCCTATTTTGATTTTTATTCAACTAGTTAGAGTCGATCTTTCAACTTGTTAGACTTAATTACCCATTCTAGTACACTATTTTTCATCCATAAAGTGTTTTACTCTTCGTTTTATCGTTAAAAATAAAATTTGGGTGTATTTTTCTAAAATAACATGTAAGAGTGGGTCGACCCGCCCCGCCTCGTACCCGCTCGAGTTTTACCCTCCCCGACCCATAGTAGCTTGGATGGGGCATGAGTATTGAGGTACCCACCCCGCCCCATTGCCATCACTAGTTCTACTACACCACTTAAGCTCAAAATTTATTATTTGATTCTTGGTGAAGATCTTTTGATTAGAGAGACTCACTTTGTTGATTTATAGAGCTAGGCATATAAGGATGTTAATAGAAAATTTCTTAGCTATTGTTTACTTGGAGGGCTAATTATTTTCAGTGGATAAGTCAAAACTTTTCATAAATAAAAATGTATCGTGCTCTGTCCTCTCTCCTATGGAAAATCGTAGAAGCAGCCGAAGCAAGCTTCCTCTTCTTCTCCATTTGGTCTTCGAAGGATGAAGCCATGGAGAGCTCAACAACGTGGATGCATTGGGTGAGACTGAGATGGATATGGGAAGGGGTATTGAAGGTGTGGTCTGAGTTCAGGACACCGATGGCCCTATGATGCGCACGGTGGCGAAACAACGTTGGCTGGAAGACGCACGGGGTGAGGAGATATTGATGACCGAGAAACAATTCGGCCAGGCTAATAACCCTCGAAAGGAGGATGGGGACCCGAAATGGTGCCTTTGGAGAACAAATATTATGTCAATGGTAAGGAGTAACCTTGAAAACCGGCGATCAACTATACACCCTGATGGGGTATGGAGTCGGATTGATGACCGGACCACAACTCCGGCGACGGGAGGTGATGATCGTACTCTGGAACTGATGTGGAGTGGTTGGCGGAGAATCCGCAGTATTCGATTTGATGGGAATATCGAAAATATTGATAATATTAATTTTGAAATCAGAAGAAGATATATCTGAACCAAAATCAGTTGGGTGGGTGGGATGGTGATCACGACGGATCCTTAAGCCTTTCTATTACAAAGATTAACCTGTGGGTTATTCTCCAGGATCCCACCGGGTTCCCTTCATGGGATAGGATTCTTGGGGTTTCTTTAAATCTAGCCGAATTTTACAGCAACCTACTCGTACAAAAAAAATACAAGGGTTGGCTGGTGAACTGCTTGCAAAGAATAAGGTTCTGCCGAGCGCTTACCTTCTCGGTAATACATGGACTGTGTGCCTCGCAGCCGAATAATATCATCGAGCAGCTGGGGCAGGGTACTATGGCGGACTCGAATATTTGCCAAGACCAAATTGTGGAATTTTCCACTGAGGATGTTGTTGTGAGTATGCAGAGGGCGAAGATGAGCATGCTGGGGAGACTCTTCATCGAGAACCGACCGAGTCTCTCAGTCATCCACAAGATTGTAACAAATGCTTGGGAATGCCGTAAGAAGGTGCAGGTGTTGGAGGCGAAGATGGGTCTCCTTCAATTCTTGTTCGACGATGCTGAGGATATGGAATGGGTGTTGAAGCGCACGCCTTGGCCTGTTAAGGATCGGATTTTACAACCCCAGCGCTGGGCACCAGTTACGGAGGAGGTGTTTGATTCCCTAGGACTCGCGCCTTTCTGGGTTCAGATGTGGGGAATCCCATCTCACTACCGCACGATTGCGTTTGGAAGAAGGGTTGCGGAGACGAAACTGGGTGAGGTCCTCGATGTCGGGCTGTTCGGCATTAAAGGCGAATACAACCAGTTCGTTAAAGCTCGAGTGAAGATCAATGTCCTCGAGCCGTTGCGCTCGCAAGTTTTGGTGAGTAATGATGTCGCCGGAAAGTTTTGGGTGACGTTTGCCTATGAGTTCCTCCCCTTGTTTTGCTTTCATTGTGGGCGGTTGGGGCATATGGAACGCAACTGCATATACCCAGCGCCCATTGGAGAAAACGTTACAGTCAAGAGATGTCGACTACTGAGGTGGGATATCGCCTAAACAAAGAGACTCTCAAAGATGCCTAATTCAGTGCCCCGCCGCTGCCTCAATTTGTATGGGTTAATCCAAAAACAAAAGGGCAAATGGCCCTGAGCTCCGCGTCTGCCCGCGGTGAGAAACGGAAGCCGCAGGTAAAGGGTGCTTGGCGGGAGACGGATCTGGCTGTTCCTGCAGGTGGTGAACGTTTTCAAAAGAGTGCGCAAGGGAGTTCGCAGGGAGCTGGGAGCCGCGAGGCGAACCGCCAGGGGGGCAACTGGTTCACAAAAGGTTGGTCGTGGAACTCAGGCGGAGGAGATGGGGAATCGCCTGAAGTATGTGAGGCATCCCAAAGCGACAACCACCAATGCTCGCGGCAAGCACTCGACGGCCAGTGGGGGGCGGTCTGAACCTGTGGTGAAGGAGCTTGGGGAAGGAGCAAAGGGTGGAGTGAAAGGGAAGCCAAGGTGGGAGGAGGGAGTTGTCGTGGGTCGCGTTGCTGACCTAGGAAAACAACAGCATGGCGCTCGCGAGATGGGGGAAACGACGGTGGATGGACAGCCAAGTTTGGGGCCAGAGGTGTTTGCGACCCTTGGAGCTAAGCAAGGCGCGCCCTCGCCAACGAAGGGGCGTGTAGATACGGTAATGATTGGCAAACAGGCCACAGAGAAGGTGACTGAACAACAAAATGGCGAACAGGTTGCGGTGGTGCCGGAAAAGCAGGACGGGGGAGAGAGTGCAGTGATAATGGATGCGGCCCCGACGATGGCTAACGAATATGTGTCTAATTTGCCCAAGCTATCAGAGGTTTTCAGGATGGCTCTTGCGGACGAAGAGTTGGAGGATCGAAAGAGATTGGCGGAAATGGTGGAGGATCTTCAGCAGGATCCGACACCGTCGAAGAAAATTTGCGCGGATAAACCAGGCGAGGAGCCAATAGAAACGGTGGAGGAAGCCAACCCAAAATGGCCCCAATCGGTTAAATGAGACTTCTGTCTTGGAACGTGAGAGGGATTAGGTCATCCCTCACGTTCCAATCGCTGTTAGGGTTAGTTAGGGTGAATAATCTGGATTTGGTGTTCTTGTCGGAAACCAGATCTCGTCGAAAAGTTGTCACTCGCTGTATGCGAGTGTTAGGTTTTGATTTAGATTCTTGTTTTCTTGTTGATGTCGTTGATATGTCTGGCGGCCTAGCGGTAGGTTGGTCCCCGAGCATTTGTGCTTCGGTTCTTTTAGTTCTTCTTTTTTTATTTCAGTTCGGATTAATAATATGGAAATTCTGTATGTGGTGGTGTGTGTTTACATTAGTTGTGTTGAATCTGTGCGTAGAGGGCAGCTAGAGGCCCTTTGTGCTTATTGTCAGGGGATTTCAGAGCCTTTTATCATCATGAGGGATTTCAATTCGATCCTCTCCTCTAATGAGAAGGATGGAGGTTTACCGTGGGCCCCTGCCCAGTCCCAGGATTTTTGAGAATTTGTGGATTCGCTTGCTTTGCTTGACCTTGGTTTTCAGGGACCATTGTTCACTTGGACGAATAAGAGATGAGAGTCGCGTGTGTTTTAAAAAGGCTTGATCGTGCGCTAGGATCTTCTGCCTGGGCAGAGTCTTTCCCGGACACGATAGTTCTCCACTGTACGGATATTGGATCCGATCATCGGGCGCTCATTGTGGCTGACAAACCGTTTAAGAGAACGACCCAATGTTTATTCCGTTTTGATGCCCAATGGGTGGAAAATCCGGAGGTGCGTCTGATGGTCAAATATGTTTGGGATATTGTTTAAGCTTTGGACGAAACTCAAGAAGGTCCGGCATATGCTTTATGATTGGGCCCGTGCCGGGGTGTCTAATTCGGCAAGAAATATTCGCTCTCTCCAAGAGGAGATTGAGGCGGTCAGGCGAGTTAATCCGGTGGATTGGGATAAGATCAGGGAGTTAGAGGTGGAACTGGGGAGACAATGGACAGCGGAGGAGTTATTCTGGAAGCAAAAATCTCAGGTTCGCTGGTTGAAGGAGGGGGATAGAAATTCCTCGTACTTCCATACGGTGATGCGAACTCGCGGAAGAGGAATTGTATCGCTAAACTCCGGAATGAGGACGGTGGGTGGGTCGAAGAAGAACCGGATAAGGCTAAAATGGCGGTGGAGTTTTTTGACAATCTGTTTACGTCTGAAAACCAGGTTGAGGATTTGGATGCTAGGGTGGTGGCGCTGCCTATTGAGAGGCTGGTCACGACGAAAATGAATCAGGCTCTGGTTGCTCCTGTTACGCCAGACGAGATCCGTCATACGGTCTTTTCGATTGAGCCTACGCAAGCGCCGGGGTCTGATGGTTTCACGGCAAATCTTTTTTTATCTTTTTGGGATATAGTAGGGCCATTGGTGGTGGAGGCGGTGGGGTCTTTCTTTGTTAATGGAAAGCTCCTTCGTAGCGTTAATCACACGTGGATTACGCTAATTCCTAAAGTAGAGAAAGTAGAGACGATGCGCCAATTGCGGCCGATTAGTTTGTGCCAGGTCATTTACAAGATTATCTCTAAGATCTTAGCGAATAGACTGGCGTTGGTGTTACCAACTGTGGTTTCTCCTGAGCATAATGCTTTTATCAAGGAGAGACAGATTGTTGATAACGTTCTGATTGGCCATGAAATCATGCACTATCTCAAGATTAAGACGAAAGGGTACATGGCACTGAAGGTTGATATGGAAAAGGCCTATGACAGGGTTGAGTGGCCTTTCTTACTTTCGCTCTTGAAGAGACTGGGGTTTGGTGCGCAGTGGGTGCAGTGGATTCATGAGTGTATTTCACCATCATCCTTTTCCATCATGATGAATGGAATGCCGGCAGGGTATTTTCGGCCCTCCCGGGGCCTTAGGCAGGGGGACCCTTTGTCCCCTCTTTTGTTTGTTCTGTGTACGGAGGGTTTGACTGCGTTGATCAAAAAAGCGGTGTTGGAAAGGCGTTTAACTGGTGTGCGTGTTAGCCCGCGTGCGCCAAGGGTGTCAAATTTGTTCTTTGCGGATGACTCATATATGCTTGTGCAAGCTTCGATGCAACAATGTGAGAACCTGCTCCAAGTTTTGGGGGAATACGAGGAATTGAGTGGCCAACGGGTAAATTTGGATAATTCCGCGGTTTGCTTCAGTCGTAATGTTCTCCATGAGGATTGTGTGGCTATGGCAGCTCGATTGGGCGTTGGGGAATTGGGAGTCCAGGATAAGTATATAGGACTGCCCACCTTAATTTCTCGACCGAAATCAGAAACATTTCGATTCCTGGAGGAAAAGCTTTTGCAAAAGTTACAAGGTTGGAAGCAGCGACACTTGTCCTGGGCGGCGAAGGAGACTTTGTTGAAGTCGGTGGCGGCGGCTTTGCCTGTCTATGTCATGGCGTGTTTTAAGCTTCCTGTTACGTTATGTCGCCGCCTTGATAAGTATATAGCTCACTTTTGGTGGGGTGGTTCGATTGATAGAGTTCATTGGATGTCGTGGCGAAAATTGTGTCGTAGTAAGCAAGAGGGGGGATTGGGTTTCCGTCGATTTGAGCAATTTAATCAAGCCCTACTCGCGAAGGTAGGGTGGCGGATTATTCAGGACCCTAACTCCTTGCTTGCTCGGATTTATAAAGGGAAGTATTTTCCGAACTGAACCTTGTTGGCGGCTACAGCACGGTCGAGACCGTCTTGGGGGTGGCAGAGCGTCCTACATGGGGTTCAGTTGTTGAAAGCGGGACTGCGATGGCAGGTGGGTTCGGGGGAGGAGGTGGAGATTACGACAGCAAATTGGGTCCCGGGGTGTCATCCTAATCCTCCAATGGTGTTGCCCTCAGCTCATATTTGGGAGGGTGCTACGATGGCCGGTTTGATGGGTGATGAACCAAGGACGTGGTGTGATGAATGCTTGGCCAACTGCTTTGCTCCTGTGGTGGCTCGGGCAATCAAATCGATCGTTCTCCCAAGATTACCTGTCCGTGACAAGCTGGTCTAGCATGAGGACTGAACGGGGAAGTATACGGTGAAATCTGGGTATCATTTGGCGATGAGGTTGAACAAGAGCCGATGGAAGGGGAAGTGTGAGCCATCCTGGATGGATTCCCACATGTGGGGGAAGTTGTGGAATCTTGGGATTCCGCCGAAGCTAAGTTTTTTATGTGGCAGGCCATGAGCAGGATTTTGCCGACTACGAAGGCCTTTCATGCTCAGGAGATTGGGGTGTTGGAGCGGTGTCCGGTCTGTTGGCATGAGGTGGAGACTTTGGAGCATTTGTTCCTTCATTGTCCCGTGGCTAAGGACTTGTGGGCAGATTCGGGGCTGATGGATATCCAGACCGGGCTCCCAGAGGAGAATGTTGGGCTGTTTGTTCACCGGATGCTGGAGAAGGTAACTGATGATGGGATCATTATGCGTTTCGTCTCAGTGATGTGGGGGTGTGGAAGGCCCGCAACTGGGTGGTATTCGAGGGATGTCAATATAAAAGGGAGGTTTTGCGAAATCAGTGGGTTACTCAGGTTGAAGAATGGCAACGGATGAGGAGGTTGGCGGACGACCGACAATAAGGCAAGAGACGGCTGATGCCTTTAGATCCACATCAGCTGCCTCAGGGTGTGTCTTGGGTGTGCTCCTTTGATGGAGCAGTGCGTGAGGCGTCGCATTCTGCCGTGGGGATTGTCCTACAGGGGCCGGATGGGGTGGTGGTTAGGGCTCTGGGGAAGGGAATGGCGGAGCTTATAGACCCAATGCTTGTGGAGTTGATGGCTCTTCGTGAGGCGATCTTGTGGTGTCGGGCGATGGGTTTGCAAGGTGTCTGCTACCAGGGGGATGCTAAGGTCGTTATCGACAAGATTTTTTCCGGAAGCGCTTGGGATTGCTATGGAGGAGCAGTGTTGCAGGAAGTTTAGGTATTGTTGGCTAATGTGGCTGGGGATGTTCTACGATTTGTAGGCAGGGATAACAATAGGGTAGCCCATAGGGTGGCTAGGAAGACCCTTTCTTTGAATCCTACTCTTTTCCGGGGGGGGGGGGGGGGGGGGGGGTTTGATTTTTGCGTTTGGCTCCATTCGAAGATGTAATCGTTTGTGACCTTTGTTTCTTGTTAATACAAGCTATCTTTTGTAAAAAAAAAAAAAAACATATGTTGCTTTCCCACATTTTAATGATCACCTGTCCCCAAAAATATCTATAACTTGCCTCCCCTCCCCTTATCCTATTAAAAAACAATAAAAAAAATCGAAATGCAGGCCGGCTGCTTTCATCCGAGTTCTCCAGTCCACCCTAACCACTGCACCCTCCTCTTCGCTGCATGCGTCGGCCCATTTGTAAATTTCCAACTTTTATTAAAACCACGGAATTAATTGAGTCATCAGTCACCACACACAGAATTCACTATTTAAAGTATGTATAGTGTATGCATACCACTTCGGCGCTACCATGTGCCGCCGTACCAAGATACATACCATGCAATTAAATTAATCACACTACTAAATAAAGCAAAGTGCCAATTCAAGCTTGAACGAAAAAGTCCAATATCACGGGGTGAAATGAAATCCCAAGTTCAAGTGGACCAGACCAGGACTTAGAAACAACTAACAAATTAACATCCAATTAAGGAAACAAAATTCAAAAACAGGGCACTCTGTTGATATAAAAATATTTGAATCAATAAAAGAAACAGAAATCTAGAGAAACTCGTCGGTTGGATTGGATATATTTGGGTGGTTTAGACTCTAGTCTGTGCTCCCATGACGACAGAGCATATGAAAAGAGGAAAATAAAATGCAAAAAACAGAGAATGGAAAGTTTCCCTGTTTCCATACGGATTGGCTTTGGCCCCTGGTTTTGTCATTTCCTTCGACACAGTTCTTCCCCCCATTACCATGTTCTCCATCGCCTGCCGTTTCTTCCTTTATATTCCTCTTCCACCGCCATTTCCAACTTGGAGATATCCATTTTTCCTATAATCATATTCCCACCACCTCCCCTTTTCTCGATTCCAGAGTCACACAAGCCTTTCCCACTCCAAAGTTGCGGTTTTTTTTAAGCATTTTCCGCTCTCCTGGGTTTCTGGTTCTCAATCTGAGATTTGGGTTTGTTGGGGAGAAGGAGAAAGTTCCCGTCTTTATTAATTTTGGCTGGGAACTGCAATGACGATTGAAGCTGTGGCAGAGGCGAGAGGCGATCCAATGGCTAGGCAAGTGAAGAGGTCTGGATATGCGGGGCGGAGCGTTGTAGAGAGAAAGAGAGGTTATAAGAAGAAGGTTAAGAGGTCATCATCACCACCTCAACCCTCTTCAGCTTCAATGGCGCTCCAGGATCTCTTCCAGTCTTGTAAAGATGTGTTCAAAGGTCCTGGCACCATTCCTCTGCCTCCTGATGTCGATAGACTGTGCCACATACTTGGTAAGCGCTTCTCACGAATTCTCTCAATTTTTTTTTGATGAATAAGCCAATTTTATTCATCAAGAAGGAGGGTTTTCCAAAAAAGAAACCCCCCAACTGGAACCAAACAAAGATAACTGTTCAACACCAGAGTACAATCCAGAGTTTTGACTATCAAACGAATTCTCTCAATTCATTCCCAACCAAGTTTATTGCATGGATGGGGTTTGTTGGGTTGATCAGCGATCAGTGATATGATTTCTTAGATTCGGGGGGAATCCGTCATCTCTTAATTGCAATGATAATGTAGGTTAGTGAACCAGATACTGATGTTGGGAGCTTGAATTCGTTTATTCATTTTGAAAGTGGTGGTGAGGTGACAGATGGTGATGTAATGTTGATCTAAGAAATTGAGAATCTTTTCTCCCCATGTTTTTGCTGGTGATCTATAATTGGGTCAGAATCCAAAACTGGTATCAGTAACTGTTGTGGAATTTTCCCACCGATCCAAGGCTCTAGATAGGAAAGTTTGTCCTTTTTCCCACTTTTTGTTGCCTGGGAGTGAGGTGGGTTATTCATTCATTCTCACTTAGTGTGTAGTGATACTTGTGCTTCTTTATCTCTTAAACCGTTAGTTTCATTAGTTCGGCCTTTGGTAAGGTTGCATCATTCATGGGATCAGGTCACTGATCTCTGCTCAATTTGCACCAGATCTGATCTATTTTCCATGGTTGCGTACCTTGTAATAGTGAATCTTAAAATAGAGGTTTCCTTTCCTGTGAACAGTAAGTAACTTAGGGAAGGATCTTGTTTTGGAGCAAGTCAAAGTCAAGAGCGTAGGAGTCTTTTCTCCTAAAATTAAGACAATACTATAAAGAAAATGTTGGGTTCATGGTTTTGCATGCAGAAATGATGGAAATTTGTTCTGGATTTATGTTGGACTGTGGTTGTTTTTATATGGTGCAACACAATCCACCACTTTGGACTATTGCTTTGTTACTTGGACTATTGCTTTGTTACCTTACATATTAATATATTCATGGACCCCCATTTCATTGTCCTTGTTACAGGGTTTGATTTCTTCCTCTATTATGTGTCATGTGAGGGCCTCCTTCAATGACTAGAACTTCATTTGAGAATAAGAGTGTGTCTTTGATCATTAGCAACTAATCATTTAAAAAGCTAGGATAGGAAACAAGGAATCCCCTTTCCTTGTCCTCTTGGTCCTCATTGGAATCTTTCCCATTTTGAGCAGTATGGCTAATAAACTATGTGCTGCCAAGTCCTTTTGGGGGTCTTTCTAATATTAAATTACTTTCAAACTTGCTACTTCAAATTCAGTAATCCCATGATTGACTGACTAAATAAACATATCTTCTATTTTATAATCCCTTTGTGGTGTTTGGCAGACAATATGCAGCCAGAGGATGTTGGCCTAAGCAGCAAGTTGCAGTACTTTAACCCTAATAATAATAATGCTCTAGTAGTCCAAGGCACTGTTAATCATCCTAGAGTCAGCTACACCACAATTTACCAATCCACCAACTTCTCTGTGAGTTTCCTTTATCTTCTTACTACTGCTTATATCCATTCACTACTTGTATGAATTTGCCTCCGTGTTACTTATCGAATATACGATTGCTTGCGATGCAGTTGTACATTTTCTTTCTCCCTGCTGGTGGTGTGATCCCTCTCCACAACCATCCTGGAATGACGGTATTCAGCAAACTCTTGCTAGGAGAGGTCCACATCAAATCCTACGACTTAGTTGACTGCCAGCAGGCTTCGAGTTCTAAACGTGAGTATGTGTTTTTCACTTTTTTTTTGCGCTTTAAATTAATGAATTCTGGGAACATCATGGTGATTGAGATTCAGCAACTAACCTGTGTGCCATGGCTTTTCCGCGCAAGCAGTGAGGCTGGCCAGGTTGGTAGCCGATAAGGTCTACGAAGCTCCATGCGACACATCGGTACTGTATCCAACAACAGGAGGCAACATTCACCAGTTCAAAGCAGTTACTCCGTGCGCAATCCTTGACGTGCTGGGTCCTCCTTATTCGAGGGAAGATGGGCGCGACTGCTCATACTACCGGGATTTTCCTTACCAAGACTTCTCGAGTAAGCGAAGCTTAAAAATGGTTCAGAATTATGTTTGAATTTGTGAAAATAGTAATCATTCGAGCATTTGGTTGAGTAACTTGGACTAAAAGAAAGGGTTTTGAATGATCCATATGCAGGGAATTGTGAAGGGGAAGAGGGAACACTGATGACAGAAGAGGAAGGGCGAGAGTATGGATGGTTGGAAGAGGTTGAAATGCCTGAGGAATCACAAATGGACGGGATTGAGTATCTAGGTCCACAGGTTGTTGAGAATGGAACCTGCTTCTGCTGATTGAATTGCCTGAAATGGAGATAAAGGTCCTCTTCTTTTTTTTTTGGTCATGTTGGGGGGTCCTCGTTTTTCTGTTTCTCCTGCATGGTCCTTTCGCAAGCTAGTTAGACTTTGTTGATAGAGAGATGGAGGGAGAGGAACAAAACAGAGTTACTCTACCTTTTTTCTGGTTTTGGTGTGTACAGTTTTCAGGGCTGGTCCTAGAGAAAGTGCGATACTTTCTCTTGTCTGCGTGACATGAGTCATTCATGTCCTGTAGTGTAAATCTGATCACGACTTGAGGTATCAGTTTGTAACCTTATTTCCCAAAGAGTTTGAGTATGGTATCTGCAAGAGAAGCCTTAATTATTTCGCTGTGCCTAGTCTGTATGTGCGTGGAGAGGGGAGACATTAAGATTAGTTTGATAGCATGGCAACAGCTACTTAACTGTTAAGCGACTCTCGGCATAGTTGGAACTTCCATTTCATCGAACATAGCAGAGTAAGTAATAGTCTGTTTTGGCTCTGATAGCAGCTCGATTTATTTAAATCGGAGAGGTTCAATAATAGGTTTTATCCCATATACTAACACACCGCTCAAACGAAGCTATTCATATAGGCTTGAAGTTTTCACAGGCATCAAACACCTTGAGCTTAACAAATGAGGGTCACCGGGATTCATACAAAAGACATCATTCACAAAAGGATATGATACCATGTTAAGAACCAGTTGATCAACTCGAGTTGTTGGGAGAGACCCATATATGAATCTTAACCACTTTTTTACAGTACCATTACTCAACTTTGGTTTGTTATCTAGTGAAACAAATATTTGGTTTAACAACTAATCTACTCTAAGGGTTAAACTAATCACAAGTTAAGGACTCACTCAGGTTTTGATTCCCCCTAGTCACTAGCTATATTGAGATTGATAAACTTCTAACTTTTTCACTCGATGTCTATATTGCGGAGAATCCATGACCAAGTCTTGAATCTCGATTAAAGTAATCAATGCCCTCTTGAGTTGGTAGCCCAAAGAGACGTATCCTCACTAGCACAACCGAATGAATGTCTGCATCAGAAATCTATCTTTATACACCTATAAAATTCACCACTTATAATAAATTACCACCGCTCTGATAATGTGTAAAGTTAACTTGAAGACTAAAGAAGTAGGAGATGACAATGTTAAAATTCGAGTACTGATTACTCAAGTCATATCTGTCATGAACCAGTTGCTCCCAATAACTCGAGTTGTTGGGAGAGGTTCAATCGTGGATCATATACCACAACACTAACACGACCCCTCAAACGAAAGCCACTCACAAGGGCTTGAAGTTTGCACAGGTCTGAAGACAAGAATACCATGTGCTTAACAAATGGGGGTCACCGGAAATCGAACACAAGACCTCTCGGTCACAGAAGGCTCTGATACCATGTCAAGAACCAGTTGATCCCAATAACTCGAATTGTTGAGAGAGGTTCAATCGTGGATTATATACCACAACACTAACAATATGATCTACCATGATCATGTTGAGTTCTTATCTTGAACTTATCCAACTTCTGATAAATAGTAAATAGATAACCTGACACAATTGTTTTCAAGCATAAACAAAAATAAATTATACTCAACTCAAAAAAATATTTGACAGAATATGGCAAGAAAAGCTCCAAAGCAAGGGAGCAGCCCACATTGAGCCAACCAGTGGGGCCTTTAAAAGGAACCTCCAGGATGTGAACTATGAAAAGGAAAAGAAGGGACCATGCAAACAAAACCAAGGCCAAAAAAAATAAAAAATGCTCTGCTCGCCTCACTCTGAAACCGAAAGCTTACTATTTTACTATTCTTTTTCCCTCCCCAGTCTCCATCTCATTCCACTAATCACTGTTTGTACTCTGATTGTCTCCTTTAAAAATGGTTCCTTCATTTCAATTCCCCCCCTTCTTTCCTTTCCTTTCCCTTGCTTTGCTTTGCATGCATTTCTTTCATGCCCTGAACTGTGGAAGGAATAAAGCCTCTGCGCCCCACATCAAGAATCTTTCTTTTCGCTCTTTTTATCCATGGCGGTGGCCTAATTATTGTTCTCTTTTGGACCCTGAAAAAGAGGCATTCTACACTTGGTAAACATATATCTTTCAACTTGAGTAACCAAAATTTGAAACCCCAAATCAGCTTCTTTCTCTTAAGGCAATCTTCCATTCCCTGTACAGGACTGCCTATTTTGGTTAGCAGGTATCTCTCTGTCACTCCAATCTGTCCACTTTAGTTTTTGGTCCAGTAGACTGCAAGTGGGCTCAGTGATCAGTAGAATTTTCTTGTAGAAGGGTCTCTCCGGTCCCAACCTTCACTGTCAAAGTTGGGTGAATTTGATCAGATTTTGTTTTCAACTGTTTTTTCCCCCCTTCCTTTTTATCTTAAAGTCTGGGGCTTTCTTTCTTTTTTCTGCTGCTCATCACTGGCCCAGATGGCTTGCTGCAGAATTGGTTGCTGTTGGGTGGTCTTTTTGAATGCGTTTCAACAAGTGTGAAATGCAAGTTTATGGGGAATAAAATAAATAGCTTTGTCCTCTTTTTGTTTTTCTTCTGAAGTGGGTTTATGGCGGTTTTGAAGAAATCTCAGTCTCTTTTGGGGAGATGGGTTGCAGACGCACTGTTTGTGGAATTTCCTCTTTGCAGTTCCCAGTTGCCTTTCCACTTGGAGGATTAACCAGTTACTTGTGGGTTTTGTGTTGCTTGCTACTGACTTAGCTGATTAAGCCCAGCTGAAAACAGGACTACTTGCTTAGAAAGGTAAGATTTTCTTCCTCCAAACATAACCCAAAATTCATCTGTTTTCTTGTGCAATAATAGGAAGGCATTATTAGTTAGCTAAGTCCATTTCCATCATAAAAGGTTCGTTGTAAGCTTAATTGGCTGCTTCATGTTCTTGCCTTGTAACAGCTTTGCAAACTCTCTTCTTTTGGGTGGCAATGGAGGGGTTTCAGAACTCTGCTATAGTGGTACTACTTTCCGTGATCATCTTCCTTTCAATTAATCACTCAGAGCAACTCCAATCCTCCCAGGGTCAAACCCTCCTAAGGATTCAGCGGCTTTTGAGCAATCCATCCGTCTTAAGCACCTGGAACAGCTCCACTGATTTCTGCAGCATAGATCCCACTCTATCTGTAACTGTGGTCTGCTACGAGGATACCATAACCCAGCTCCACATCATTGGCAACAAGGGAAGCTCTCTTCTCCCTAAAAACTTTTCCATGGAATCTTTTGTCACAACTCTTGTCGCTCTTCCAACCCTCAAAGTCCTCACACTATCTTCTCTTGGTTTATGGGGTTCACTACCTGGCAAAATCGCTCGTTTGTCATCTTTAGAAATTCTGAACATAAGCGCCAATTTTCTGTATGATACCATCCCAGGAGAGCTCTCATCACTGTCTACCCTCCAATCACTGGCACTCGATGATAACATGTTTTCTGGGGAGCTGCCACTTTGGCTTGGGTCGCTCCCGATACTGTCTGTTCTTAGTTTGAAGAAGAACATGTTCAATGGTACATTACCTAACTCATTAAGCAATTTGGAGAATCTCAGAGTTCTTTCACTTTCACACAACTACTTCCGTGGTGAAGTACCGGACTTAAGCCGGTTGACCAACCTTCAGGTGCTTGATTTGGAAGATAATGACTTTGGAACCAAGTTTCCTCAGCTAGGGAACAAGTTGGTCACTTTGGTATTGAGCAAGAACAAGTTCAGAGATGGACTCCCTGCTGAAATAAGCTCTTACTATCAGTTGGAACGGGTTGATCTCTCAAATAATAACTTCGTGGGGCCATTTCCACCGTCGTTGTTGGCATTGCCTTCTGTTACTTATTTAAACGTGGCGAGCAACAAGTTTACTGGAATGCTCTTTGAGAACCAATCATGTAGTGGTCAACTGAAGTTTGTTGACTTGTCATTCAACCTTCTGACTGGACATCTGCCTAAGTGTCTTCACCCCAAGAAAACTGTTGTATCAGATGGGAACTGCCTGGAAACTGTTGATGATCGAAGCCAAAACCCGGTTTCGTTCTGTCACAATGAAGCCTTAGCAGTTGGTGTCATTCCACAGATGAAGAGCAGGGAAGGAAAAAGCTCTAAAGCAGCAATTATTTCCCTGGGTGTAATTGGTGGAGTTGTTGGAGGCATTGCATTGGTTGCTTTGGCTTTCTTGTTGGTTAGAAAGGCGAACACCTCGAAGGCGGTCCAGAAACATCCGACGAGGCTAATTTTGGAGGATGCATCAGCTGGTTATCCATCTAAGTTGCTTCAAGATGCAAGTAAAGTTTTATAGTTTCATTTCCCCCCTCTATGTTTACTCTTCTTCTTTATCTTTTGATGATACCATATCTATTCATACTGAACCAATGACCTATCAGTGCATTTGAATAACTTTACATCTGGGACACTGGGGCGCTGGTTGCTTAATCTTTTATGGTATAAGCGAAGTTGAAGTATTATTGGATCAAAAGAGAAAATCTGATAGCCCATTATGTTTGTTCCACCATGAAGGATATATCTCTCAAACAATGAGATTAGGAGCACTTGACCTCCCAGCATACCGATCCTTTTCGTTGGAAGAGATCGAGGAGGCTACGAACAACTTTGAGTCATCAGCATTCATCGGTGAAAGTTCTCATGGACAGGTAATCTAATACAATTATAAACACTTGGCTCCTCTCAAGTTTCCTACAATTAGCCATTAGCTACTCACTTTGTCTTCTATGCTGTATGGTTATCAGATGTACAAGGGTAGGCTGAAGGATGGATCTTGTGTAGTGATTAGATGCCTGAAAATGAAAAGAAGCTACAGTACACAAACATTCATGCATCAGATAGAGCTGATCTCGAAACTCAGGCACAGACATCTGGCAAGTGCTCTAGGGCACTGCTTCGAGTGCTACTTGGATGATTCGAGCGTCAGCAGAATATTTCTCCTGTTTGAACATGTATCAAATGGGAACCTAAGGAGCTGGGTCGCTGGTACAGTCATACCCTAAATGAATCAAGAGTACAGATCTGCACCATATCTTCTCTTTTTGAACTGATAAACACATACTCGTTTCCACGAATGCAGAGAGACATGCTAGGCAAAAGCTCAACTGGACACAAAGACTAGCAGCTGCAATTGGGGTGGCCAAAGGGATGCAGTTTCTGCACACAGGAATTGTGCCTGGTGTATACTCAAATAATCTGAAGATAACAGATGTTCAGCTGGATCAGAACCTTGTGGCGAAAGTCAGCAGTTATAACCTGCCATTACTTGCAGAGATCACAGGACAGGTAATAGCTGATTAATTTTTGTTTGGATGTGTTTTCTCATTTGACTTTTCAATTGACTTGATTGAAGTTTCCATCTACTCAGGCTGGCCGCCTGACTTCTTCAGCTGGATCCAAAGTCCCTGCAAGGTTTGTTCACTAAGTTTCAAGTAGCTTCCTTAGACTCTAAAGTTAATTTGGCCTCATGAATTGCCAGTGGATTGAAAATGGATTCTCTCTCAGGGCCAATCAAGAAGCGAAAGCGGACATCTACGACTTTGGCATCATACTCTTAGAGATCATCGTGGGGAGACCATTGCAATCTAGGAATGAAGTAGATGCTATAAAAGACCAAGTAAGATCAATGAATGCCTTCCTTCTGAACATTCACCAAATGGGTTCAAACTTCGGATTCAACATTCATATCGTGTCAATTCGTTCTTGTGCAGCTTCAAGCAGCTATAGCATCAGATGCAGCTACGAGGAGAAGCATGGTCGATCGAGCTGTTCAAAGGGGAAGCTCGATTCAGTCGGTGAAGACGACAATGGAGATCTGCATGAGGTGCCTAAACAAGAACCCTGTGGATAGGCCTTCCGTGGAGGACGTGCTGTGGAACTTGCAGTTTGCTGCTCAATCGCAGAGCAACGAAGTGTCTCCTTCCTCGCCTGGGCAGTTTAATCACCAACTACGTCTCAGCATCCTGTGATAAAATCATGAACGCAGAATTGAAGAAATGGGTTTAAATATATGGTTGTACCATGAAATTAACAAATGGTGTATAAGCTGTAATTTATGTATACAAGAGATCATTGGAAGGTACACAGAAAGTGTATTAAACTATCACATCAATTGTAAGTTTGATGTGGAATAGTCTTTGTTGTCACCTTTTGGTCAATTATCAATTAGATCATGAGTGAATTAGTGAAAAAATTAATGACAAAGAAGCAATACTGAAAAAGTTGGTTTGGGCACTAACGGTAAGTTGAACTACGGTTAAATCACAGTTTTATCATAAAATACTTTATCGCTAACTTTTTCGATACGGTCTTCGGTATAGTTCCATGGAAAAAACTAGGGTAAATACAATTTTAATATCCAAACCTTTCATTTTAAACAATATAATAGCCAAACCTTTTCGAAAACAATCTAATATCCAAATCGTCAACTTTTCGTTCGTTTGACCGTTAGTTGACACTTCAAAAAAGCTTTGTTTAGGGGAAATTGTCACAATACAACTTTGTTTCTTGTTTTGGCATTGCAGATGACTGAATATTAAGATATTCTATACCATCATGGTGGAGTCGTGGACTTCTCGGGTTTGGAACTACAATATGTTGGTGGTTTTTCAGAGAAGATATCGATGGATATTGATGAAGTGTCATACTTCGAACTTTTTTGAAGTGTCAACTAACGTTCAAACAGACAGAAAGTTGACGATTTGGATATTAAATTGTTTTCGAAAAGGTTTGGCTATTCTATTGTTTAAAATAAAATGTTTGGATATTAAATTGTATTTATCCAAAAAACTATACTCCAGATGCCAGTTTATTATATTTATCATGGCTCAATATTAACAAATGTACTTAAATTGATACATATAGAAATAGAAGCCAGTTTTGAAACACATTCATCCATCCTCCCTTAAACTTTTGTTTATCATGTTGAATATAAACCTTTTGTTTCTCAACCCATGAGAAAGAAACACTCAATAATGAATGGATTGTATTGTAGGAACAAATTAAATCAACCCGTATTAAAGCTCGTTTCTTAAATAATAAATGCTTGCAATTTTCTACACAATTGTTGGCAGAGGAGGTTTTTTTATCATACGATCATAGATATGAAAATATACAAGATCTTTATAAGTTAGGCCATAAAATTAAATTATTTATGTCAAGAAATGGACATCCCTGTTATAGAAAATTATATTTCAATCACATTAGAGTGAACTAAAGTTTGATCCGAAGAAAATTTGACACAACCTGGCAATTATACTATATTTCAAAAGGTTTAATCGTTATTTAGTGATAGCAAAAAATATTTTGTTATTAGAATGCTTAGTCCTAAAGATAGTGGTGAATTTATGATTTAGAATGAGGTGGACTAAAAATAAAAGATAATAATAGTTTTTTGGAATTGAAATTAGGTTTTGTATGAGGGGACTAATACACTGTCATTCTGTCACATTTTAATGTCTATTTATCATACAATACATTGTTCATAATTTAAAATCATATATTAAGAAGTACTAGATCCCACCTTAGAGATAACTGAATTGCTATTCGTCGCCCTAAAATTTAAATTTTATCGGCCTAAACTTTACTGAAACGACACATCACCCCTAATTCAATTCTAACCCTCCAAACCCGTTGACCACTATGGGCAGAGAAGAACTGTCGCCATCACAACTCAATTCTCACATCACATATGGCTCGAGAAAAACTGTTGCCGCCGCCGCTTCCAATCGCCCCTCCATCCATCCCAACCAGATACACCCACCCATCCCCCACCCGAATCCGCAACTTCCACATTTTAATGTCTATTTATCATACAATACATTGTTCATAATTTAAAATCATATATTAAGAAGTACTAGATCCCACCTTAGAGATAACTGAATTGCTATTCGTCGCCCTAAAATTTAAATTTTATCGGCCTAAACTTTACTGAAACGACACATCACCCCTAATTCAATTCTAACCCTCCAAACCAGTTGACCACTATGGGCAGAGAAGAACTGTCGCCATCACAACTCAATTCTCACATCACATATGGCTCGAGAAAAACTGTTGCCGCCGCCGCTTCCAATCGCCCCTCCATCCATCCCAACCAGATACACCCACCCATCCCCCACCCGAATCCGCAACTTCCATGTTGCTCTGTTTCTATACCTCTCATGCTTCTGCTACAACCCAAATGGAAGACGAGTTGACCGGCCGCCTACAGAGTCACTAATCCGATGACGAAGGAAGCAGTGGGTTGGTGATGAGGAAATTAAAGAGTAATGGTGGTGATGGATCAATTCGAAGCAAGCCATGATATGGGCCCTAGCCCATGTTGTGAACAAAGCATATTTGCTCACTCTGCTTCACATTATCCCTCCTTCTCATGGAAACCAACCTTCACATTCCTTCCCAACTCCCTCGGTGACCTCTGCAAAGCCTGCAAGTTTGAGTATTGTGTTTCACAGTGTTTACAAAACTGTTCAATATGATTTCTCTGTTCCAAATAGCTCAAAAATTATTGAATTATTTTTTGTTTGGTCTAAAATAAATGAAATAAGGGCATTAGAGTAAATTTATCTTAACTAGGGCGACAAATAACAAAACCCCTAAATCAAAGCTCAAAGAGAACCGCAAATAAACACGGGCGTTTGGTGTTAGAACTGAAAAATTACCTCATTAACAATTTAGGTCTTCAATTATTAAAACAATACTTTTAGGTCTCCTATCAATAACAATGCCCAAATAGTTTCTGAATTCTGTCAACAAACAGAAAGATCACTTTCTGTAATCATTGAAATTAGAAGCACCAAATTGCCCCATATAAAATTGACAGTTTTAAATTGACTTCTAAACAGCTGAACTGACCTAATCGCAAAGTTTAAAATTATAGGGATCAGTTCTGTAATTTTAACTAATTCGTATGATTCAACAGTATAAATCCGAGCCGTAAACCTCCGCCTTCGGAGTTAGGCTTCTCTGGTTCTTACTTTCTGACTGTGAAGTCTTCTTCTTATTCTTCTTCTTCTTCCAATTTCAGCTGAACCCAAACAAACTCTCAGCGGCGGAACCACCCAACCAAAAATGGCGGATTCCCCACCCACCGCTTCTCCTCCACCTTCTTCTTCCTCTTCCTCCTCTCCGCCTCCCCTAATACTCTCCCATCAACCTAACCCAAGCCCTAATTTTTTCTTCCCCGGTTTCTCACCCGCAGATCCTTCGGCGTCACCACAACAACCGCCGCCGCCGCCGAGTGACGTCCCCCCGGAGCCACTCCCGCAGTTCATCTCCGTGCTATCCAGGAGGCCTGCTTTGAGGGTGACCACAGAGTTCGACAGCGACAGCTCCGTGTTCTTCCACAAGGTCTCCTGCAAGCTGCTCGACAGCTTCGCGAAGCTCAAGCTCACGTTTCAGAACAACGGCAAGCGGGAATTTTCCGAGCCTCAGATTTCCCTCGTCTCGAAGAATCTCTCTATTCATTACGATGTTGAAGAGCAGAATGCGCTCATTAAGACCTCCTTCGACGTTGGTTCCAGGCTCCATTTCAAGGGCGTTCATGATGTCAAGGTCCCATTTCTCTCCGCCTTTCTCAACTGGGTTCGAAGTTTTTTTGGCGATGGTGTCCATGGGGGAAAAAGATTTCGATTTTTTATAGGAAATAGTGTGAACTTATTAGTTCGATTGTAGCCTTGTGGTGGAATTCGCTGGGCCACGTCCCGATTTCGCATTAGATATTGTTTTGATATTCATGTTATTTCCCCTCTCAGGCGGAACAAGGAGAGGTTGCAGTGGTGGCCAAACTTGCTGAACCTGGATATGCTCTTGAGCTCTCATCTCCTGTTCCTGCAGTTGGCTTGGTAATGAACTAATTTGGATTGTTGCATTGTTTTTAGCTATACAAGCTTTCATGATCCACCGAGTAGCTCCATGATCGTTTTTCATTAGGATTTACTTGTGGCAGCGGTAAGAGATGGTTTCAACTGTTCTTTTACTCTGCTTTCTGATGCTTATTGCTAATAGAATGCTCTGCAATGGTGTTTATCGCTTTGTTACTTAGAACATTTAGATTGATGAAGAATCGGGGGGTCTTCTGCGCTGTTTTTTTTATATCATTTTGACGAAGGTTGTTTATGTTTGCAGCCTAGAGCAACTCTAAAGTTCCCTTTCGGTGAATTTTCGTTGGAGGAAGAGGAGAGAGCAGAAGAGAAACGGGCACTGTCTATTAGTGGACTTGGTAAAGCTAAACTGTTGAATGGGCTTTGTTCTGCACAGTACAGTGAAGAGGAACTGAAACTAAGATATTCCTACAAGGTAGGTTCTAAATTTTGTTTCTTGGTTTATCTTATAATACTGGGGTTTTGCTTCCTTTGCTTCCCATCTCGCATGATGGAAATTATATCCTTTGTTGTTGCCATTTGATACCACTTATTCCAACACAAGTTATTACAGTTTCTGGTTTACTTGGTTTATTGGATCAACCATTTGGATGATGCATACCTTTTCTTTCACCCTATTTACTGATGGGGAGAATTGTTATATAATTCCAGGACGAGGAACTTTCGTTTATTCCCACTATTTCACTGCCTTCAAATGCTGTGTCATTTGCATTCAAGCGTCGGTTCAATCCTTGTAATAAGTTAAGGTAAGATCTCTCTGCTCCTTCTAGTAGGATGATGCTAATATCACCACAAGTAGTACTTAAGCCATGTGCATGCGTAGATGTGGCTAAATGTGTTAGTCTTTCTTTCTTCCTGTACTATGATTTGGAGGTTCAATGACATTTCATGATGAAGTACTTCTCAGTCATTTAGAATGGAAAAGTGAGTTGCAGCGTTAGGTGCTAGAACTTAGAAGAGAACCTGGAATGCCTACTTCTTTTGTTCCTGTGAGAATTAGGCTTCAATAATTCATTACACTTCTACATGGAAATGGGCTTACTTGTTAGCTGTAACCTGTTGCAAAACTGCTGTATGATTGGTTATTCAAGGAGGTGTTTACGACCTGTAGCAGGTGTTAATTCTATCTTTTCTCTGTTCTACTTGCACATTCATACTGTGGGTTTAATTGTCCAGCTACTGGTACCATTTTGATACCAACAACTGGAGTGCTGTGTACAAGCATAAATATGGCAAGGACTTCAAGTTCAAAACTGGATATGATTCAGATGTTCGACTCGGCTGGGCATCCCTCTGGGTATGTCTTCGTATCTGCCCTTCTTCCTTAGGTTTTAATGTCTACTCGGGATTTCCAGTTTTCACTTTGTTTGACTTATGTTCGTCACCACGATCCATTTAGGTTGGAGATGAAGGTGGAAAGGCTAAATCTGCACCATTGAAGATGAAAGTCCAATTCATGCTCCAAGTGCCACAGGACGACTTCAAATCGTCAGCGTTGATGTTTCGTGTCAAAAAGCGGTGGGACATATAGAGTATGTATAGGCTTCTGAAATCACCTTCTTTTGATCCTATACACCAATGTGAGATAAATAGTAGTTGTTCTTGTTATGGATGCTCATTCTACAGCTTGGTTAGATGAATTTCTGTTTTCAGAGAAGTTAATTCATGGGAACCTAGATCGTCAAGCTATCCGGAAGTCTTTCGTTTGGAAGTTAGACGTTGAATTTTGGGTGATAAAAATATCAGTGCCAAGTCAAAGAAAAGTCTGGGTGTTGGTCGATAAAAGAAGACGCCAACTCTATAAGATCACAAGATTCCTAACTTTGTGATGGTCGCATGCATCTTCTTTTGTTTCATGACTTGGTGATTTCAACTTGCTGTTTTTCTTCTCAAAACAGCATCCTCTGTATTTTTCCCCATAAGAGCAATAAGAACAATTCCAAGACAAGATGGTCAATCGGGGTAGGATACGGTGACTACCCTCAAAAGGGTTTGATTTTTGACACCCCCTTTCTTGCTCCATTTTTTCCTCGATCATTTGGTAAGTATTAATCAAAGTGGTAGAATTTAACACTCACATTAAATACACATTGGGAATTAAATACCTCACATTAAATACTTGCTTTTTTCAAATTTAAATCTACACTAAACCAAATTCTCTCTCCAAAAAAGCAAATAATCTAGGGATGGCAATGGGTCGGGGACGGATAATGCATATCCGTTACCCTACTCAAAGTAGTTCGGGTTTTACACATACCCATACCCACATATGAAATGGGTAGAAAATTAAAACCATGCCCATACCCGTTCGGGTTTCGGGTATCCACGGTTATCCATGGGTAATGATTTCTCTTCATAACTCCAACTAATATATTAACATTCACACGTATTCTCACATTACGCAAGAGGAAAAATATGTCAATAATTCACTAGAATGAAGAAAATTAATTAAAACAACACAATTTCATGAAAATATTATATTTATATGCTAAATATAAAATATCTTAGAGAAAAATAATGACTATTTCTAGACAAAATACATATGTATGTGTATAATCGGGCGAGTTCGGGTTGGATACTGAGAAATCCATGCCCACCCATTACCCGCAATATTCAGGTTCGGGTTTTACCCGTACCCACTAAATGTCCTTCGGGTTCGGGTTTTACCCTACCCGATTAGGCCGGGTTCGGACGGATATCCACGGTTACAGATATTTTTGCCATCCCTAAAATAATCCCTCTCATCATGCTTCCGCCGTTATGATTTTTCGATTTCTGATTTTTCAGATATGACTTTTCTATTTTTCAGTTATAATTTTTGTATAACTGCACTGATATTTTTACAACTACACTTAAACTCATATATGATATTTTGTACCAGTGCACTGGTAGAGATACCACTACACTGGTAGCGATATCAGTGCACTGGTACAAATATCATATCTGAGTTTAAATGCAGTGGTACAAATATCAGTGAAGTGGTACAATGTATCACTGCACTGATACATTTTTTAATGTAACGATACATTTTTGCGGGTGGCCGGAGGAAGTCTATCAACGAGATTTCACCGGAAAAATGTGGCGGTCGGAGGATGCTGGAAAAAGGATGAATGAAAGATAAGGAGAGAGAATTGTATTTAATGTAGGTTTAAATAAAAAAGACAAATAATTAATATGGTGCATTTAATTCCATGTGTATTTAATGAGTGTTAAAATATAAGATTGCATTTAATACCAAGGGGGTGTCATTTTTCCAACCCCTTTATGGGGTTAGCATGCTAACCGCTTCCCTAGTCAATCCGGTCAGGGTTCAAACATTGAGGCTTAGGAGGAAGTTCTCGAGAACAGTGCCAGGGTTCTATCACGTTAAATGAGGCCGTTTCATGGTCGAACTGCTGCCACATGAGTTAGCTATCTGGAGCTAACTGACTCTGTTTGGGGACATTCGACGGAGAAGAATAGCATGAATCTTCTTCAAGAATGCCATGAATAAATCGTGAAATGGTCCAAATTTCCCGTCCCTCTCTTATAATAATTTTCATAGTTGTCCAATTTATGAATAGTCTCAAGAAGAATTGGTAAAAGATAAGAGTAATGATGTTGATTAATTTTCCATTTTTTATGATATTGGAACGTCTGGTGCTCTCGTAGCAGCTGATTAAAGTATTCGACTTATCTGGATGATAGACCGAGTCTCGTACTTTTAACTCCAATGACAGTTTTCGAAAGAAAGGAGAGATTACATGCCACACATAATTACAAAATCAAGACGAGTGATTGCTTACGAAAGAACTCCTTCACCATATCAATTAGAGAATAGGCCTACAATGTCGTTAACAACTTTGTAATGTCACAAGGGGGAACTCAAACAATGTTGCAGTTACTTAAACCCGTATTAGTATTGGGCTTTGTTAGGCCTCGTCCTATTCGTTGGATTAGGGTTGTAACCCTAAGTCTTTCTCTATACAAGCTTAGCTATGAGATTGTCGTAAGCAAGTCGTCACAATGTAAACCTAATAAGAGATCAGGCGTGAGCTCTTCAGAGCTCACCGTGGATTAGTTCTGTTCACATCGAACAGGGATACCACGTAAAATCGTTTGTCTCGTGTTCTTGTTATTATGCATCATCAAATTCTTCATGGTATCAGAGCAAACCTCGATCTATTACGGTTTTGCTTTCGCTCTTCTGCATCCTTGTTCTGCGTCATCGTGCTTCGCTAGTTCTCCAACGTACTCTTCATCCCAATTTGTTGTCGTTGATGTCTCGTTGCTCGCGCTCCTCTTCGAAGTCACATCGGTGTTGTCCCGCCTCCAAGGTTCAATTCAGCGTGGCTCTCAATTTTGGCTCTGAGCAAGGCGCGACCCTATCTCCGTCCGGTCACGGCCGTTCGTTGGCTCAGTCATCCGTGGCCTCCTCGTCACCGCCTGCCACCCCCACCCATTAGCGACGAGGGCATCATTCGTCGTTGCAAGCCAGTACTTATCGCCAGCTCCTACCTGTTCAGTCAGTCCGCTTCGTGCCCGTCACACTGTAACACTAGTTTTGTGGGGTTCGTTGCTTATTGCCGTCCCGCACCATGCCCTCACCAGTTCGCCGGCCAATCTAGACTCCTCGCCGCCCTAAGCTTTCCTACCGTACCGTAGTTGACAACTCTTAAATCGTCGGCCAGTAAAGCGAGCACATGCAACCGCCGCTATACAGCATAGCGTCCCAGCGGCGTGTATGAGTTTTTTAGATAGGGATTTGGAGAATAGCATAACCCTCAAATGGTTTCTCTGTTCTGCTTTAGTTTATATATAAGTTTTGCTCTCTGGAACTTAAACAACAAAAGGAAACGTTTCTAATACAGGAAACATCTTCGTCTTCAAACAACAAATCCTTCTTTCATCAAGACTCCTTCTTCTTCCTGCAACTTCTTCTTCTGGTCAGCATTCTTTCTTCACACCCCCCTTCAAGTTCAGGATGACACTGTCACTCCCAACTTGCATAACAGATCCTTGAGACGAATCCTGTCCAGACCCTTAGTAAACAAATCAACCAGCTGATTAATTGTACTAACATGAAACAACTTAACCAAACCCATTTTGATTCTCTCCCTGGTGACATGCATATCAATCTCTATATGTTTTGTCCTCTCATGGAAGACAGGGTTTTCTGCAATATGTATTGCAGACTTGTTGTCACAATATACTGCAAATGGTAATGGTATTGCAACTCCCATCTCTGCAAGTAAAACCCTTAACCAATCAACTTCACATACAAGCAATGCTAAGGCTCTGTATTCTGCTTCCGAGGAAGACCTGGATACTGTTGTCTACTTCTTCATTTTCCAGGTGAGTAATGACTTCCCCAAGAAGGTACAGTAGCCTGTTGTAGACCTTCGTGTATCAAGGCAACTTGCCCAGTCTGAGTCACAAAAACCAACCAGCTTCAAGTCTGCATCACTGCTGAAGTGTATTCCCTGATCTGGACATGACTTTAGGTACCTTAGCACTTTAAAAGCTGCTTGTAAGTGTTCTGTACATGGCTGCTTCTGAAATTGGCACACTTGTTGCACTGAGTATGTCAAATCTGGTCTTGTAATGGTAATGTAGTGTAGCCTCCCCACTAACCTTCTATATTGCTCTGGATCTTCCAGCAAGTTTCCTTGTTTTGCACTAAGCTTCACCTTTGGATCTGATGGTGTATGACACCCTTTTTGCATCCAAGTATCCAGTGTCTGTTAGAAAGTCCATGCAATATTTTCTCTGACAAACACTAAGACCAGTAGCAATTCTGTTAACCTCCAAACCCAGGAAATAATTTAGAGGTCCAAGCAATTTGATCTTAAAATCCTTACTCGGTGCCTTCTTGATTTGGTCTATATCTTTCTGTGCATCCCCTGCAAGGATAATATCATTAACATACACCAGCAGCACCATTGTTCTTCCATGTACAGACATAGTGAACATAGAATAATCAGACATAGATTGGGAAAAACCACTCTTGAGTAAAAAGGCAGCCAGTTTTGCAAACCACTGTCTTGAGGCTTGTTTCAATCCATACATAGATTTCTTCAGTCTACATGCCATCCTTATAGAACTTCCAGCAGGTAAATCTACTCCCAATGGCACTTTCATATAGACTTCCTCACACAAGTCACCATTCAGGAATGCATTAGATACATCTAGTTGTTCCAATGTCCAGTTTTTGACAGCAGCTACTGCCAATAAGGCTTTTACAGAATTTATCTTAGCTACTGGAGAGAAAGTATCCAAGAAATCGATTCCATAAATTTGTGTAAAGCCCTTTGCCACCAATCTGACTTTATACCATTCAATTGATCCATCTAGTTTCAGTTTCAGTTTGAATACCCATTTGCATCCAATAACATGTTTGCCTTCTGGTACTTCCACAATATCCCAAGTCTGATTGGCATCCAATGCTCCCAGCTCATCTTGTAATGCTCTATTCCACTCTACTGATTTAATAGCTTCATGGTATGATGTAGGTTCAACATGTGACAAGACACTAAGAGCAAAAGCTCTATCTGCTGCATTAAGATGATCAACCTTCAAAACAACACGATGTGAACTAGTGGTAGTATCTCCAAAGGCACCAAACTTCAAACTGGGATCAATCTCATAGTCATTTAGTCTTGGGGGAAGGACTGGAACTCTCAAAGATTGTCTTAATGATGGTTTAAAGTCTTCCTGAGGCAGCAATTCACAATCCTGTTCACCATGGTCAACAACATGTGGTGAAGAATTTTCAGGAGGAATCTCAGGATCAGCTTCTACATCAGTATCTGCTACTTCTGTACTTGTAACCCCCCTTTCAATTGAGACTGGTTCTGGGGAAGGAGGCTCAGGAGAACAAGGTGAAGGAGCAGAAGGAACAGAGATGGGAGGAGCATGTGAAAATGAAGAAGGGTCAGGAGAAGAGGAAAGGAGAGAAGGAGAATCAGTAGAATGCCTAAAAGGCAAAATTATCTCATAAAAGACTACATCCCTGGATAGAAAGACTTTCTCCTTTTCCAAGTCAAGTAACTTGTAGCCTTTGACCCCTGTGGGTATGCCAAGGAAGACACATTGTCTGGCATGAGGGGAGAATTTGGTTCGATGATGACTTAATGTGCTTGCATAGCACAAACTTCCAAAGACCCTTAGATGAACCAGGAAAGGAGGCTTGTGATAAAGCAATTCATAAGGTGATCTATTTTGTAAAAGTGGTGTAGGCAGTCTATTAATCAGGTATACAACATGTAAAATGCAGTCACTCCAGTAAAGAAGTGGTAGTCCTGATTGGAACCTAAGTGACCTAGCAACATTAAGAATGTGCTGGTGCTTACGTTAAACTCTTGCATTTTGTTCTGGGGTTTCAACACAACTCATTTGATGTTCAATACCCTTCTCTTGAAAGAACTAATGCATGTGAAACTCTTTACCTTGGTCACTTCGAATGACCTTAACATCAGCATTAAACTGATTCTTAACCAAAGAACAGAATCCTTGCAAAAGTCCCCTTGTCTCATGTTTATGTTTCATAAGGAAAACCCATACTCCTCGTGAGTAGTCATCCACAACAGTCAAGAAATAGGAATAACCATCATAGGAAACAACAGATAAGGGGCCCCAAATGTCAACATGTAATAGTTCAAAGGCACATTTTGCAACACTGGTGCTAATGGGGAAAGGTAAACGTTTGTGTTTGGAATAATGACACACATCACAATGATAAATCTTAGAGTGAGTTTGATAGACCGTTAATTGCACATATTTTTACCCCTATTCTTGAGCCGTTTGAGATGTCGATTCTCGTGTTTTAGGCCAATTTCACGCTAGGTTGTTCTTGTTTGTGATATTTCAGGTCCTAGTACGTGAATGAAGGTTTGGGGACGAGTTCGGGGTCGATTGGATGAAGATTGGACATGTGGCGTGAAGCTGATGGAGCCACACGGGCACGCCTAAAACCTACACGGTCGTGTGGCCTGGCCATGTGGCACCAAATTGCACTGGCAAAGTCACACGGGCTATGTAGGTGACCCCCTGTGGCCGTGTGGAAATTCCAGGGAACTCACACGGGCATCCTGGAATTCCACACGGCCGTGTGGGTCGTGGCCGTGTAGGAAGCCTGAGTCACTTATCAAAACCATGGATTACGAAACCGTACCGGACATCAAACCGGAATCGTTTTTGGCATGGTAAAATCGTGGTACAACCATGGTTCAACCGTTTCCTACCGGCAAATACCGTTTTTGGAATAAAAAAATTAATATTTTGTTAAAAAACCGTACCGACAAAATTAGGGTACCATACCGGGAAAATACCGGAATAAAACCGGATTATACCGCCTAAGAAACTGTAAAAGAGTAAATAAGCTTAGGTAACATTCAACAAAGTGCGAGATTTCAATACCTAATAAACCTCATAATCATCCAAATACATTTTTAGAAACTAGTACAAAAACCACAAGCTTAATGTTGACAAACCACAAGCTTAATGTTTCACAAACCACAAGTTTAAACTTTAATGTTCACAAACCACAAGTTCAATGTCTCAAACTAGAAAGTAGAAACTACTAATTGGATCTTTTGTTTGAAATCAAATCCATATTTTCAAGCAACTCCAAATGTAGAAAAGTCAACATTCAGGAACTCGTCTCCTTCATCTGCTTCATCACTAACTAGAATACAAAAAAAAAAAAAAAAACAAGTAAGAAGCATTATAAATTATGACGTATTAGAATTCACATCATAATAACTAATTCACAAACCTTCCTCTGCAAGTGCTCGATCGAGCTCATCAATATCCAATTCCTTGTCTTTAGAAGATGCACCTTCATTCTCTTCTATCAACCACTCAGTAGAAATATCAGAATGAATGCTTTCAAGAGATATGGGATCATATGATTCTTTGTTCTTCATGGCATAATACTCTCTAGTCAAAGTGGAATGCATATATTGATTCAGTTCAATAGTAAATATAAAAACTAGAACAAATAATAATTCACAAGTTTATTCATACCTATTCTGCAGTCGCAAGTTGTAATTCACAAACACCAAATCACTAAGCATTTTGTGCTGCAATTTGTTTCTTCTTTTGGTGTGCACACGTTCAAATACACTCCAATTACGTTCAGAGCCAGAAGAAGAAGCATTTTGGCTAAGAATGCGAATAGCCAACTTCTGCAGATGCGGAACATCAATACCAAACCATTTCCACCACTTATCTGCATATTAAGCATACATGTTAGTTTCTTAATTCTTAATAAACAGAACTAGTATTAATGTACATAAATTCAATTACCTGGTTGTAGCTTTTGCACAGAATCAATTGCTTGCTTCCTCCCAAAATTACCTTTTCGTTAAGAATACAAAGTCAGCTCCTCAAGCACCACATTTGTATCAGGACATAAGGATTGGTTCTCAAGAAGATCAAGAATGCCATTTTTAATAGGCCTTGTATCTTCAAAATCGTTGGCATACTTGAAAGCCGGATTAAGGAAGTATGATGCCACAAACAAATCACGGCTCAAATGTTTATCCCACCTCTTATTAATGAGGTCTATGTAAGGCTTGTACTGCTCCACCTTATCTTCACAAATAGCCTTCACAGCTTTTGACACTCTAATCATCCCATCATGTACATACCCCATAGTTGGTTTACTATATGAATCCACAATGCGAAGTAATTTCACTATTGGCATTGTCAACTTAACTATGAAGTCACAATCCACCCAAAACTATTGATCCAGTACAATTGACTTCACATCCTTTCCAACCTGCATTTTTGAGAATTCACTATCTCGAAAGAATTCACTGATCACTAGAGCCTCCAAGTCATTCATATGCTCAAAAATACTTTGCAAACGCAGAAATGTAGTTGCAAATCTTGTAGCTCCAGGCCTCACTATTTCTTTCCAATTATCTCTTGTCTTCAACCAGTAATAAAGTGGGCCATGATTATAAACAAATTTAGAGATTTTGGTTGCTCGATATGCAAGAGTCCTAACATGAGGCAGCCCTCCAATGTCTTGCAGAAGTAAATTCAGGGTATGAGCAACACAAGGAGTTCAATATATATTACCATAATGGTCATGAATCATCTTCCCTGCAGATCTATAATTAGATGCATTATCCGTCACCACCTGCACAACATTCTCTGCCCCAACCCAATCAATGACCCCACTAAACAACTTAAACAAGTTCTTTCCCGTCTTCACCATACCAGAAGCATCAACGGATTTCACAAAGCATGTGCCATTAGAAGAATAAATCAAAAAGTTGATAAAAGATCTATGCCTATTATCTGTCCAACCATCTTCCATAATGGTGCATCCAGATTCCTTCCAATGAGATCTAAGATTCTCAATCAATATCTGACATTCTTTCACAATGTTATCCAATAAAGTAAACCTCAAAGCATAATATGTAGGACCACCATAACCAGGACCAAGGGTTAAAGAAGCATCCAATGCAATTTTAAACTGTGGAGATTTAATTGCTTCTAAAGGAACACATGCATCATAGAACCATATAGCCCATGCTCGATCTACATACAATACAGCTTCTTTAGTTGCTAAGGCACTCTTTATTCCCGGTTGGCTACCAGAAGTTGATCGTGGAGCAAAGAAAGTTTCAACTGATCCAGTAGACACATTTGTGGAAGTAGCAACTCTTTTAGAACTATTACCATCATCATGTGCACTAGAAGAACTAGTCTCACGAGGTTCTTTAAATCCAACTTTGATAAGTTCAGATTTCTTCTTATTAGCTTCAAAATCAGTCAAAAGTTTGCTCAAGTTTTGCCTCACCTCAGGAGGAACCTTTGTACATACAGCATTATCCCCACTAACTCCAGCTAGATGTTTTTCATTCTAGTGATTCCTCCACCTCTGAATACTTTCTCACAATATATGCAAGTGCGTACCTCAACCTTTCCCTCAAGATGAAAGGTACAATGATTCCAAGTCGGATCAGTTTTGGCCCGTACATTCTTTGTTGACACTCGTGGTGTACTAGAAGCTGCTCCTTGCTCAACTGCCGGGGTTTCTTCCCCGCTAGCCATTGCTGTCACAATAAAAACAATAAACATATTGTTAGTAAACACCCACAAATTTTGTACTACGGATCTTCATTCAGTTCATCAATTGAGTTCTGTTTACTAACCCATGAATCAACCTAATTCAATGTTTTCGTTTCATTTTGTACAAAGTAGAATGGAAGCAGTGACAAAGGGAGATGGAGAAAACAAACCCTACCTCTAATCTCAGTGTGTAAACGTTATCGCGGCTGGGAACGACCAACGAAGCTCCTCTTTCTCGGTTTCTCCTCCGGCGCGGCGCGGCTGTGAACGACGATGTCTTCGATTGCTGGAGAGGACGAGTCGCCGGTGGTGTTTGGTTGCTGGGGAGGACACTGTCGCCGGTGGTGTTCGATCTCTGGTAGAGTTCGAGAGGCAGAGCGGCGCGGCGTGGGGAGACGAGAGGCAGAGCGACGCTGGGAGAGGGAGACGAGAGGCAGAGAGAAGAGCGCTAGCAAGGGCCAGCCGAAGGTAGGTTTTCGCGTCTCTGCTTCTCTTCCGTTTTTTTTAGTTTGCATCAAAACGACGCCGTTTGCGTAAAATGAAGGGACCGCCGGGTTTATTAAAACCGGCCGAAATTTTGGCCCATTGCGGTCCAACCGAAAATACCGCCCGACAGGATTTTGAAGGGTACACAACCCCTATCGTGCCGTTTTACCTCCGGTTTCCGGTTTTCCCGGTTCGACCGGCCGGTCCGGTACGGTATCCTGGTCCTTGATCAAAACGCCGTGGTTTGCACAACTCACACGGGCAGCTGGGGATGTCACACGGCCGTGTGAGTCAGGATTTTCTGGGTTTTAACCCAATTTTCAGCAAAGGAGAAGGAGTTCCGACTTTTAGAGAGAAAAAGTGCGACCTAGAGAGAGAAAGTGACGAACCTGACTCTGCAAGTGTCATAGATCAATCTCCACCACCATTGGAGCTCGGCTTGAGCTTGGAGAAGACCTGATTGAGTGCCAGAAGTAGATTATCATCCTTCACAGTATGGTTTCCGCATCTGAGCTAGATTTCCCATCTCTCTCTATGGAGTAGTTTTCTTATTCACCTGGGTATGAAGAACCCTAGATTTGTATGTTAGGTCTGATTGTATGAACCCAAGTACAGATTCATTGATACTATTATGTTCAATTGAGGTTTGATTAGTTGAATGGCATGAATCCTGATCAAATTCCTGTTGTTTCTGCTTTAACTTAGAAAGAGAATATCTGCCTAGGTTGATAGAGCACCCTTGATTGAAGGTAGTGAATTGGCGACTTTAGTCGAGAAGTCAATTCATTATTCTGTACCGGATTTACTTCGGTAGTGGAGGTTTGGTTCGTTAGGGCCTCAATCTGTTTACTCCGGTGGAGGTTAGTCGCCCGCTGGGAACTCAGATTGAGAGGGTCTGGAGACCTTTAGTCGAGACTTCAGACTGTTTGAGAACCTCCCGCAGTATAACTATCTTTGAAATTGAACTTGGTAAATTACAATCCGGCTTAACTGCAGTCTAGGGGGAACCATATCCGGGTGACCTCTCTCGACTTGAAAACAACCGTTTAATTGCTTGCTTGGTTTGACCTTCACTAAAGTGTCACTACTAAATAATAAGAACTCACGGAGTAGTCATCACATCTAGGACCCGGGTTGACATTAAAATCCAAACCTGCTATACTACGCTTTAGGAAGTGGTTACACTTGGCCATTTTCTAGAGTGACGGTAGGAGCGAGTCAAGTATTTGGCGCCGTTGCCGGGGACAGCTAGGTTGTTGAAGAAACGTGAATTATGTTAATTTAGCTTTTCGTTTTTAGCATTGTCTGCTTGTCACACTTGTGCCTTCACGGGTTTGCTTGCTTGGCTGTGTGCAGGTAGTGCATGACCCGTAGCCAGTCAGGAGGTTTACTGTCGTTGGATCCGGAGCTTGAACGCACCTGTCGCCAACTTAGGAGACAGCAGCGAGCTAGACTGGCTACGGAGGAGCGCATAGACGGCCACTTGAGTAGCAATTCCGAGTAAGAGTACGAGATGGAAGGAGACCATAACCCGCCACAGGGGATACCTCTCCAGGTTCCCCCAGTGAACCAGATCCTGGGGAACAACCCAATACCCCAGGAAGATGGGGTTCATCATCAACCACCGCCACCGGGTCCCAACTTCGAGTACTACTACACTCCACGGATTGCTGATATCCGCCCTGTCATCCTATACCCGTCCATTCCAGCGAACAACTTCGAGATCAAGCCATGCTGGATTCAACTCATCACATCTTCTATCCAGTTTCATGGCTTGAAGGATGAGGAGGCAAGGGTGCATCTTTCCCGTTTTCTGCAGCTGACGAACGGGTTCAAGCTAAATGGTGTCCCCGATGACGCAATCCGCCTTCAGCTCTTTCCCCATTCTCTGGCGGGGAATGCTAAGAGGTGGTTGGAGACCCAGCCCCCATTGTCCATCACTTCTTGGGAAGATCTGGCCAACAAGTTCGTGCACAGATACTATCCAGCATCGAAGACTACAGAGATTCAGCGAGAGATCACTGACTCTCGCCAGGAGCCAGACTAGTCACTTCGTGATGCATGGGAGCGATACATGGGATATTTCTGGCAGTGCCCCCATCATGGCTTCAGTGATGCATTCACCGTGGGGAACTTCTACAGTGCTCTCTCTCCGGACAGCCAGAGGGTGATTGAGTCTCTATGCCCAGGAGGGGATATTCTTACTAAGACTCCACCCGAGCTGAACCAGATGATCAGTACCTTGGCTGCCAGAGATCACTCCTGGGGGCAGAGCACCAGAGGCAGAAATTCTCGGGATCGTGGTGTGCACGCCATGGAGGCCAGGTCCGGGCTCGAGCAGCAGGTGGCCGAGTTAGTGCAGACATTGAAGCAGCCCAACAGTCTTATTCCTGGCAGAGGTCTGGGCGGACCTCCAGTAGCTCAATGTTAGTGGTGTGAGAGCTCAAATCATCTGGTGGAAGACTGCCAGTCTATACGGGAGTCTTTTACCCCCCAAGAGAAGTTGGACTTCATCGCCAATGCTCGGCGCCTTGACCCGTACAGCAATACATACAATGAGGGGTGGCGCCAACATCCCAATTTCGCTTGGAGTAGCAACACCACTAAACCACCTGGTTTCCCAGCACCAGCAGATGGTTTTCAGCAGAGGCAGCCTTTCCAGGCTAGACAGGGGCCAGTCCCACAGCAGCAGCCCTACCAACCTAGTCAGGGGCAACCACTCCAGCAGCCTCAGCGTCAGTATGCCGAGCCAGCAGCAGCTCCAGCTACAGATAATGAGATGACGGAGCTGAAAAACATTCTAGCGGCATTCATGACTACCAGCCAGGCAAATTTCACGAGGATGGACCAGAACATAGCCTCAATGGAGGCAGGCCAGAGGAACCAGGGTGCCATTTTGCAAGATTTACAGAACTAGGTTGGTGACATAGCTCGCCAAATTAATACTAGGGCCCCAGGAACTCTGCCTGCCACAACCATCCCCAATCCACAGGAGCCGCACCAGCAGCTGGATGCCATCACCACCAGGAGTGGCAAGTCCACATCGGCGGTTCCTGTCTAGGCTAGGGAAGAAAATCCACTGCTTGCTTCAGCACTTCCAGCCGACGATGCAGAAGAGAGGGTGGAGAAGGAAGCCCCTGCTCCCAAGCCACAACCAGTGGTCAAGGAGCTTGTACCCCAGCTTCCCTTCCCCACTCGAATACACAAAGATAAGCTGGAGACTGAGTTCGCCAAGTTCATGGCAATGTTGAAGCAGCTCAACGTCAGCATACCTTTCATGGAGGCACTGTCGAAGATTCCCAAGTACGCAAAGTTCATGAAGGATCTCCTCAGCAACAAGAAGAAACTTGGGGATCTTTCGACAGTGATGCTGAGCGAGAGTGTTCTGCCATCTTGCATAACAAGCTTCTTGAAAAGCGCAAAGACCCAGGGAGTTTCACTATCCCTCTTAATATTGGCAGCATGCATGTAGGGAAGTCCTTGGCGGACCTAGGCGCTAGCATAAATTTCATGCCATACAATCTGTTTAAAAAGCTAGACCTAGGTGAACTTAGCCCTGCTAGGATGAGCATTCAGTTAGCTGATCGCTCTATTGTGCATCCTAGGGGTATCATAGAGGATCTGCTTGTTAAAGTAGGCGCATTCACGTATCCTGTTGATTTTGTTGTTCTGGATATAAATGAGGATGTGGATGTGCCTTTGATTCTGGGTAGACCATTTCTTGCCACCGCCAAGACACTTATTGGTGTGCATAGTGGTAAACTGATCTTGCGTGTTGGGAATGAACATGCTACTTTTTCTGTGGCTGACCTTGATCATTGTGATATGCCTGCTGTCACACCTATGCATGCTATTTCTCCAGGTACACGAGCCTGTCGTGTACCCCCCTGTGCATCTCGTTTTGCAGGATCCCCCTCTCATGCCTGCGCCGCCACTCCCTTCAACCTCACCGCCAAACAAAAATATGAAAGAGGAGTGGCGGCCGAAGTAGCAAGTGGCTAAGCCTGCACGGAAGAAAGGTGGAGACCACTATGAGCTGGTTCCACCTCCTGCACCACGACCACCCTGGCCATCCGAGTACTCCCTCGCCTGCATCTTGCCGGATGGCCAGGTCGAGCTGACCAATGCTGGCGGTCGCACCCGTCCGGTACATGGCCGCAATCTGAAGCTGTACCTCAAGAGAGATGTGGATCCGCTCTTGGAGGCACCTATTCCTGCACCCCGCTGAGTATCCACCATGGGCGTCCAGCTAAAAGACGGTAAAGAAGCACTTGTGGGGAGGCAACCCCACCACGGTTTACATTTATTTCTTTTGTTTTGGGTCGGATTGTAAACTGGTTTGGTTTTGGTTTGTTTTCTTTTCTTTTCTTTTGTATGATGGATGATGTATGTTTTCTTTTACATTTATTTCTTCTGTTCTCTTTAGCTGTGCTTTGTCCCTGACTGGCCCCCTCTCCAGTCCACTTCACTCAGACTGGTCCCTTTCCAGTCTCATGTAGTCCGTGCACACCGGTAACATCGTTCCCCTTATCCTTCCCTCTTCTTCATTGAGGACAATGTCGATCTTAAGTGTGGGGGGGATGCTTCTCTTTTGACTTCATTAGATCTGTTTGTGTGCTTGGAGCCTAGTCCACTGTCCAAATTTTTAAATTTGAGGGCTCCAAGTACGTGTTTCCTTGCAAATTGCATGCTCAGTATGCTTTGAATTGACAGTCTCTATAGTAATGTGCAACCTAGGGAGGTAGTGTAGCACTATGGAGGATGTTGAAGTATAAATTTTTTCCTATCTAGCTCTCTGCTGTGCCAGTTGATTTTGTGAATTAGTGGAGCTAGGACCGTTGAATTCATGTGATAATGGTGACTCTATTTGGATTGTGTTATGGACTCGTGTACCGAACAGGGTGCTCATGTGAAAAATGAAATGCAATTGGTCCTCCATGTCAAAATCATTAAATCTTAAACATGGGGTAAGCCCAACGTGTGCGGCACCGTTCATTGCACAAAATTGGGTTTTGGAAGAGATTTTAGTGATCCTAAGTAGGGTACTCCTATAAGGTGAAGCTAAGCTGTCTCTAGTACAAGTAAAATTTCCACCCGTTGAACGGTTTGCCTACTTGAGGATGTGTTTTTAAGGGCACGGATAGAGCTTCCGACCCCCCTTAATTTCATTGACCCTCCACACGAGTTGAGGAAAAGGAGTTAAAAGAAGTACTCTTGCGAGCGCCAGATGTACAAAAATTGCTCTTGCTCGACTAATAAGGGTCGACCGTGCGAAAGACTGCAGTTGGAACCCTCGCTAAGTGAATGAAAAAAAAAACGAAAAAAAGAAGTAAAATGGAAATGAAAAAGGGGTCCCAACGGTGAAATGAAGTGAAAGAGCACCCCAGTATCACGAGTCCTTGATTGTGAATGGTGTGAGTACCTTTATCCATGAACTGACTGTCTTACTTCCACTGCTTCTCATGATCCTGGCTTGAGTCTAGTACTAGCATTGAGAGAAATAGGGAACGTCTTAGAAAACCAGTTGACCTCGTAAGCTGCTATATGAACTAGAAAATCCTCTACCGACGATCGGGGTTGTTTGTTGCTATAGAGGTCTGAAGAGTTGCATTGGTTTGAGTTAGGTTTTCTTGGGGACAAGCAAACAGTTAAGTGTGGGGGAGTTTGATAGACCGTTAATGGCACATTTTTTTTAACCCTATTCTTGAGCCGTTTGAGATATCGATTCTCGTGTTTTAGGCTGATTTCACGCTAGGTTGTTCTTGTTTGTGATATTTCAGGTCCTAGTACGTGAATGAAGGTTTGGGGACGAGTTTGGGGTCGATTGGATGAAGATTGGACATGTGGCGTGAAGCTGATGGAGCCACACGGGCACGCCTAAAACCTACACGGCCGTGTGGCCTGGCCATGTGGCACCAAATTGCACGGGCAAAGTCACACGGGCCGTGTAGGTGACCCTCTGTGGCCGTGTGGAAATTCCAGGGAACTCACACGGGCATCCTGGAATTCCACACGGCCGTGTGGGTCGTGGCCGTGTAGGAAGCCTGAGTCACTTATCAAAACGCCGCGGTTTGCACAACACACACGGGAAGCCGGGGATGTCACACGGTCGTGTGGCCTGGCCGTGTGAGTTAGGATTTTCTGAGTTTTAACCCAATTTTCAGCAAAGGAGAAGGAGTTCCGAGTTTTAGAGAGAAAAAGTGCGACCTAGAGAGAGAAAGCGACGAACCTGACTCTGCAAGTGTCATAGATCGATCTCCATCACCATTGGAGCCCAGCTTGAGCTTGGAGAAGACCTGATTGAGTGCCAGAAGCAGATTATCATCCTTCACAGTATGGTTTCCGCATCTGAGCTAGATTTCCCATCTCTCTCTATGGAGTAGTTTTCTTATTCACCTGGGTATGAAGAACCCTAGATTTTTATGTTAGGTCTGATTGTATGAACCCAAGTACAGATTCATTGATACTATTATGTTCAATTGATATTTGATTAGTTGAATGGCATGAATCCTGATCAATTCCCGTTGTTTCTGCTTTAACCTAGAAAGAGAATATCTGCCTAGGTTGATAGAGCACCCTTGATTGAGGTAGTGAATTGGCGACTTTAGTCGAGAAGTCAATTCATTATTCTATACTGGATTTACTTCGGTAGTGGAGGTTTTGTTTGTTAGGGCCTCAATCTGTTTACTTCGGTGGAGTTTAGTCGCCTGCTGGGGACTCAGATTGAGAGGGTATGGAGACCTTTAGTCAAGACTTTAGACTGTTTGAGAACCTCCCGCAGTATAACTATCATTGAAATTGAACTTGGCAAATTACAATCCGGCTTAACTGCAGTCTAGGGGGAACCATATCCGGGTGACCTCTCTCGACTTGAAAACAACCGTTTAATTGCTTGCTTGTTTGCTTGGTTTGACCTTCACTAAAGTTTCACTGCTAAATAATAAGAACTCACGGAGTAGTCATCACATCTAGGACCCGGGTTAACATTAAAACGCCCAAACCTGCTATACTACGCTTTAGGAACTGGTTACACTTGGCCATTTTCTAGAGTGACGGTAGGAGCGAGTCAGAGTTACAGTGGAATCAGTTTGCTGTAACATTGAAATCCTATCACTACTAGCATGTCCTAGCCTCCAATGCCAAACATCAAAGTTCTGTGGTTTGAAATTGAAAGAAGTGGCTGCTGTGAAGTGTGATTCTGGTTCGTGGACTTGGTCTGATGAGGTGAAAGACAGGTAGTAAAGGCCTCTACGTTCTCTTGCTAAACCAATCATCCTCGAGCTTACTGGGTCCTGAATTTGGCACAAGTTGGAATGAAAATGTAAGACTAGAGGTTGGTCATGAGTAAGCCTACTAACTGAAATGAGGTTAAAAGCAAAGATGGGTACTAAAAGCACATTGTAGAGATGGAGTCCTGCAGGCAATCTAATAGTTCCAATGTTAGTGACTAAAACCTTAGAGGCATTAGGCAGATGAACAAAAACATTCGCACTTCTCTATGTTCTATAAGTAGGTTTAAAGAGCAAGAGATATGGTCTGAAGCACCAGTATCTACTATCCATAGAGCATCTACAGAAGGAGTTATTTGTGGTGAAAAGGTTGAAAGGCAGAATTTACCTGCATAGTTGGGATATGGAGGCAAGAATTGGGAGACAGAATAAGCATTGTGTGCTATAATGGGAGAAAGTGGTGGTGAGGTGACAGCATTACCACCAGCTTGCATCATGTGCCTTAGCCTGTTCATTTCCTCAGGTGTAAAACCCATTACAGTCTTAGAAGAACTTACAGGGCTATTTCCAGTAGTGTCATTAGAACTGCCAAAGCTTGACTCTGTTGAAGTATCACTGGAGTTGTTCTGTGAAACTGAACCAGCAAAACCAGTGACATTACCCTGTCCACTTCTGGGTGTTCCTCCATCTTCCATCTCTCTTTTCTTCTTGATCTTCTAACATTCATCCACATTATGCCCATACCTCTTACAGTAAACACATTGTTTCTTGACTTGTGTTTTTGGCTTCCCTTCTTGTCCAGCTTCAACTGCTAATGCCACGGTCTGACTCTTTCTTCCACTTGTCATAGATTCTGCTTTTAGTTTATGCTCATACAAAAGAAGATCATCCACTGCTTCTGAAACAGTAGGAAGGGGTTTCTGTGACAACAACTGACTTTTAATGATCTCATAATCTGGATGAAGACCCCTTAAAAACCTTATCAAATAGTCTGTTTCTTGTCTCTCTATATAAGCAACCACAGCGTCACAAGGATTGGGATTTCCTAGGGCACAGTTACAAGGAACTATTGGATTGAATTTGACATATTCTTCCCACAACCCCTTAATCAAAGTGTGATACTGATTGATTGTGAGGTTTCCTTGTTTCTGCTTATGGATGTCATCCTCCAGGTTAATGAGTCTAATAGCATTAGGTTTACCATATATTCTTTTCAGCTCATCACATAAGACCTTAGCATTGATTTGATTCATTACAGATATCTTTAGATCTTTGTGCAGGGAGTTCAAAATCCATGATAAGACAGCTGTGTTACAAGCATCCCACAACAAATACCTCTCATCAGTCACTAGAGGAATTGGGATACTCCCATCTATGAACCCCAAGCTTATGTTTCATCTTAAGACCCATTACTACAGATCGACTCCACATAGTGTAGTTGGTTCCATCAAACACCTCCGTACCAATAGACTGATTGAGAGCTTCATTAGGGTTGAGATAGTAGGGATTGCCGAATGTGATTACCTCAGATCTGGGTCCAGATGTGAATTGTTGTTGGTTTCCTTGCTTGTCTGTGCAAGTCCCAAATTGAACTCCTTGAACACCAGATCCAGTTATCCCAGCTGACCCATTTCCTGATGACTGAGGACGGCCATGGTTTCTCGTCGACGGAGTATTCATCATAACCCTAGTAGCGGAACCGCTTTGATACCATATGAGATTTTTAGATAGGGATTTGGAGAATAGCAGAACCCTCATATGGTTTCTCTGTTCTGCTTTCGTTTATATATCAATGAGCTAATTTGAATTAGCCCGCTAGTCCACGTGTCTCTGCCTTATAGGCCATTACAAGAAATAAACACTGTTTAACAACGGCTAACCATTGTAACATGGAACGACACAGTTTTGCTCTCTGAAACTTAAACAACAAAAAGGAAACGTTTCTAATACAGGAAACGTCTTCGTCTTCAAACAACAAATCCTTCTTTCATCAGGACTCCTTCTTCTTCATGCAACTTCTTCTGGTCAGCATTCTTTCTTCACAACGTGGTCGTCGTCTTAGGAAGGTAAAAGTTCTCTGGTTAATGAGTGGTTGCTTTGTCAAGGTGCCAGCGATCTCTTTATCAACTTCTCGCTTCTGAAGCTTGGCTAGAGTATTCAAGTTTTTGTCTGCTTCCGTTACGTTACATCATTGGGGACAAAAGGCTCTTCCAATTATTGTAATGGGCGCCAATCCATCATTCTGCCTGGTCAAAGGTACTCGTCCACTTGCATCAACAACTGTGTTCAATCGAAGCAAGCACCTCGCCTTGCTTGTACCGTAGAGAAGTCTTGTCAGGGTTACGGAGGGACGAGTCTGGTCAAAGGTACTCGGCCACCATTCCTTTTGCTCTCGATGGTTGGTTGGATGGGTTCAATTGAACGCTTTATTCATTTGAGGACTATCCAGAGTGTCAGAAGCTAACAACTTAATTGCTTGGCTAGTTTTGTCAGGATTCCGCTTGATTCAATCAGTCCTTGCCATCAAGCTCCTGTTGATCCATGGTGGTTGGATGGGCCACGTGAAATCATGTCCCTCTTCTCTAAAGGAGTTGCATGTATTTGTTAAGGCCATGTCATGTCCTCCTCATTGGGACACATTGTCTTTGTTAAAGCCACGTAGTAGTTTTCACTATCACCATCCAAGGGAAGCAGCAACCCTGTTGCAATTCTGCCGAGTCAAGTTCATATTGGTAATCATTTGCCAACAGCATGGGATTCCATGTTTAGCCATGGATCACCAAAATGAGGCGGCAAAGATGCAAAACCAGCAATCTCAAAGGTTCCTCGTCGGCAGCTGGACCTCTTTGTTTGAGTTGTTTGGCTTTTCCAGTATCGATTGAGGCATTCACGATCCATAATGGTCGTCCCCTAGCGTTCAAAAAGGTAGTACGATCAAAGAAGTAATCGTCCTTTCATCGTCCAGTTGGCAATCACGATCCAAGAAATGGTCGTCCCCTCTTCCGGTTTATTAATGGCTCACATTAACCATTCATCGCTTTTCAAGCCGGGCATTCACGTTGTTCATGCTCCGGCTTGAGGGGGAGAATAGGAGGTCAACATACGTTGGTCGACTAGCTCAGTCATCAAGTCGACCGCGATGTACCAAGTGTGTTCAAGTTCAAGAGACGCAGTCAACCGTCTCCATCATCAGGTTGTTCAGAGAGAGAGTCAGTTGTCTCCAATCAACCTCGTCCGAGATTTTATTCATCTCGAGTTTTTGGTTCAAGCCATCATGCTTGTTCTTCACATTTCCTTCTTCAAACTTGACATTCTTGTCATTCATGTCTTCGCTTGAGGGGGAGTGTTGCGGTTACTTAAACCGTATTAGTATTGGGCCTTGTTAGGCCTCATCCTATTCGTTGGATTAGGGTTTTAACCCTAAGTCTTTCTCTATATAAACTTAGTTACGAGATTGTCATAAGCAAGCCGTCACAATGTAAACCTAATAAAAGATTAGCCGTGAGCTCTTCAAAGCTCACCATGAATTAGTTATGTTCACATCGAAAAAGGATACCATGTAAAATCGTTTGTCTAGTGTTCTTGTTATTCTGCATCATCAAATTCAACAAACAACAATAACATATCCCATAGATCACTGAATCCCCACATCCAAAAACGTAACTCTTCAGCATCTCAACCTGATTCGTCATCATAGCGATCTCTACCTCGTGTGGTATTCTCCTATGGGAGCACCATCCATTTGTTGGCCGCGTTTGCAGCTTCTCAACCATCAACATCAGCCACCGCTATGATCTCCTTGCCTTCACCACCACTATTCTCTAGTGTATCATCAACTACTACTGCAACTGTCGATTTGGCATATCTTTTGTGTTGCAAAATTTTGTTGAACCGGATCAAATTGGTTTAAGGTTTGACCAACCAAATCAATTTGGCATTGGACCAACCAAATTGGTTTAGAGTTAGACCGCCCAAATCAAATATTCTAATTCCATGAAGGGACCCTGACATTTGATTTAGGGGCGGTTGCAACCTTATAGATAAGGACAATTTATGGATAGAGACAACCTATTGTAAAACAATGCATGGATTCTACCCTATAAATATAGGTGCGGGATGAATGAGGCAACATACCACGAAACTGATTCTTCTTTCTTCTAGCGGAGAGGGTGACGAAGACTGTCAAGGTCGCAATGTTTGCATTGCATAGGCGGGAGCGGGAAGAGCTCCTCGAGGGGTGGAGGTGTTTGCTGGAGGGGAGCATGAATTTCTGGAAATGAGGTGGCAACGGTGATGTTGTGTGTAGGAAGAAGGTGGATTAGCCCATTAGAGATTGGGAAATGAGGAAGAGGGTTGGTGGATTACGGGTGACCCGAACGACCCACACCATATTTTTCATATGACAAAAATGTTATTTCTCGTTTATATATATTATAAAATAGTCATTAATCACACTACATACCGACCGACCGTTGACTTTTAAATATGGAGAATAACAAGTATCTTTGGACTACTACTATTTGTTACTATATTGTGTAATGTCCATTAGAGATTGTGATGCAAATTATAAACTATTAAGTGCATCAAAGTCGCAAGAAGCGTTAATTTTCTCTACCCAATTACTTTATGGAGTAATGAAAATTTTAATGCAAATACTACATGGATCCATAGGAGACAAATTGAGAAGCGTTTAAATTGATATACTCTTACTAATTTGTGAAAAAACTTATTATATACGTTAACGAACTTTTTTTATTGCTAGTTGGAGAATTGATTTTTTGAGTTGACCACAACTAACCCGCATCCATATTTCATCCACTCAACCCAACCCAGAAAAAGAAAATGAGAGCGAATAACAAATTATAATAATACTAACTCGCTGATAAGCGGATGAGTTAATTTGACACTAAAAAGCCACTCACCCTTTCCATTACCCACCCCTAGTCAGAAACCACAGGAATAAAAAATGATTACTACATGGCGCTTAAGTATTTGAAAGTAAGTAGGCCTCAACTTAAAACGCTCAAACAAATGAAACAAAATTTTGAAATCTGAATGGTGAAGAAAAGAAAACTGGACAGAGAAGTATGATATAAGAGGTAAAATTCTTATACACGTATACGTATGTAAATAATCTACTAACGAATGTCCATGGATAATCAGACAAGGAACACGTACAAGAGTACACTGAACTGACGGAAAGCTCTTTGTACGTAGCTACAGAGAGACCAAATCAAATCTCCTACCGAAAGCAGCCGGGGATAATGTGGCTTTCCTCCTCGTCATCCTCATCGTTCTGCGACGGCAAAGTAATGTGGAGAGGCTCTAAGCCGCCTCCGCCGACGGCGGCGGCGGCGGCGGGTTCAGGGACAAGGTCGAAGTTGGAGGTGGTGGTGGTGAAGCTGCTGAGGTTGAGTAGGTTGGTGGAGGCCGATGAGTTGTTGGAGTAAGCTGGCTGAAGGAAAGCGACTTGCTGCTGTTGCTGTTCTTGTTGATGCTGAGAGGAGTTGTTGTGGTGGAGAACATTGGCCATGGCGTATCGGCTGTTTATGAGCTGGTTCTGCACCATTGCTAGCTCGGCCTGCAGAGATGCTACCTGCACAGTTTTCTTGCCGCACACAGTTTTGTTAAATGGTTAATGACATTTAGCTATTAATTTTTTTTAATATTACTTATCTATATTTGAGTCAGATTGGTGTAACTCTTACATATACCGTACTTTGGATATTCATGATATATAAATATAGATCATGAACTGAATTATGTTTTGACTATGATACTATAAACTAATCTCTATGAGATAATTTCCAGATTCTAATTCTTCAAATTCAAATACAAAGATCGATTTAATAAAAAATGAAAATCGACAATTATAATTTGTTGAAATACAACGAAGTAGATCTTATGGCCTAATCACTTGGAATATGATATACTCCATGAGTATACCAATATTACCATCTATATCATATGTATTTTGCGAGTTTCTTAGTCAGTGTAAGGGAAAAGATGGTGATCCTAAATAGACCTGGCAAATTACAACCCGACCCGTTGACCCGCCCGAAAAGTCGAAGTTTTTTATCATTCAAAATCCGAATGTCCCGAAAAAGATAACCCGTGATTTTTTGGGTCGGGTTGGGTGGGCTAGCAGGTCGACCTGTTAGACACATTTTTTATATATCACTCCGAAAATGATAGAATCACTCATAAACTGCTGAGATATTTATAAAAAAATTCATAAGGACTTGAATGACATGTTTGGAGTTTAAGGAAAATCAAATATCATGCGCTTCTTGTAGTAGTATTACTTTTGTGATTTTTTTAACGAAATGCGCAATTTGTATTTCAATCCATTAGCATGAGAGGATTTGATAATATGTTAATTGACATGTGTTAGGTAAACGATTGACATGCATATGTGAAAATTTGTGTTCTTTAAGAAAATATGAAGCATGTTTAATATTGTTTCTGAGAACGCTCATAACTTGAAACGACCTGTAATCCAATCCGAAACCGAATGGGTTGAGTCAATATTTGACCCGAAAATAGCCAACCAACATGACTCGACCCGTAACCGAAGGTCCCAACCCGGCCCGATTGCCAGGTCTACCTAACAAATTACAACCCGACCCGTTGACCCGACCTGAACCTGCCCGAAAAGTAGAATTCTCTATAACCCAAAACCAGATGACCCGAACCCGGTAACCCATGATTTTTTGAATCGGATTGGGCACGTTAGCGGGTCGACCCGTCCCAACCCTTTAGACCCGTTCCTTTTTATATATCATTCACAAAATGATAAAAGCAATCATAAATTGGTGAGATGTTTAAAAAAATTCATAATGATTTGAATGACATGTTTGGAGTCTAGCTAAGGATAATCAAATATCAGTTGCTTCTTGTAGTAGTATTACCCTTGTGATTGTTTTTTAATAATTTGCGCGATTTGTATTTTATTTCATTAGCATGGGAGGATTTGAGTATATGTTAATTGACATGTGTTAGGTAAACTATTGGCATGCATATGTGAAAATTTGTGTACTTCTTTAAGAAAATATGAAGCATGTTTTATATTATTTCTGAAAGCGCTCATAACCCAAAATGACCTGTAACCCTACCCGAAATCGAATGGGTTGGATTAACATTTGACCCGAAATCAGCCAACCCAATATAACCCGACCCGTTATCGGAGGCCCCAACCCGAAATTACTCAATCCGACCCGATTGTCATGTCTAATACTGAATCCAGCGATATTAGGGAATTTGGTAGACATACCTTTTGCTTTTGAAGAAAATATGAGGGGGAACTTTGAACTGAGCAAGAAAGTAAACCCCCTTTTCTTTAGGCTCATGCAAAAAGTAATTGTGAAACCGTTGAATTAAAAAAGATAAAAACAAACAAACAGAAAGTATCAGCTAATTAAGACGCCATGCATTTCAATTCATGCACCTTATTTGTCGTATTTTGCCACTCAATATCCAATTATTTATTAACATTTTTATTTCCAACCACCCATATATGACTGATGGGGCTGTTACAATTAAACGTTTCTTTCTGGATTCTAGTAGTAAAGTACTCGAGGATTAGAAAGGACAAAGTTCTTCACTGATCAGGGTAAAAAAATAAAATAAAAACGCACCAAAAGCTTGAAATTTTTGCGATCCACATTGCACCATAATGAAACCTTGATTTCTTTCGCGTTTGTTTCAAACACTCAAATCAACCAACGCCACGGTAATATCTAAACATATATCCTTGATTGAAATATGGGGAAAAACCAAACCACAAAGAAATTAGGGTTGTAAGTTTGGCTTGGTTAACCAAAATACCAAACCATTTAATCATGAAAATCAAGAACCAAATCACGCAAGTTCTCAAAAATTATCGCAACCAAAATTGTTAAAGGCCTTATCGGTTATTGATTAACCTAAAATCGATAAGTCCTTTATTGGTTTTGGTTTGGGCAAACTAAAAACTCATTTCGTAGTTCGGGAAATCCGGAAACGGAGTCAGAAAAAAAAAAAAAAAGAAGCATGAAGATAGAAAAGAAGTCTACTATCTACACATAAGTTCGTGACAACATGTGTTGTTGGCGGGTATGGACTTAGTTAGATTTTTATCGGTTTCTTACTGACTTTTTTTGGTTTCAACCGAAACCAAAACCATTTAGATGTTAAACAATTTTAAAATCGAAAACTAAAATCAGTAAATTTCTTATCAATTTGATTTCGTTTAAAATCGAAAACCAAAATCGTTAAGCTTCTTAATGATTCCCCATGCATTGCATGATCACCTAATTAAGCTAGAAGAAATGATGGATGACAAAAGAAGCTAAGGAAATAAGATTTGGAGAGCATGCCTGCTGCTGCAAGGTAAGGATGGTGGAGACGCAGCCCAAGACCGGATCGGAGAGCCTGGCCTGAGCCTCGTACGAGATCGTCACCACCGCCTCGTTCCGGCGGTTGACGGGCACGTGGAGCAGCAGCTTGGACACGTTGCTCGCCCCGAACACCTTGTGCACCGCCGCGAACCTCGCCGCCCCTTGGTCCGACCCGAAGTGCGGCGCGAAGATGCACCCGCTCACGCACTTTCTCCTCAGGAACTTGCACGCGCCGCACGGCGCCCCCGCCGCCGAAGAACCGACATTGTTATTGTCCCCCGCGCTGCGCTTGCTCCCGACAACCACTGACGGGACGCCCGACCGGCTGCGGCGGGCGGAGGAGTTGGGCCGGCCGTGGTTGGATGGACATGGATCCGACGACATTTGTTGTTGGCGGTGGTCGGAAGGAGGAGGAGGAAGGGAGACGGTGGTGGGTTTTTATAGAGAGTGAGAGACCACGTTGGTCTCGTGAAGAGGGGCTGGGGAGGGAGGTTGGCAAATTAAAATTAAAGCTGGATTTTGATAAGCCTTCTTTTTGTTTTCCCCCCTCCTTTGTACATGTGATGGGGTATTATTATATTTTTTAATGGGCTTTCTTGTTGCTTGCTGCTTATAAGTGCACAAGTATGGTAGTTCCATTTCATATTAGATATATTTTTATTTTGATCTCGGGTTGGGACATGTCGATTGATGATACACACACTGTTGAGATCGGTAGCTTCTTTTAGTATGATATAGTGTGCTTTGGGTCAAGGCCGCATGGATTTACTTTTGGGTATCCTCCCCAAAACGACTCGTACTAATTCATCTGGGTGCCTGGGTACACTAATATACAAGACTCCATTCCTTTGTATTTTCGATGAGATTCTTGAATTTTACCATGACAATCCTCCCCTGAAGAAAAGAATATCGCAAACTATGTGTCATCTCTCAATGATAATCTTGATTCGCTAGACACCTTGTATTGCAAACCTCACTCTACACAAGGATTTATCATATGCAGATCATCCTTGATCTGCCTGATAGATGTGAATCTCCTATCAAACATACGTGGATCTCTATTGGATCCACCAAACATATGCATATCTCAAAATCCCGAGGTCACTGAATGAGTGTCTACCGAACTGACATCTACCACCCCGAACGTATGTAACTGAATTCGAACATGCTATAATACAATTTGTTGAGGTTGGGTAGCTTCATTAGTACGATATTGTTCCCTTTGGGTCAAACCCGCACGGTTTTACTTTTGGGTATCGACCTTGAAATGTCTCATACTAATTGGGCTAGGTAGACACTAACATATAAGAGTATTTTTTTTTCCTTGTATTTCCGATGTGATACTTGGATTATACCACTAGAGTATTTTTTTTTCCTTGATAAACTAAGCTAAATTATTCAAGAAATGAAAATTATCATTTAATTGTATTTTTATTATAGTTAATCTATGATGTAATTAAAATAAAAAACTAAGTAATTAGAGTAATTACATATATATTAAGTATTTAGAGTAATTACATATATTTATAAATTGTATCAATCTCATCTAACATATGTTTACAAGTAATGACATTACACTAAAACAACACTTTGTAATTCAAGATACAGTAATAATCAAACAAATATATCATCAATATCCAAATATTCAATTTAAAATTCGATTGCATACCCGCAACGCAATAATCCATCACTTTTCTATCTCTAATGAGGGATGGGTGATTAACATTTAACAGTACGCTAACCGATTGTTATCTGCTGCTTTATGAGATTAATTTGTCATCTTCCAACTTTATTTTGATGAATCAAGTTAATTACCAGAGGGAGTTGTATCATGTATTTTACATATATACTCGTCGTTTTCCATTTGGATTCTGTTGGGTTATTTTGTTTTTTGGTACAGGTGGTCAATTTTATTGTTTGCACGCAGACCAACCTTCACTGCAGCGGATGGAAGCCAAATGTAACACCATGCATCCTATTGGACTCAAATTTAGGTCTAACACGTACGAGCCATATCTATATATACTAGTTTGTGAATTGAACTTGATGAGCAATAAATTTAACGTGGCTAATTACTTGAGTCAGTGAGGTTGTTTCTCTTATTTGACGAACTAAAAAAAAAATATATAAAATACAAAAAATATAAATTCATACAATTATATCCATTAATCACGTATTTTTCACTTGTACTCATGAATATAATATAGTTTTTCAATTTTATTTTATTTATCAATCAATCAATTTTTTCAAGCAATCTTATCTGAGCTTAATTACCGGGGGAAAATATTATATGAGCTTTGCTACTATACTTTATAAGTCGGTGCCTTCGTTTCCAATTTTTTTTATGGTACTAATTAAATTTGTATCTTTCACAGTATGATACAAATTCAGTCTTACCATTTTTTTTTTACAAATGTTAATATGGTAAAAACTGAACATGTATTTTAACGTATGGTACTAATTTAATATGTGTCAATGCGTTTTTCGTATAAATTCTTTTATGGTACAAATTAAACTTGTATATTCAATATTGCGGTACAAATACAATTTAAACTTGGAAGTATGGAGCTAATAAGCATTGTAAAATTATCCTATCTTATAAATTCAATTAACTAAACATCGTGATCATGTTAGTAAACAGTATATGATCCACGATTGAATCTCTCCCAACAACTCGAGTTATTGAAAATAACTGGTTCTTGACAGATCCCTTCAAACACATTATTTCGTAGCTGCTGGCTGGGAAAATCCTAGTAAAAATAAGATGACGAGACAGATATTTTGGAGGGAGAAATACGTTTCTTTTCCTTATTATTGATGACTAGTAGTAATACTCTTTTTGAACAGAAATGATAAATTAAGCGTGGGTAATTGAGATTTAGGATAACTAACAAAAAATAAAGAATTGTGTTCAGTTATGAGGGGTTTAATTAATTATCCTTACAATATATATACTACTAGAAAAAGAGCAAAATGATGTTTGTGTGGTGATTACGGGCGGGGGTTGCATTTGCGTTAGTATGCATGCGTTGATGCATATGATGGAACGGGGAAGGCACAAGATTTGCGTATTTGGTAATGCATCGGTAAGATTATTTTGTTTAGTGGTTATGTCAAGAATCAATTAGTTTCAATAACTCGAATTGTTGATAAAGGTTCAATTATTGATTATATATTATTTACTAACACATAACCTCAAATGAAAGCCACTATATATGGGCTTGAAGTTTGCATAATTCCGGACACCATGTGCTTAACAGACAGATGACGGTCATCAGGAATCAAACAGAAGACCTCTCGGTCAAAGACGACTCTGATACGAAGTTAAGAACCAGTTGATCTCAATAACTCGAGTTGTTGAGAGAGATTCATTATAGATCATATACCATTTACTACCAGGTTGATCGATAAGAAAATCGACAACTGCGTACCAGTGTAACCACATCGTTTTGAGATTTGGCTAACGAGTAAAAATCTCAAAGATTCAAGACCAATCAAAATCGCGAATTCCAAACATCTTAGTTGTCATCTATCGCAAACAACATTTAATTTTCCACCTAAAGTCCCAAATGTACATGTGAAAAGAGTCGGAACCGAAAGTCACTCCTCTCTCCTGTTCCCCTTTGCAGTTGACGGAGCGAGCCTCCCTCCCTAGTAAGTCTTTGTTTCTTTGATATTTGTGAATAATGATGATGATCTTAGTGATGGTGGATTGGTGGTTGTACGTATTTGATGTCTAGGTAGTTGACACTCGCTAATTGGATGGGTACGTTTGGTTCTATTTAATTTTATATTTCCAAATTTGGATTTGGATTGTCAATTCGTGATGGAGATGTATTATATTTATGTTATTACTTATATTTTTTGTGTGTTAATAATGTAGAATTATAGTTGAATTATTTTGAATTGTTGTACTATATTATTAAAAAGGATAGGAAAATAAACATATATGTAAAGGTTGTTATTGGTTAGTAGCTAAGTGCTAAACTAATCATTAACAAAATCGATAACAAGCGATTAACGATAAGAATTATCGGTTCAATTATCCATAACCATTTTTTACCAGTAATATAATTAACCACTAACTAACATCACCATTTTTGTCATGTTTAGGGTTTCGTTAATTATATATATCCTGTTGACCCACTGATCAAAGGAAATAAAACGGATGGTTGGTGGGTGAATGCATGCAATGATCCCACCAAACCAGAAGAAGAAGAAGAAGAAGAAGAAGAAGACAATAATATTGCATTGCATCCCCTTCAATATCAAATGCTTTATCCAATTCCTTAACAGATACATCAGCATGGAAAGGAATGGAAGTTCCATAGTGTCAGAAACTTGTACGTGAGGCTAAAAACAAACAAAGAGCCACCTGCTCTACATGCATCAAACCTCTACTTAGCCTACATAAGTAAATGGCCACTATAAAGTAGAAACTAACTGGGACACGACGATAGTCTTTCTGTCAGAAACTGTAAATATTTATGTTTTATTAATTACTTAATTTTACATTTTTCTTTCTTTTCCCCACAATGATGTTTTTTTCTTCTTTCTTTTCTCGCTTTCAAATATTCAAATCTGTACTCGCTTCATACCCAAAAGTGGAAGGTTTTGCAAACTCATTCCCGTACCCATGATTTTCGGGTACCCATGGGTAATACCCGCATCGTACATCCAACATCATTATACCTAAGACCTTACATGTGAATTTTCAATTATAACACTAAACAGACCTACTATCATGCATGAAGTAAAAAAAGATACAATTATTTTTCAATATGGTTAAAATCATATGATCCTAAAAACATCCATTAATCAATAAGACAGAGTATAATATTTTCTAAATTATTAGTTTCTAAATCTGATACATCTATTATGTAATAATTAACTAACATAATTATCTTGTTAACAAGAGGGAAAAGTAAAAGAATAAAGAGAGAATTGAAGGAAAGGAATAAGGTTTGGATTTGGATGGCCGTTCAATTGCATTGCTACTATTTATTTTCTTGACTTACATTCACTATCATTTATAGGTTACACTTTGATCCATGTATTTTTTATATGTGAAGAAATATTCTTGATGGGGTGGGTATGGGTATGGAGCAGGGAGGCTAAATCATATCCGCCCCATACCCATAAACCCTTTTGCGGGTTTTACGTACCCATACCCGGTCAATGCATGGATTCCTCGTGTTAACTGAGTCGGGGATGGTCGGTTACCCGCGATCATGGGTTTGATTGACATCCTTACATGCTACTGAATTCAAAGAAGTTTTGGAGTTCTGTGGTCTCTTGGACTGCAACTTTAAGGGCTACTCATTTACTTGAGAGAATAGTCGATCTAATAAAAGGTAGGTTTATTGAAGAGAGGCTGGATATATGTAAGGCTGTTAATTGAGAACCGTTTATGCGGTTAATTGTGTGATCGCAACGGTCAACCGAAAACCAATGATAGTGAACGGTCGATAGTGGCGGTTGGCTCAATGGTCCAGAGAGATGTGGGAGGACAACCCATAAGGGACAATATTGGATGGTTGCAAGTCTGAACTCAAGAGTTGGAGCAAAAATAATAAGTTTGGTGATATCAAAAGCGAAATTCACTGAATTGAGAATCTTATCAAAGGGTTTCAAATATATATAAGCCCAACACAAAAATTGTTCTTGATCAGAGGAAGAGAGAGTCTAGCTTATTCATCAGGATTAGGAAGAGATGATGTGAAAATAGTTAAACAGAGGTCAAGGGCGGATTGGCGGCTAAAAGAATGAGATAACAACACTTAAAGTTTTTCCATTTAAAAGTTACAGCTAGAAGAAAGCAAAATACAATCAAGATGCTGCAAAATGAAAATGGCAGAAGAATCTTTAAGGGTTAGAAGGAAGTAATATTGGGATGCATCCATGCTTACTTTAAACTACTCTTTTCACTCGGGGTCTCATCCCAATACAAGCTTTTGAAAAGATCACCCCAACCATGAATGAAAAGCTTATGCATCCTTTTAAACCATAGGAAATTAAAGCTTATGCACTAAATCAAATGGGTCCCAACCCAACAAAGCTCCAGGTTCAGATTGTTTTTCACTAGAATGCTATTGGTCCTAAGGTAATTAAAAGTTAAAACAATCTCAATTTCCTAAAATATTTTTTAGTTTCCTTAATGGAGCGGCTCTTATTCCTAAGGTGAAGTCTCATTCCACAACTAAAGAATTCATTGTGTTGTCATATACAATATCATCTCAAAGGCTTTCGCCAACAGAAACAAAGCGCCTTTGTCCCCGGAGATGTATCATTGACAATGTGATTATTGCTTTTGTATGTTTTCAGTTTATCAAGTATAGAGAGAAGGGTAAGGAAGATTTTTTCGCTGCCAAACTTGACATGCCTAAGGAACCAGCAGAATCATATCCCTTCACCGAGGATCTATGGGGCTTTCAAAAGCAACATCCAGCATGCGGGCATTGCAGTGATTAAGAAGAATGCATCAAGGAAAGTTTATATTGGTAAGGCTTAGAACAGAGAACAAAACCAATAAAGAAACACAAAAGGAAGTTATTTGAGTCGTTTCTATTGCTGGCATTAACATAATTGAGTCTAACAGGACAAAGTCTAGGAAGCCATCATACACTTGGGGATTTTGTTGGTGCTTTTTTTTTTTTGTAGAAATTTGGTTGGTGCTTTAATCATATATATAAAATATCATTTTTCTTCAAAATAAAAATAAAAAGACTACGAGTGAATAAATGAATTTTGAAAATAATGTAAAAAGAAGTGATTCGAATCATTGCTATTTGCCTCACACTTATACTAAAAAGGCTGAGACATTTCGAATTGTTTGTTGACAAAGACAGTCTAGAAAAGCATATGAAAAAAAACACAATGTCTTTTTTTTTTTTTTTTGTGTTTTGAAAGTTTGGATATCATTTAGAGCAAATGGGCCAAGCCCAGAGGAAAAGCCTACATGCATTAGGTAGCAAAGGTTAAAAAAGACTAAAACAACAAGCCCACCCAAAAATCCAGCACCCAATAAGGTCTAGATGAGGAGCCCAAACATTGCTTCAGCCAACCAAACCCTAGTCGTCTTGATGCCCCCATCTGATGCCTCTGCCGCCGCTGGAGGACTACCCAGAACCGTCTCTCACACCAGCCAAGATCTGAGGGTCCAGCCAACTTGGAAAGTGGACCTCCAACCAGAACCTCTTCAAGCCAATCGTCGTCTGCATCTTGGCGTCCACCACACAAGAGGAAGCTTCTGATCGACCGGGTGGCCGGCACCAGAGGGGAGAGTCTTCTGTCTTCAAAGCTCTCCAACTGAGTCCATGCCAAGGGCTACATCTCCGAAACACCAAGATCTACACGGTGAAGCAAGGAGGTAGACATGGGAAAAGAAGAGGAGAAAACAAGCCAAATATTGGAAAGATCCAGCCTCCTTTGCATCTTAGAACAGTTTCATCTCCAGATCTGAACAAACAGACCAGAGACCAAAAGTTCAACCCATTGAAGGGGAGAGATGAATCCCACAATGTCCCTGGGGTAAAAAGGTGTAGAGAAAATGTCTCGAACCAATGTTCAATACCAGGCGCTATGAAGTATTTCCCTTTACTTTTTTGTGAAATAGTTGATTTGTTGTATCACTTTTTTTCAAATAACACATAAGAATGTGTTCAACTACCCCGACCCGTACGTATGCAAGTATTATCCAACATAACACACACTTAGTGTGGGGCATACATGGATATTGAGATACTAACTCCATTGTCATCACTATGTACAAGACCGACAATGATTAGCAAAAAGAAACACACTAGAGCTTGGTAGCTTGGAGATGAATCGCAATTCAACGTAATATAATGCAGCAAGGGATGAATCGCCAACTTTCCTAGCTCCCAACTACAATTTTTAGAACAAAGTTATACCCGGTCCTCGCGTTTCGCCGCAAAGCGCGGACTAAATAACTAGTAATATTTATATGGCAACGGCGCAACGGATGCCCATTGCAGAAACTTAGGTCAGACCATTGACTAAAAACCCTGCGAGGCGAACAGATTTTGCGACAAAAACTTAGAGATGTGGGACTGCAAACAGCAGTGCATTGAAATTCTTCATTTATTGTCCTTCGTCCTAAACATAAAACACAAACAAGCCACTACAGATTCCTTGGGGTGGTGGTGGAGCTTGCACCTGGTTTGGCGGCTGGCGTACTTGAAAACACCCTACATTACCATGTACAGGATTTGGTTGGTTGGTTACTGCTTTACGAATTCTGGCGGAAGGACAGCCTACTAAGCGAGTCGATCCTTATGATAACATCCTCGTCCTCTGCCCCTGACTCATCCTCACTGTCACTCCTCTCCTCCACACTCTGCCCTCCTTTCATTGTCACACCACCTTCGCCTGCATCCCTCGACGACGCCTTCTCCACCACACCATCATCCATCCCGCTTCGCCTAGCTTCACTAGAGATGACCGGATATCCATGGAACGATGCAGCTTTCCCCATGCTACGTGATCCTTTCGCTCCAGCACTCCAAGAAGTGGGAGCCCGCCCACCCACATCCACCTTTCCACCAAAGATTAATAATTAGGACGCGAACAAACCAACTCAACGTTTTAGCGAATACAAACTTCACGACAGAGAGGATATGTGAGAGAATGTTGAGTTGTACCATGCTGCCAAAGGTGCTCAATTGCATTGCTCTTGCTGATAAGCTGCTCGCTGGCGGACCCTCTCTTTGGACCTTTTCCTTCTGCTGCTTGTACAAACTTTCTGGCCAACTCATGAGGCCGCCGTGCTCTTTGCTAAGGGGTCTATGGACATGATCAATTGATATCAACGAGGATGTCCTCCTCTTCAGGCCACCGTCAGCTTCGAATTTTGAAGTATCAAATATGATTACTCTTGCTCTTGTCTCAACCTGATACCACAACCCCTGATGCGAAAAACTAGAGGCGTTTCTACCTGTAAATCCATGAGCTCCATTAGTGGTTCCCTAGCTATACCCAGACAGGGAGCAAAAAAACACTGCAATAACCCCAAAATGCAAAAGACACAACTCATCCAGGGGTCATAAAACATTCTTCCGCCGCAACAAAACAAAAATATATAATAAACTTCATTTTTTGTTGTTGAATAAACTATGTTTAAACTTCAGAGAATTCTTCAAAATCAGCTTTTTTCTTTTTATTTTATTTTGTGCTGTGCAAACAAAATTTGTCTAAGTCTCTGTACAAAACTCAATGCTACAACAATGTAAACACTGACAGCCAATCAAGATTTGGTCACAATTTCTAAATGAAAAGAGTCAGTCACTAAGTAGACAAATTCGAAGACAATTGAAAAGATTACAGTAGTGAAGCCTCATACTGCTGCCAAAAAAATAGCTGATGCACAACATGAGAAAGGGGTAAAGGAAGAAGCTTTCACGCTACCTGACATGGAGCCTCTCTGGAAGCTTTGACCTCCATGCATCCCATGTACATTTTGAGAGCTTTGATTCCCTTGTGCTGGAAATAAAGCTGCAGGTGAAGTAACCAATTCTTCTTGGGCACCGTGCGATTTTATGAACCCCTCCAAAAGAAACCCAATGGAGCGAGGAGGTATTTCTATGGTTTCACCCCTGATGTAGGTGGTCATCACTGACCGTTCTACAATAAGAGCTCTCAAGTCATGCATTGTCATTTTCTCAAATACTTGTGGAAGCAAGAGTTTAGCTAGAACGATAGCACTTTCCTGCAAAAATTAACCATCGTCAACTACTGATATGCATGCAAAAGATAGATATTGAAGATTGCTAGAAGTACAAACTGATAATAATCTGATGTACTTTATTTTGCCCCTTCTAGGTGAATGAAAAGGCAACACACTACCACCCATATAACTGAGAATCCATATTCATCCTCTTTCACTCTCATTGGGTTAAGTCAATCACAAAAACGTGGTACCAGATATTTATTCTGCATTCCAACAGATCATAAACAGTACCTGCCATAAGAAAGCTTCAACTGCTGGGTCGGACCTTAATGCTGAAAGTATTTTCTCACTTTCAACAAAAAAGCCAAGCACCACGGAGTCAGTTACCATATTACATATGTATGGCTTTCTTACTAGAACCTCATATAGGCCCAGTGTGCTACCATGGGTGAAAGTTGGATGAAGCGAGTACCTGCTCCTCATGCCCTTACTTGTCCACTACAAACAATAGGCGTTATAGTGAAGGGTTTTTCAAACAGAAACAAATAAACTAAAAAACAAAAGGAGATGGGAGACATCAAAAGTAGTACTCCTGAAGCCAACTAATCCATTCAATCCCATAAATGTTCATGCCTTTACCTTGACAACGCCATTACAAATAAACCAGACACCGGTAGGATTGGAGCCTTCTTTGTAAATTGGAACGCCTCGCAGTTTCATTATTTCTTTGCTTGAGCCTGCAAGTGGTTCGCGGATGGCAGGTGGGAGAGCACCCAACAAAGGATGTACACTGATCAAATCATTTATTTTGGGTATCTTTACAAGAGGAGGATTCCTGAGCAGCCTTTTCAAGTCGGTCTGCAATGAGAAGGTATTACACTATCTAACTTAGCAAAGTTACCAAAGAATCAGCCTGGAGTAATGCATACAAAGAGTATAGGTTATGCACCTGCACAGAATCATGAAGATGAAGCATCTCTTTCTGCTCCAATAAGCCAGACTTCTCAAGATTTTGAACATAATGAATCAAGTGGTTAAGCACCGAATAGGTTACTTGTCTTGTCTTCACTACACGTAATACCTGAGAAAGTTTGGATTAACAATTTCAATCTCAATTTCCATAGTCCAGTGGCCCCTTTTTTGTTACAAATTGAAAGAAACACAGTAAAAGAATATGAAATGGATCCTAATTATTAATATATCATCTTAAATTCACCATAGAATGAAAATTGTACCTGCCAAAACCAAACCTAATACAACAAGATCAAGAGTTCCACCACCAACTCCAAACAGAATCAAGTTTATTTGAATAGGAATATAATGCACATCACCACAAACCTGAGGAAATGTAACACGAACGTCCTCCAAGAATTTTCTTGCATCTTCTCCTTCAGCCTCACTTTCATTAATGACAATAGAAGCAATATCACTGTCACCTACAAGTACACAATAAGAATCAGATTCTCCAAAGCTGGCATTAACATAATTGTGTCTGACAGGATGCAATAGATAAATTGCTCCTTATATCAGAAAGAGAAAAGAGAACATTGAAATCACTTATATGGCAGTAAGTTTGTGGTTTACAAGATCGATCCTAAGTTTCAGTTAAGACTTAAGCTAATAGACTTTCAGACTTCCAAAACCAAGCGCCCAAATGTAGTCTATCAATTGTTGTTTTAGCAATAGTAAGTAACAGAAAGCATCAGTTACCTATGAAGTCATGCAGTTGCTGACGAGCAATTCTGTGGGCACGCAGAAAGGCAGCACATATATAGCATGCAGATTCCAGCCTCTCGACAGTGAAAAAAGTAGCCATTTTTGGAGGGCAATAGCTTGTCTGAAGAAATTTGTAGTAGCTGGGGAAATGCACATTTGATCTTAAGCCCCTCCAATCACATAAAGGCTCATGAGCTGCCAAGTCCATCGCTTCATCTATAGACTGCATCAAGATATTGGCAGTTGACTGTGTTATCCTTCCCTCTTCCAGCATCACCCAGTAAGCCGACTGAACACCTAGTACAAGGATAATTTTCTTAGATTAGCTAGCAAGTCCACTCATAAGGAGGAGAGTACACCTCAGCTTGCAGAATTATGAAGATAATAATCCCATGCCGGAAGTACATAGATAGTTTACATGACTTGGGGACAGAGCAACATCTATTCTCACTGTGATCCTATTCTACAATGAGGATCTACAATCTTCAACACTCGTATATTTCTCATTATGCAAAGTGCTATATCAGTTTGCTCGAACTATTGCCAATTTTAATTGTCTAAATAGCTTATTGCGTTTGTCGATTCAACTATTACCAGCAGATGTGTCTGCAATGGGGTGTTATCGATTTATACAAATACAGTCTTCATACATTCCCCCGTTGCTTTGGATTCACAATTGATACACTCCCCACCACATATTCTCTCCACATGTATCATAGGTAAAAAAAAAAAAAAACAGTTATAGGCATCAGTATAGAAATGACAAGCTCTCCATCTCCTTATAGTATTGAACTACTTATGAGAACCCTAGTAAAGTGTGTTATTCTGTTTCTTTCAAATGGCTGATCATAGTAGCTAGTTTATCTTCTGCAATGCCAACTAAATAGAGATAAGGATAAAAAGGTGCAGTCGCTCAGACTAAGGGTATGGTTAGATAAAAGAGGAATAAAAGCACGATAAAACTTAAGACTTCACAGTGAACTATAAGATAAAATTGCAGCAGACACTTCTCGAGAAAGTATAACCAAAAGAAGCCAATGATTGCCAAATGCTTCAATTGCCGACTTTTAGACTTGAATTTCGCTCCACATAAGTGCCGAAAACCTCGGATCTTAGATGGTATTTCTATTTTGGCTCCAAGGATTGGGGAATGCTTCAGTAGCAAATATATAGGCATAGAAACGGTAGTTAATACGGCAAACATTTCAGTTATTTACAGATGGGAAATACAAAGAGAAAGAAAAAGGATAACAGATCTGTAAGTTACACAACATATATGGTGCAGATGAGATCTTTCTTTTCATCATTTGGTATCCAAAGGCTAATAAGTCACTAGACATGTATATTTTCTTTTTATTTGACATACAGTAAATTAGAGAACACCCCTCAGCCAAGAACAAAAAGAATACATTCACATCCAAGTACACACATTCTGCTACATGAACTGATCATTCACAAGAAACACAAAACTAGAAATGAAGGGTGCTTACCATTCAGAAGGCGTATTCGAATATCTTTCAGATTTGTTGGGTCAAGATCAGTGTTGGTTTCAGATGCCCCATGTGGATGTACACTTTCTCCGTCCAAGCTGCTTAAGGTTTTAATGTATCTTTTAACAGTAGGCCAGTCCACTGGTCCAAGTTCTTCGTCGTCTCCAAGATCGCCAAAAACCTCTAGAGCTTTATTCAACATTTCATATTTTGTATACTCCAATATACGTTTCTAGAGAAAGATAAAAGAACAAGGAAAAGGGTGAGCAGAGAAACCTCCAAACGACTGGAAAGTAGACAGTGCCATATTAGAGCATATGCACAATCCATTAACTCTTAAGCAAGTAGCAAGAGGAAGGCACTAACTCATACAGATTCGTTGAGGTTGCATGGTACTTGCAAAGATATGTATTTTAGGACATATTACCCATGAGCAAAACTTAAACAAGAAGTTGTACACTAATTTCAAAACTCACCTTAGTAGCTGATAACTTGTCCATATCCAAAAGATGTAGAACAAATTGGGTAGTTGATCCATTTACAATTAGCGTCAGAAACACAATTCCTCCCGTGAAGAAAACAAACTACAGAAGTCAAGGAAACATTGATTAACCATAAAGAGCACTAAACCATCACCCTGATCCATCATGAAAGTAAACTAATAAAGAAGAATCATTCTCATGGACAGATCTCTCTTTTTAACATTGTAAACAGTCCATACAAAGGAAGCAAGCGTGCTACGAGGACTCACCAGCTTTCCAGTCTCAGGACTGATATAAGTTGAGCTATCGCTAGTTCGCTGTAGCACACAAAATGAAAAAATGTTAGAAACTCGCAGAAAGTGAACGGTGAGCTATTCATATAAGAGTGCTAGACAAGCTCATATACCCCAACTTCATACCACATATGCACAGGGGCCTAGGGGGAAATAAAATTCCCAAACCCATACTCAAAATTGATCATTAGATAAAGGAAACTTGCCTTAACAGACAGTGCAAGCGACAATGCAACTGCTCCTCGCAAACCTGACCATATGAGAATAGTGGCCTCTTTCCATTCCAACCCATAACCAAAACACCGTAGAAAGGGAAACAAAACCACAACAACAACGAAACGGGATAGTTGGACAAAAATGTACAGAAGAATAAGGTAGCCCCAAGAATTTCCTGTAAAAACATGCAAACAGCTAAATGAGTTATTGGAAAGACAAGAACATGTAGAAACAAAAGACTCTGTCATAAAAGGAAAGCGCTACAAGTTGGAAATGCAACAGTTGCACAACTACAAGAACAAGAAGCAATGATTCTAAAAAAATTGCTATCAACTTCAAGAGTTGACGAACTCCAGAGAAGGATTGTTAAGGAAAAAGAAGTACACTGATCCCATATTAAGATCCTAATTGGAGTTTATAACATTAATATTTGAATTTCTTATATGAGCTCCTGAAACTTCAAGATTACTTCTTTGTTTTTTTTTAATTGTATTCATGAGCCACTTTGTTAAACAAGTCTATTAGGAAATATAGGCTATTCTAAGATCGAAAGTAATAATACCATGGTTGTGAAAAATGCTGTCACTGCCCAGAACACCTTCAGCTATAACAACACCACTGCAGAGCAGAGAAGACAAGAAACATATTTAAAATTACTAATTTGGTCGCGTATTTTGTGCATATCTATGCTTAAACGTATTTCAAGACAAAGAGACACAAAATAATAAAATACAGCAAACTTGGATCCTGAGAAGAAAGAACATCTACCATAATTGGAGTTATAAATTCTGAAAGCCTCATGCACTTCTGACTTGCTATGTCCCTTTGATTCACCTTAAGCTAAGTTATATGATAAATACAACTAGGTTTTTCCTCGAGCCAACATTAATATGTACGAACTTATCATTCATTATATGATAACTATGCATACAACCTATACTGGGACTACATTATGATGTTATTTTTCAGTCTTGAGGTAATTCTGATATAGATTCAACAAATTAAAACAACCCGGATGGCAAGAGCTTCATGGTTCCTCGAAAAAGTATGTGATGCTGCAGTAGTCATAAAAGGAGAGAGAAAAAGAAACTCATCCATGTGGTCACTTCCAGCCAAGTACTAAGACTTAGAGCATTTAAACTTATGTCATTGCAGCACGCAGTGCTTTAAATATAATTTGTATTACTGCCTTAAAATTTTTATGAATTTTCACAGCAAATGCATTTCCTGTTTTTTTTTTTTTTTTTTTGGCTATTCTTACTGCATACAGTGCCTCAGCAGGAGTAGTACAGCATCGGTGTAAAACTCTTCTTAGTCCTATTGAGATGAAGAAGACATATGGACAAAATCAGGCTCCAGGAAAAATAGATCTATGAAGTGAATTAGAATAAGAAACCCAGATTCTGAACCAATCTTAAAAGTCAGCCCCCTTGTCTTAGAATCCTCTGCTCTGTCTGATCCATGTATTCTCTCAAAACACATATTTGGCAAATAAAAACAATGTATCATCAGAATTCATAATCCTTGGGTGCAGCAGAACATGCTTTATGTGCTGGGCCTTTTTTATTGCAGTAGCATGTTCTGGAAGTTGTAACTTCATCACTGGCAACCAGCGAAATATATGAAAACGGTGAAATACCACAGGTGTTCATGATTTGATAGACCTTAATTGTACCGACTACCGTGCTCTCACCTCAAGATGAAGATTAAAGTATTTGCAATATAAGCAATCATTTCCCTGAAAACAGAAAACATAACATCATTAATTACAGGCCGCTGGCTACTGCCCCTATCAAAGTACTGACAGCAGCATCGAATAGAAAACTTAAGCTCTAGAATAAAAGTAAACTATTGATCCTCGACAAACTTCAGATTCCCAACTTCAACAGTTTAAAAGATGATCAAACACAATGCAGATCAAGACTTTCTAAGAATTCAGATATGTTTTAGTCCAATTGATTGGTTAAGGGTAGAACATTTTCCAAACAGCATGCAGACCAGGAAACTTCAGATTCCCAACTTGAACAGTTTAAAATATGATCAAACAAAATGCAGATCAAGACTGTCTTAAGAATTCAGACATGCTTTAGTCCAATTGATTGGTTAAGGGCAAAACACTTTCCAAACACAATGCAGACCAGGACAAATAAAACATTTCCCAACATCGCCATTAACCAGAGAGGTGATTTAGAAGATAAAGATGCACCAAAAATTATGCAAGCTCTCTTGCCCATCACCCTTGAAAGCCGTCTTAGCAACTGCAGCATAAAACCTGTCCAAAGGCCACGATGAGGGAGGATACCAATTTTACTTGAGTGCAGTAGTTATCCATAAATCATAAACATACATTCCTAGTGTCATCACAGTCAGAACCCCTGAGACATCAGCACCCTCTTGCCCCTGTCACATAAGACACTAGCAAAATTCAGCTCAAAAACAAAATTGAGAAATTACAAGCTAAAGATTTTGACAGAAAAGTTACTAAAAATGCAAAAGTTTTCCTGAGATAAAAATGGGTTGAATGGATTCTTTTCATGATGATATAGATACAGTGAGTAATAACATGGACATGAACATGGAAGATGCACAAAACTACATTTAGAAAACAGCCCTAACAAGCTCTAATAAAATGCACAAACAACAACGATCCAGACAACCTGAACCTACTAAACCGTTTATGGAAGATGCACATTTCTTTACTACAATTTTTAAAGCCGATTAAAAAAAGAAAACTGGTTATGCATTATTCTTCTAATAATCCAAAACAAAAGGGTACAGATGGAATGTAGAAAATCTGTTGTGGTTGACATTTCACCACAACGAACCAGACATTACAGATAAGACACTGTGGAGTTGCCTAGAGTTGGAAAGGTACGTACGGTGAAATAAGCAACATAGCTCACAGCAAGTGTAAGTGCAATCTCTATCACTGTGTCATTAAAAATAAACCCAAGCCATAAAACAGAGGCGATTCCGAAAGCCAGACCAATACCTACACTGGACCAGGGAAAAAGAGTGTCATAAAGCCTTTTTGCCATTGGGAGTTGGGACTGAAGTAATAGATGAAACTTACGCTCCAAGTGAGACTTGTGTTAAGAATTTGATTATGGCACCCCCATCATAGGTGTTCCCAAGGACCATCCGGAAAAAAAGCTGATAGACCACAATAGCCGTACTGGATACACACACAAGTGCATTTAAACAAGAGAAAGATATCAGCTACTCAATACCAATAAATTGAAGTATAAATTTCCTGAGAAGCTAAGTATATGTATAACCAAAAAGGGGGGAAAATACCCATCATTCATCAAGGATTCTCCCTCAATAATTGTACTAAGTTTTTTGCTAGCACCAAGCTCTTTCAAAAGAGCAACAACAGCAACAGGGTCTGTGGCACTCAAAAGTCCCCCAAGCAACAATGATGTTTTCCAGCTCCAGTGATACGGAAAAATTAGCTGCAGTCCAGTATTGTGCATGTTATAGTTAAAAAAAATATACGGCTAGCTTCTATTCTGGGATTCAGTCATACAAACTAAGATACCTTCAAAGCTGATCCAAGGCAAAATGTCGATATCAGAACTCCTGGACCAGCAAGTATGAGCATCTGTGCCATGCACCTCTGTACAAACATTGGCAGAGGAGAAGTAATTGCTAAGTGCACAAAATATGTTTCTCATGAGTTCTTGCTTATCTACAGTCATTTTGGGTTACCCCGAGAATGTCGATGCAAACTTCAAAACTTGCTTGTTATTTCAAGAAGCTTCTCAATGTCCATAGTAAAGCACACACAAGGGTTTATCATTGGTAAGGTTCCTATGAAGCCAGTTTAAGAGGGGTGGACAACAATCACTGTGTGTATAGAACGAACCTTAATTTGATGGAGTTCCATTGAGAAGGAACTCTCGAACAGCAGAGCAGGAAGAAAAACGGCCAACAGAAGGTCGGGATCAATACTTGCCCCTGCAGATTGAAACATAAACAAAAAGGCGAATTGTATGCCCGTTGACTTGAAATCTCCGAACATGGATCCCTTCCCACTCTCAGGAAACAGATAAAAGAGACGAAATTGGGAAACTTACAAATCCGAATTCCATCGCCGATCTTTCCCAATTTATGACTGGTCCCATACTCTGCGGAAAAATCCAAACAAAACCCAAAAAATAAAGAAAGAGTAAGAAATCCGTCTCTGAGTTACAGCAACCGAGGCGCGGAAGCTGGAATGTTATCAGGATTGGTCGGAATGAAAGTGGAGAACCAACCTAGGGATCCAAGGGCAATCCCAATGATGAGGAGTGCGACCGTGTACGGAACTCTAGTACCCCGCAGCACATGCCTGGAGGCAATCCCTAGCACCAAAGACAAGCCGAAGAAGATGACGGCATCCGTGGGGTTGGAAGCAAGTGGAGAGGAGGCCTCGGTCTCAGCCGCAGCCACTGCCATAACAGGGTAGCCTTGGTCGAGGTCCAGAATACTGATACTGCTGCTGCCTGTCATTTATGTACCGTTGTCCCAACTGTCAGTGAGCTCTGTAGCCGGAAATCAAGCAGTCGCCGGCCGGCTGACTGTCTTTACCGGGAATTCAGTTCACGTTTTGGTTTCGCAGAAAGAGAGAACACTGCGAGTGGTAGAGAAGAGAAGTGGGGGGAGAGCGTGGAAGAAAGGACGCTATGAATATGTCATGTGATGTGATTAGCAGACTATATTATCTCCCGTGACCCGCACTCTCACTTTACTAAAATTCATTATCTTCTCTGTTCTCCTAATATAAAAAGGTTATCAAAAATCGTATTTAGGTACAATTTACCCTTATTATGGGATCCCTTGGACTAGAGATACAATTAGGCAACGGTCAATTTGAGATGTCAATCCGTCTGCTTTTGGTTCTTGGATTTGGAGATAGATAGTGAACGTAGGGGGTGACAAACGGTAAGCCGGTAAACCGTTTATCGGCGGTATTGACGGCCGAGCGGGGAATTGGGTGTGTCGATTTACCGAATCCGGTATCGATAAATACCGACGATAAATCGGTAATACCGATACCGAACCCCAAAACTACGTCATTTTATTTGACCACCAATTCTTATGCCCTAGTTTCTTTAAAATACCTGTCCAGCGCCCGCAGCAGCGACCCAGCCGCCACCCTTCTCTTTTCTTCTTCATTTCGAAATCGCAGAGGCCAGAGAGAGCAGACCCTGCGCGCAGCCACCTCTCGTCTTCGCCGTACGCCGCTCCTTCTGCTGACGACGACGGCGACGAGCTTCCAGCGACGGCGACCTGGCCCTGAGTCCCTCACCCTCCATCCCTCCCAGTCTCCCTTCCCTCGCCGACGCCGCGACGCGTGACCAGTGTTTCCCAGTCCTCCGCGGCTCCGCCACCTTCCGGCTTCCCCGCCGCCGCCAGACCGCCATCTCCCTTGCCTCCTCACCTCCTCGCTGTCCTGCCATCCTCGCTTCCAGAAATTAGGCTCGGTAAATATTCGGTACACCGATCGAAAAACCGCCCGAAGTCGCTTCTCACGGTATTTTGGTAATACCAGTTTGTAACCGTTTATCGGTAATCGGTAAACCGGTTACAAACCGGTATCGGTAATCGGTAACCAATTTGGCCAACTTCGGTATACCGAAACCGATAAATTCGGTAAACAATTTACCGTTTACCGACCGAATCCCACCCGTAGTGAAACGCATATACGAAGCTTTATGGCAGATCTCAGGGGAATGGCCTTTTTTTTCTTCTTAAAAATGGGATGGAAAGGTCCTGAATAGATTCTCAGTTAAACTGATATGGAAATCCGTAAGAGACGCTGCTTAGTGCACTAAACTAAGTCACTTCAGAAGGCAAAGTTCCAGAACAAACAGGGCTGCCACAGAAGCACTGCCGCCCATTCGACCTCACCCTGCTCTGGCCGTAGCTGAAACAGAGCTCTTCGTCTTTGCTAATGTCTCTGCTGGCAAAGAAACAGAGCCGCGGCAAGAAAGCTCCAGGGCTCCTTACTAACACCGTCCACAGGTTCCCGCCATCACAGGAATGATTGATGAATTTCGCCACGTTCCCTATCTTCGTCGCATCAATGTTCACCCTCAAACAAGCTTTCCCAGATGGGAGATGCTCTCTCACCACCAAAAGTGCTGAAGAAGAGAACCGGCCGCCGTCGTAGGCCTGCTGCCGGCGTCTTGCTTCTTGGGTTGTCAGCAGTTCCCCTGTTACAAGGCAATGCGTGCGAATTATTAGAATAAATTGCCTGAATCGCCGGCGCCCATGGTTTACCGAATATTCATTGGGTTGGATAGCTAGAATTTATTATATGCCAGGATACAAAATGACCAAAAAAAAAAAATGATTCTAAGCCTATAAACTTCGTTGATTCAAGTAAAAGAGATCAGAAGAAACAGAGGAGGTGAAAATGGCGGATTTACCGGTATATTCACAGACGAATTGGCCTTGTGGAATCAATTGATCGGCCAACAAGCACCAGCTTTTCCTTTCACTCCAAACAATCTTCAGTTTAACCCTAATTCCTCTCTGGGTCAATCGATTCCTGCATTCCAATCCACATCCGCAACCTGATCCGCACTCGCTGAGTACTCCCACTTCAAGCTCTTCCCTTTCCAAACTTGGATTCCCAATTCCGCATCCCTCGCAACCGCATCCGCAGCCGTTCTCCGCGGCTGATTGTTTCGATGAGCCTGCTCCAGCGACGGTGGAGGAACTTGGGGAACCCCATGGCTGGCGGTCGGGGGATTCGGACGAGAGCAGCTGAGATTCAGCGTACAGGAAATAGGCATATGGCGGGGAGTTTCTCTGGCTTCTGCCGCGGAAAGGAACGGGAAGTTTCTCGAAGGATCTGGTAGCGTCGGAGGTTCGCCGGAGAGTGATGAGCCGGGAGAGTTGTGCTAGGGTTTTGCAAGTGGAGGCGGCGCTGGCGAGTTCTCGTGGGTTCAGCCATGGAAGGACGAGCTCCGCAGAGCAAATTAGAGGATTGACATTTGGGTCTTCTTCTCCTTCGGCCTTCTTCTGTTGCTTCCCCGTCGCCATTTCAGGCATTTTTGCTCCACGGATGGCGGAAGGATTATGGAGTTACAATGTGAAAATGCTCCGTCGGCCACTTTAAGGTAAGCCACAGCACAGAAAACGCTAACCAGTATGACGATTTTGCGGCAGTTTAAATAAGACGACCACTGTGATATACTCAAAGAAACGGCACCAAATCTGGCGATTTTATGTTGGACGAGTTCGTTACTCCTTCTAGGGTGTCCGAAGGCAGTTTTCATCGCTCTGCATTTGCCTGCATGAGTATTGGGTGTATCTCTTGGCCCGTTGATCAGAACTCGCAATCGGGTCGGGTTGGGTAATTTTGAGTTGGGGTTTCAAGTTATAGGTCGGATCATGTAGGGTTGGGTTGACTTATTTTGGGTTAAATATTGATCAAACCCATTCGGTTTTGAGTTGGGTTACAGGTCATTTCGAGTTATGAGCGCTCCTCGAAACAGTATCAAACATGTTTCATTTTTTTTTAAACACAAATCTTCACATATGCATGACAATAGTTTACCTAACACATGTCAATAAACATATTCTTTAAACCTTCGCATGCTAATGAAATGAAATACAAATTGTACAAATCGTCAGAAAACAAATCACAAGAGTAATACACTACAAGAAACATATAATATTTTATTATCCTTAAACTCCAAACATGTCTATCAACTCCTTCTGAATTTTTTTAAACATCTCACCAATTTATGAGTGATTTTATCATTTTGGGGTTACATATGAAATGGAACGTGTCTAAAGGGTCGACCCGCTAACCCACCCAACCAGACCCAAAAAATCACATGTTAATTGGGTTCGGTTCATTCAGATTTCGGGTTATAAAAATTCCTATTTTCGGAGGGGGTGGGGGTTTCGGGACGGGTTGGGTAGTAATTTTGCCAGGCCTACCGTTAATGAAGCTAAGACAATACAAAATAATTGCTTCTTATGATTTTATATACCCACTAGATGAGTAAACATATTACTTTTATAATAATCTAAATAAAAAATGGGTTATAAATTTTGTTATATAACAAATATAACATATCATGTTTGTCAAAAAAAAAATATAACATATCATGTATTTTATATAATAATTTAAACTATAGCCACATCTATGACTTACAAATTACAATACACCTTGGCCAACTGCAAGCTAGCTACAACGAAGCGACCTATTAGGACATTGCAAATGATAAGATTCATTCATAAACTAGAGGAAAAGGAAGAGGAGAATGAGATCATTGGTGGAAAATGAGAAAATCATAAATATGAAGGAAGATGAGAAAGTGACATCATGGATTTTTCAACCCAACTCAAATCTTATACAATCTCAATTACAAAAAAGTATAACGAATGGAGAAAAAAAGAAAATTTTATAGACATAAAACTTTAGTTGCCTCCAGTAACAACCACAAGTTCTTCTCCAATTTGGGGATCACACTCCTTTTACCCTAAGAACAACTTCCAAATGTACAGATGACACAGTCTTCATGTCTTCTCGCTTTTTCTTATTACCAAAGTCACTTTGCGTGACTTGACATATAAATATAACATAGTTGCAGCTCATTTTCCGTTCATCAAACTTCATCAATCCTTCTTCTTTGGTGCTAACTGGCTTAAAATCAAGCATTCTTATAATGGTTGTCATAACTATCTATCTTCTTGTCAACTTTCTCTCTTTCCTCAGTTATGTTACGACACATAAAAACCCTCATCCCCAATACCACACTTACATTATCCAGCTAGAGCACGATCTCCAAAAGCCCTCCCCTTCCCCAACTCACGAATCATGGCACGTATCCCTTCTCCAATCATTAGTCAACCCCATCTCTAATGACCAGTTGTTCCTCTACAGCTACGCCCATGTCATGCAAGGGCTTCGTTGTAGGCCGACAGAATCTCAACTTTATGAGATTGCGACACAGCACAACCTACGTTGCCACATATTCAGAGATCTTTGGGAATCTTCTTGCCATTCGCACTACGAATTTCCTTGGGTTGCGTTATGACTCGGGATTGTGGCCGAATTTCTCGTATGACGCAGGCATCATCATAGAAGTTTTCAACTCGGGGGATCTGGCTGTTCAGTGACAGCTTCCATGACAATGGCATGCCAGCTATTTCAAAGAGTTGGAAGGGGCAATGTGAAGGGACATACGATTTTACATATTTGTTGCAGACTAACATTATTGTATAGGAGGCTAATTGTTCGCTATTGCCATATGTATGACGCATAAGACTAAGAGGGAAATCAAGTGGAGAAGGGTGAAGCTTGATGCAAGGAATGAACAGAGTGTTCTCAATTTATAAGCGAAGTGGAAATAATAAATAATATGGCAAGTAGAAAATGTGGAAATTCCAAGGTGGTTAGAGTAGTTGGGTGGCGAAAGAAGTGTGACAGAGATAGTAGTTGGTAAATAGAAACAGTATGGTCAGCGGGTGGGTTGTATTGTATCATAAATTTCTTTTAAAGATTATTTAGTACTTTTTATTTGCATACGAAAAAAAAAAATTTAGTACTTTTAAGGGTCCCTATTGCAAATGGAGTGACCGAAAGAAAACCCTTGAAATGGGTTCATCATTGGACCCCAAAAATCTTTTTTTAGTGATATAGGCCTACGTTTCACCACCTATAGGCCTACTTCGGGTTGTAGCAACCCGATCCCAGTGGAACTGAGTGATTAAACAAACACACTGTATTGGGTGAAAATTTCAACATTGTGAGCCACTAGCCTACTATATCATAGACATTGATTCATATCCACCACTTAATCAAATAGATTGTCCAATTATTCTTAGCTAACCCCTTATTGATAACCAAGTCCTTTATTATAATTAGATTTATCATGCATGAAGTGTCGTATAATTTTTAACCAACAAGGCATTGGTGGTGGTATGGGAAAGAGAATACTCATATTGCGAGATTGCGTGCTCGAGGAAACTGTGACACTGCATCTAGAAGTTGTTGTGCAAGCCTGCATCAGTCATCAAGTCACGTCAGTTGCCAGGAGAAGACCATACCCATCCTAGAAGAACATATGAGTTAGAAAAGAAGGGCCTTGATCCAACCCAAAGCGAGCTCTATGGAGCTTAAAATGGGTAGCATTAGACCCAAAACCTAGCCTTAGCCCAATCAATCTGATCCCAAAAACTTCCCCTTCTCATTCAAACCCCAGCCCAACTTCTCCTCCTCCCTTCCTTGGCCCGAAGCCCAATTATGGCACGGACCAAAATCGTATTAAGCTTATGTACAATATATAAAGCAGATTCATTGGTTGGAATTGCCCCATTTTGAATTTGCTAGCCTGGGATTGATTTTCGGAAGGGTGATTAGGTCATTTCCCCTGACTTTCATTAAGTATCGCACTGCATTTTGATCTTGGAACATAATTGATTTTGAGACAATAACAACAGGCCCTATCCCAAAGTCCACCAAACCATTTGGCCTAAACTCCTCCTTCTTTCTCTGTCGACGGCGACCCATACACCCCCTCTGTCGACATCGATCTGGTCAGCTCCGCACAAAACATACCCTCAGTTCTATGTTCCTCGCCGGCGGTGGATAACGACTACACTGGGAAGGAGCTCAGGTCTCCGTCTTCAGGTGCGTCCTCCTACTCTTCATCCCTTATTTTCCCCCCTTCGAGCAATTGAACAATCTGAAGCTATGGCTTACGAGATTTATAGTTTGTGATAATTGAAAATCTAAGGTATACTAATTGATTGATATTGCTTTACATTATCATTGTCAATGATCATAAAGCACAAGACTGATTTTGAACATCTTCGACACTTGTGACATAGTGCACCTGTGATTTAGTCAAGCAAACGTTAGTAAAGAAAAATATTAGTTCAAGCAAACCAACATTCACACCCCAACACCAAACTTTTAATAACAATAAATCATCGATAACAAAAAAAAAGTATTTCGTTGAAAATAAACACAAAACATCAATATACCCATATAATAATGTCCGACTTCAACATTAAAAAATGACATCAAGCTTTAGTAATAATGATATAATAACAAATGAGCAAGTCACTAACAAGAAATAGAATTTTATTAAAAAATAACAAAAACCATTAATAATATTCATATGCAATGTTTAATCTCAAATAGCACTAAAAACACATTAATAAAATGTAACACCCATACATACTTTAAACCAATCATAAGATCATACCGATTAAATTTTTTTACAATTTTGTTTAGTTTACAAACCAAACCATAATTTACATAAACTTTTAAAACTTCAGAACACATGATTGTAGAGAAGACCATCTTCTCTCAAAATACTATAAACAAGTCATGTTGGAGCATGAGTCCACCATCCCACCTCATTGACGCTTTGCTGAGCCTTGCTGAGTTCCCTTAACTTCTAGTCGAAAACTTCTAATCTGGAAATTTTTTGATGGGGTGAGATGTCACCTCAATAAGTAAAAACTAACCTAGCATCGTAATTAACATAAACAAGGTATTGAGCAATCACGATTAACATTATAACCTTCTTGTTCTCGTTATACCAGTACCTATATAAACATTCACCATTCACACGTAGACATATATAGAACCATCACAACCATAACAATAGCATCACACCCATTTAACATCGCCAGTCACAACATACACATACATAAGCACGATTCACAACAAACACATACACATACAAACATATATCACCCATTCCGGCATAGCCATGCACCATCATATTCATTCCCACCTCCTCCTCCTCCTCCTCGATGCTTAGGCTCTCCCACCTTCGTCGACCTAAAGCATCAGTGACTTCCTCCCATAGCCCGGGCAATCGGCACATAGCTGAATATATACACAACGTCCTTATTGAGGACGTATCACATCATCATATTCTTCGGGTGCATGACTAACCATTAACACACACATACAAAGAAACACACATTCATATGATCTCATATCAAATCTATGCATCACTATTATCAATAACAACATCATTGTCATCATTGACTTCATCATCATCACGGAGGCCTTTTGTGCCTCTTTATACACATCTCATCAACATTCTTATCATTTCCACATTGAAATCACACAATATCATCATCATATATGATATAATCATTAACACATACTCTATCACACATGCAACCACACTTTGCTATAATTAAATTCGCTACCTCAGGTTTGGGTCGACCCAAATACCATGCTCGTATTAATTAAGGTACTAGGTTAGAATTTACTCACAGTATGATTGTTATTCAGCTATACCCTTGCCTCTTGATGGCTTAAGATAGGGCGCATAACCCATGGTTATGCACCCTATCTAAGGATGGAGAATTAAAAACAGTTTTTATTTTCCCTAGCTTTCTTAATCGACTCATATCTTTTTCGTTTTAACTCGGTTTTTTTTTTTTGCACAGATGAAACGAGTTCATCGTGCTCTACAAAATGAGATCAATTTTCAATATTTTTTAAGAAAAAAATTATGGCCTCTCAGTACCAACTGCATAACATATGGTATCTTCTTCGTTTTTAATTCGTATTTTAAAACGTTTGCACAGAAGGGACGAGTTCATCATGATCTATTGGATCTACGAATTTCTGCGTGAACAAATTACAGGACCAAAAAATACCACAGAATACCATACAATACCACCCTGGTACGGGGTGGTATCTTGTGGTACACAATGTTAAAAGTCGTAAATGACAGTTAATATATTTCTACTATCATGTATTCAACCATCCTACAGTCTTGGTTTGTTCGTACCACCATGGTAGCTTTTCAAACCATAGGTATGCTCTTATTTCAACACCAGTCAATACCATATGCTCAATTTTTTTTGTTCAAAACATATATCAAAGTGGATATCATTTTGAAGAGCACAATTAATATAATTAACTATGCAAAAAAAATTAAATTTCGACTTAAAACGAGTGGAAATCATCCTTCAAAGATTAAGGAGGGAAAAATTAAAGGTTTTCCAAAAGAGAGAGATGTTGATGTCATGCTGATGTGGACGGGTTACTCATGGTTACTCACCATAAGGTTACTTACTTTAACCATTTCCCCCTCTTGATGGGAGCAGATCCGGTGAGTAACCTTGTGGGGAGTAACCTCATGCATAACCCAATAAGAATCTGCCACATCAGTGCCTCCTTCTCTCTTCTCGCAAAATCATTAATTTTCTTTCCATTAATCTTTAACGGACGATTTCTCACTCGTTTTAACTCGGAATTTAATTTTTTTTTTTTTTGCACAGTTAGATCAGATTAATTGTGCTCTTCAAAATGATATCCACTTTGATATTTTTTGGAACAAAAAAATTTGCCAGTTATTACCAGTCTATACCATATGGTATAGTCAATACCATATGGTATTAAATAACAGCATACCATATGGTATGAAAAATACCACCTCATACCAGGGTGGTATAGTATGGTATGAAGTTGGTAACGAGAGGTTTGAAATTTTTTCCCCATAAAATTTTGAAATCCAATAGATCATGATTAAATCGTTCATTTTGTGCAAAAATTTCCGAAAATGACTAAACAACGAAGGAAATACCATATGGTATGGAGTTGGTAACGAGATGGATGAAAAAAAATTCTCAAAAAATATTGAAAATGGATATCATTTTGTAGAGCACAACGAACTCGTTCCATCTGTGCAAAAAAAATTGAAATCCGAGTTAGAATGAAGAAGATATGATCCAATTAAGAAAACTAGTGAAAATAAATTCTTTTAATTCTTCACCCTTAGATCTGCAGTCACTTAAAAGAAGGGTCCATATTTGGTTACTCATTGTTACTCACTCTAAGGTTACTCACCCTATCTTGAGCCCCTCTTGATGATTCCCCGGCTTGCTCCTTTCCTTTTAATAAATAGCATAGAGACGTTTAATACCATAACAATTTATTAATCATTTATAACCAACTTAATCTCAATTGCAGGGTTAAGACAAAATTTGGACATATATAATTCCCTCACCTATAATTCTAAAGCATCATGCATCATGATCATTCTTCTCCCCTAGGCTAATTCATTTAAGAATCCCCTCCTAACTCATTTAAGAGTCTGAGAGGGAGGCATTCCAGCCGCCTGATCTGAAAGACTGCTCTATGGTTGAATCCCCAAACAACACGATCTGTGGCCTCATTGTGTCCAGCCTGCTCTGTTTTGCTCTGGTTGGTGCTCCATCTCAAACAAAACGAAATAAGAAAAGCCCATAAGAGTGGCGGAAGTTGATGAGACGAGTGGCGGAAAGCAGCGGAGAAAGCTGAGGAGACGAGCGATTCGACTCGACGAAAAGAATGAGACGTGGGTAAATAGATTAATAGGGTTAATTAGGATAGTTTATACTTAGTTACAATTCCCTAAATACCCCAAACAACTACTTAACCTATAACTCCCTAATAACTACCTAAAATCCCACAAGCTAATAGAAAGTCTTTAAGATTCTCTTTAAGGAGTGAGGTTTAAGCACTGGAAATCAAGCCAAACAAAACAAGTACGAGGAGACGAACGGTTCTGAAACTGATTCCTCTATCAGGCGCTAGTTTCTTTTAAGTCTTGTGGTTAAGAAAATATTCACAAACTTGCCAAGTCATCATTTAGATTGCATCAGTTGAGTGGTGCACTACGTCCTGACAGTTTTCTTCGGTCTTTTGATGAAGAAAATATAAACAAATTTGCTCAAGAGTTTAGCCTCGATACTTTGAAGGCTATGAGATGCATTCTTTGAAGAATGAGCTACGATATTTATGTTGCCCATGTAGGTCATAGTTAGGAATATGAAGTTTCTTCTCTTGTAAAATTACTAAAGAAGCTAGCAGAAACAGGGATGGACACAAAATACAAATTGCTTTGTCAATTGATTTGCCTACTGTTGACCTTGTCTGTTTCAACGACTATTATAGAGAGAACGTTTTCAGCAATGAAACTTGTGAAAACTAATTTGCTCAACAAAATGAGCAATGAATTTCTTGTTGATTGCTTAACTATTTTTCTTTTAGAGAATAGGCTATTGGTATGGATGCAAATAGAGGTGGCAAATGGATTGAACCATGGATTGGTGGATCCATGGATCAAATGAATTGGATCCAATGGATTGGATCTAGTGGATTGGTGGATTATCCATGAATCCAAATGACATCCTCAACCAAGGACCGATATGTAAAATGTGAAAGTTTTAGGTGCTAAAATGTCATAATGAAAAATTTTAGGTACCAAAACATAATTTTTCAATGATATTTTTCATATAAAAAATTAAATTTTGGGTACCAAAATGTAAAATATAAAAAATATATGTACCAAACCGTAATTTGCCATTTGGATCCATGGATCAATCCAATTGGATTTGAATCAAATGGATTGGATTTAAATGGATTGGATTAGGTGGATATTTTTAATGGGTTGGTGGATTGGATTGAGAATTGTCACCTCTAGATGCAAATTCTATCAGTGATGGATTTGCTAAATTAAAAGACCATATACAATTGATATTATAATGAAAAAAATAGTTATTATATTTTTTACGATGTCTATTATTCTATTTAAATGGGCCCAATAATCTATGAGTGCGGATCAGGTGACTTCTCAACCTTTAGATCTGGACACATCAATCCAACGGTTAAAAAATGGGAAGTGATTTTTAATTACTGACAGGGGTAGTTTGGGTATTATGAAAAATTACGAAGCATACAAACCGGCCTTACAAATAGTACAAACAATACAAACATTACAAACTAAAACGACAAAACATACAAACAGATTTATAAAAAATACAAAACATACGAACGGTATAAAAATACAAACTAGACCGACAAACAATACAAACCACACAAAATCACTAAACAACCGGGTTGACTTTGGAGGCTCCATCCCTATATAGAGGGGCTCCATCCCAAAGTCAATCCGGTTGTTTTTTGGACATACAAACATGGTGGACAAAAATGACAAACTATACCAACAAACCATACAAATGGAAAAACACCCGGGTTGACTTTGGAGGCTCCATCTCTATATTGAGAAGTTTCATCCAAAAGTCAACCAGCTTATTTTTTAGATATAAAAATATTACAAACATGATTGACAAAAATGGTGCAAAAAAATAACAAAGCTTACAAACATTACAAAAAATAACAAAACTTACAAACATTACAGAATAACCCGACAAACAGTACAACATATACTAACAGTACAAAATAACACTACTTACAATATAAATTGGTAAAATTGTACTACAAATCAATGAATATAAAGCATACAAATCATAACATAAAGTATAAAAACTAGAGTAACAAATATTATGAATCAAAAATATATACAAATTAGTCATATAAACATTATAAACACAATATACAAAAATAACAAAGTAGAATGATAAACGATACGAACCAAATTGATATAAACATTACAAAATAGATCAACAAACATCACGAATCCAGCACTGCCGTCAAAACATCTTCCTCTGCCATCTCTGGTCGCCGGAAAATCCGACATCGCCGGGAATTTTCTCTCTCTAGGACAATAATTTCCCAGACGGTTCGGCGGGACGGATGGGATGTGGAGGAACCACCAACTTGCCCTAATTATTATTTTAATTGTTAAATGAATAATACATGAAATTATCACTATACCCTTCATTAAATTAGATTATTTAGAGCCATCATATATAAATGAGGTTGGATGGCTGAAATGCACTTAGTCACATGACTAAAGGACCCCCCTTAGTTAGTTTATCTTAGCCCGTAATTTAGGGTAAAATACCTCGAGTGCCACTTAAATTTGCGAATTGGGGTAGACATACCACTTAAGTTTGAATAAGGTGTCGGTACCACTCAAAACTCTATTATATGTGGTACCACTTAAGTTGACTGTTAAGTGCATTCCGTTAAAGTTGACAGAATATTCTTGGAATATTCCATTTTCTAAATTTCATAATTGGTCATTCTACTTTCTTATTGTAAAAAAAACATTTGGACTTATGAAAAATATAAATTTTTATTGTTTAGTTAGAATCCTCTTTTAAGTACTCGATACCAAACCAATTTTTGAATAGAAATTTTAGAATCAATTATCATTATAATTATTTTTAATTATCATTATGTGTTCTAATAATTAAATTATTTCATGAATGTTGTAATTAAACAATGTTGTAGCTTTAATAGTCATATTTTCTTTTCTATATTTTTTTACTGAATGTTGTAGTTTTTATATTTTGTTTATTCTTGGTTACTTTACATTTCTTTTCTTTCTAAATTTTTTAATTAGTGAAATATGTTTAATTCTTTCTGATTGTGTTTCATTTATCCTTTTTTGATTTTGATCTATTAGGTTCTATTTTAACTATTTTATTTTTGTGAAACTATTTTAACTATTTCTAATGGTGCTTCTAATTGAATTATGGAGTTTAAAAAGATATTTTAAATATTTATTATTATATTCTAGCATATTTATTCTTCTTTTTGATATTCGTTTACTATTTTTACTAATTTATCTATTTTATTGAAAAAATTTAATTAGTCATTCTGGTAATAATATGTATAGAAAATTTTATAATTATTATATTAGATAACACTTGTTGAAATATAGTTTTGGATGTTTTAAAAATTTCGAGTATCAAAAAATAATTAAAAGTTTGGGTTGGATGGAAAAGTAGACGGATGCACATTTTGAAAACTTTAATGGTACCCGACGCCCTATTCAAACTTAAGTGATATGTCTACTCCAATTCTCAAATTTAAGTGATACATGAAATATTTACCCCGTAATCTACTATTTCCTGCATCCGCCATTTTCATCAAATCCACATTTACATTACTTCTAGAGGCAATACCCATCATATGTTAACCATGACCAGTTTCTCTAGCCTCATTAGATTATTGGGTGAGGGAACGAGCACGACGGTGGAGCTTGCTGGCTCGACCTGACTGGGAGCCCTTTCTGTCTTCCTCTCTGATTTGTTTTTTTTCGGCTCTTTTCTTTCTCCCCTCCTCGATTTTCTTTTTACCTATTATGTCGATGGTCCCTAATCCTAACTCAAACTCGTTTGCTTCCATTTTGGCTTGGAATGCAGGAGGAGCGGGCAGTACTGCTTTCTCCCGCGCTCTGAAATTGATCGTCCACCACCATAAGCCGGACTTTTTGATTCTGTTGGAGCCGCAGATTAGCGGGGAGGTGGCGGACCGAATTTGTGGGAGAATGGGGTTCCCAAATGTTTTGCGCGTTGAAGCCGACGGAAGGAAAGGGGGGATTTGGCTCTGTTGGGACGCTCAAGCTTTCCGGGTGGAGGTGTTGTCGGCGTGCTTTCAGCATCTCACTGTTAAAATCTCGTCGGCCTCAACTCAGCCTTGGATTTTGACGGCCGTGTACGCGAGTCCCAGACAAAATCTGCAGCTTTTCCTTTGGAGCTCCATCCTTCGAGCCAGTGGAGAGATTGAGCTACCCTGGCTTATTACTGGAGACTTCAACGCCATCAAGGATCCGTCGGAGCAAACAGGGCCGGCCACACCTGACATCTATCGGCGTTGCAAACGTTTCAGCGACAGGATTAGTCAAGCCAAACTCATCGACTTGGGCTTTTCCGGCCCTCGTTTTACTTGGACTAGAGGAGACACGCCCAGCTCTTACAAGGCTAGCCGTATTGATCGGAGTCTCTGCAATGCTGCTTGGAATGCTGCTTTCCCCGACTCGACTGTCACCCACCTCCCCCGACTCCACTCTGACCATCACCCAGTCCTCACGTCTCTTGGAAAACAGGGAGTTCACTCAACTTCTCTCTCTCGTCCTTTTAAGTTTGAGGGTGCTTGGATTACTCATGAGGCTTATAATTCCTTCCTGACTAATAGTTGGGACTCTCAGGTCCCTCTGCAGGAAGCTCTCCAGGATATGGCCAGCAAGCTGACTCAATGGAATCAGTCCACCTTCGGAAATATCTATCGTAGGAAGAGAAGATTAATGAGCCGTATTCAAGGAATCCAAGCTAAAGTGGCTCATAGCTTCTCGCCAGGTCTCTTCAAACTTCAGGCTAAGCTCGAGGAGGATCTTGATAAAGTTCTAGAGCAAGAGGAGATTCTCTGGTTTCAGCGTTCCAGAGAGAAATGGGTCCAATTTGGAGAGCGCAACACAGCCTACTTTCACCAACAAGCCAATATTCGCAGACGGAAGAACAAGATTGAGAGTCTCAAGGACAACAATGTGGAGTGGATTTCTGACCCTTATGAGCTTGCGAGTTTGGTTTTTGACTTCTTCTCTATTCTGTATTTGCAGGATAACCAGGAGTACACGGACGAGATGCCTAAGCAAGCCTTTCCTAGGATCGCTCAGGAGGACCTTATCCTCCTGCTTCGACCCTTTAATGGGGAAGACATCCACAGAGCAGTGCATGACATGAAACCCTTCCAAGCACCGGGGCCGGATGGCTTTCAAGCTATTTTCTACCAACAATCCTGGCAAACTGTCGGAAAATCTCTTATTGATATGGCTGTCAACTTTTTCTCCACAGGAATTATGCCGGAAAAGGTTGTAGAGTCGACGGTTGTGCTCATCCCCAAGGTGGATCACCCGGAGAGAGTCTCCCAGCTCCGGCCGATTTCCCTGAACAACGTCTGCTTGAAAGCAATCACGAAGGCCATCACCAATCGCCTGAAGCCGATCATGAGGAAAATTGTTTCGCCGAGGCAGAGCAGCTTCATTCCTGGTAGACAGACTACTGACAACATTATTGTTTTGCAGGAAGTTCTTCACTCTCTTAGAAAGAAGAAAGGCAAGAAAGGTGGCATTGTGCTCAAGATTGACCTTGAGAAAGCCTATGATAGGTTGAGATGGGATTTTCTCAGGGATACCTTGAAGGAAGTGGGTCTGCCCAGTTCGTGGATCAATTGCATCATGTTCTGTGTTGAGAGTAATAAAATGCGGCTGCTTTGGAACGGTGATCTCTCTGAGCCTATCATTCCCACCAGGGGAGTCCGCCAGGGAGACCCTCTTTCTCCCTACCTTTTCGTTTTGTGCATGGAAAGACTCTCTCACAGGATCGATCAAGCTATTCAGGATAAGCTCTGGAAGCCTCTGAGGCTTTCTAGGGGGGGGGGGGGGGGGGCTTTGATTTCTCACCTGTTTTTTGCAGATGATCTTGTTCTTTTTGCAGAAGCAGAGGGGAATCAGATGCGGATAATTAAGCGATGCTTGGATGAATTTTGCCTGAGCTCCGGTCAGAGAGTCAACTATGAGAAGTCGGCAATTTTTGTCTCGGCCAACATCGACAGGCGGAAAGCGAGAGGACTGTCGCAGCGGGCAGGCATCCCGCTCACGGTGGGCCTCGGGCGTTATCTTGGGGTCATGGCTATCCATGGCCGGGTTACTAGGTCCAGATACCAGGATCTGATGTTGCGGATCCAACGGAAGCTTGCTCCCTGGAAGACCAAACACCTTTCGCTCGCAGCTCGGATCACGGTGGTCAAATCTATTTCTGCCTCTATTCCAATTTACCCTATGCAAACAGAAATGCTCCCGATGAATGTTTGCAGGTCCCTTGATCGGATTAATAGGAGCTTCATCTGGGGGGACACTGATGAGAAGAAGAAGCTCCACCTAGTTCCCTGGCATCGGTTGTTGGCTCCAAAGCAGAATGGAGGGCTGGGCATTAGATCGACGAGAGAGGTTAATCTAGCCATGCTGGCTAAGGGCGGATGGCGGGTAATCAAAGAGAAAGAGACTCTCTGGACTCAGTTGGTTCGATCGAAATATGGGAAAGACCAAACTCATCTCAACCTTTTGAGACCTGTTCAGGGAAGTTCCTTTACCTGGTCTAGCCTCTCTAAGGCTAGGAATCTGCTTAGGAAGGGTTGCGCCTGGAACATACATAGAGGTAATCGTACTAACTTCTGGTCTGATGTATGGTTAACGCAGGTACCCCTACAGGAACTTGCAACGAGCCAGATACCGGAAGAGGAGCGAGAGCTTCATGTCGAGGAGTTCGTGGACGAGGACGGGAACTGGAAGACGGAGAAGTTTGACCACATTCTCCCGTCGGACATCGTGAGGCAGATCACGGCGCGGGTGGTGGACCCTCTCTCAACGGAAGAAGACACTCTGTTGTGGCAGCCTACGTCAAACGGAAGATTCTCTACCAAGAGTGCCTACCAGTTGCTTCAAAACACTATCGATGATAATAACCAGCAGCTTTGGAAGAGGATTTGGAGTCTTGCTGTGCCAGAGCGTGTGCGATGCTTCATGTGGTTAGTGGCGCAAGGGAGAATAAGCTCGAATGAAGAAAGAGTTAGGAGGCACCTTGTTCACGACTCCTCCTGCTACAGATGCCCCACTCTTATGGAGACGCCGCTGCACCTGTTTAGAGACTGCCCCCCGGCAGCTTATGTCTGGACCCGCACCTTCCATCCGGATAAGCTTCAAAGCTTCTTCAGTCGCAACTGGAACAGCTGGGTGGAGACCAATATCAAATGCGAAGAGCCCTCCCCTTCAGGACTACCTTGGAATGTGTTTTTTAGCATTGCCATTTGGAGCATGTGGAAGAACCGGAATGAGGGTTCTTTTCATGGAGTAAACAAAACCCTGTCTGCACCTTCTCTCTTGCAGGCTATAAAGATTCGGGCCGAGCTGTGGTGGAAGGCTTGGAATGCGCCGAGCCCACTGATGGGGCGAAGGAATTCCACCCGGAGTCGCATTGAAGCACAGGTCGGATGGAAGCCACCTCCAGTTGGCTGGTCTAAGCTTAATGTGGACGGGGCGGCGAGTACTAATTCAGGAGTCGCTGGTGCAGGTGGTGTGTTGCGAGACGCCGACAACAACTGGGTAAGTGGTTTTGTGGCTGGGGTGGGCTCTTGTTCAGCCATTTGTTCAGAACTGTGGGCCATTTTTCATGGTCTCAAGTTGGCCTGGAGACACGAGTGCAGGACCCTCATCGTTGAAACCGATTCTCAGCTTGCGATTCAACTTGTGAAAGATAGGTCAGACCCTTTACACCCCTATGCAGCGCTCTTAATGGCCATCAGACGTCTTTTAGCTCAGGATTGGATTGTGAATCTAGTCCATGTATACCGGGAAGGGAATAGAGTCGCGGACTGGCTCTCGAAGCACAGTCTCGTCTATCCCTACGGTACACATGAACTAGAGACACCTCCTAATGAGTTGCTTCAGCTGCTTCAGGATGATGCTTTGGGCGTCACTACTGCTAGATTTATCATTCCTCCCACCGACTCTCCCCCTGTAACCCCTCCCTTCCCTCTCTTTCTTTGGCGTAATGCCTCCCTGTACGCAAAAAAAAAATTAGATTATTGGGTGTATAGAGGTGGCAATTCTCAATCCAATCCATCAATCCATTAAAAATATCCACCTAATCAAATCCATTTAATCCAAATTCAATTGGATTGGTGGATTCATGGATTCAAATGGGAAATTACGATCTGGTACCTATACTTTTTATATTTTACATTTTGGTACCTAAAATTTAATTTTTATACGAAAAATCTCATTGGAAAATTATGTTTTGGTACCTAAATTTTTTTATTACAACATTTTAGTACCTAAACTTTTCACATTTTACATATTGGTCCAATGTTGAGGATGTCATTTGGATTCATGGATAATCCACCAATCCACTTGATCCAATCCATGAATCCACCAATCCACTTGATCCAATCCATGAATCCACCAATCCATTTAATCCATGAATCCACCAATCCACGAATTCATAGATCGATCCATTTGCCACCTCTAGGTGTATGTGTACTTTTTTTTTTTTTAATTATTCCTTTTCTGGAAAAAATAAGAAATGAAACCTTTTTTTTTGGGTTGAAAATGAAAGCTTCTTTTTAGCAGAAGAAGTGAAGGAATTGATTTAGCGAAAAGGAGATTAATCATTGCTGCATCAGCTCATCTGTTAGTTGATGATAGACGAGGCGCAGCGTGAGAAGCTGGCGAATGGTTGTTCATAGTCAACTCAGCTGGCGGGCCAAACAGCAACTATACCACCCTTCACTATTTTAATCTCTATACAAATAGACGAGGCGAGAGCAACTTGGACTGAAACCCGAGCTGGATTCATTTTGTTCCTTTCTCCAACCAAATCCAAAACTTAAAAGAACTGAAAAGACCCATCATTGTCTCTCTCGATTTCGTGCGTGGAATTGCGTGCTACTGCTTTACTTCCAGTCCTTTATTTTGGGATCAGGACGGGATTTGGGCGTCTCCTACCCCGAGCCGATAAGATACTAAGATAGAATCTTGTTCTTTTCCCCTGTTTTTCAACACGATTGAAGAACGGCCGCCAACGAGCGAGAGAGAAAGAGAAGGCAGAGCTTTTGAGCTGCTGGTCGGTTTCGATGGTTGCTAGTCGTAATATGCACAGCAGCAGCAATTCTGCAGCAAAGTATTGCTCATCGTCAGGGTTTGGGAGTTTGGCCAGGAGGAAGCAAGTTGATTCGGTTCTGGCCAAGAGGGAAGAAGGGCCTCGGTTGGCACAGAGACTCTCTGTTATTGATGTCGTTGCCATTGGTAATTCCGGTTCTATTCGGTTCACATCCTTTCTACATACAAAGAGTGCAACTTTTCCAGTATCTCGAAACTGGGTTGCGTTTGCCTTTGGCTAATTGAATTTAGCAATGGACACTTCCCTATCGTCAGTTCAGGAATCTTAGTTTGCTGGGTTTTGTTGTCACTTTCTGCTTTGTATATCGAACAAAAAGTTTGACTTGGAGTCATTGGTTTGCCTTAGTAAATCTATTATGTGATTTACCAAATACTCTTAGACCAGAGAAAGAGATAACATATACCTTTACTGAACTCTTTGCTTCCTTGGATGTATAGGAGTGGGAGCTACAATTGGCGCTGGTGTGTATGTTCTTGTTGGAACAGTAGCGAGAGAGCAGGCAGGACCTGCTCTAACTGTTTCATTCCTGATTGCTGGAGTAGCAGCAGCTCTCTCTGCATTTTGTTATGCTGAACTCGCAAGCCGGTGTCCCTCTGCTGGAAGTGCCTATCACTATGCTTACATCTGCATAGGAGAAGGGTAATAATACTAGGCTGATGTTTATTTGAAAGCTATGAACATTAAATGGTTTCTTTATGACAGTATGAGCTATGGCTTTCCCAGTGCTGCATGGTTAATTGGGTGGGCGCTTATTCTTGAATACACTCTTGGAGGTTCAGCTATTGCTCGTGGCTTAACTCCAAATCTGGTTCAATTCATCCTTCCCTAATCCCTATTTCTGCATTCCTTGTGATCTCTCCTAATTCTGGGATTTCTGTAACACTGATCTTGTGCAATTCATTGCAGGCATTGTTTTTTGGAGGACAGGAAAACCTGCCGTCTTTATTGGCCCGCCACACCATCCCCGCACTAGGGATCGTTGTAGATCCATGTGCAGCGGTTCTGGTTCTCATTGTGACTATACTTTTGTGCATGGGAATCAAAGAGGTGCTAAATAATATATCTTGCTTTCTGAATTTTGAAGTTATCTTTCAGATTCACTTGAAGTTGTCATGGATATCTTTGGATTTGTTTTCCGTTAGTGGTAATGCTTTGTTGTTTGACAGAGTTCATTGGCACAAACTGTCGTGACAACAATAAATATATGCGGGATGATCTTTATCATAACAGCTGGTGGATACATAGCTTTCAAGAATGGATGGCCTGGATATGATCTGGCTACCGGGTAAAAACCCAGTACTGTATGGTACCTTCTTCCTGGCTTCCTCTTAGTGGTGAGCTCTAATTTTACCAACTCTATATTCCTCCTTATTGTAGGTATCTTCCTTTTGGATTCAATGGGATGCTTGCAGGATCTGGGATAGTGTTCTTTTCGTTCATTGGCTTTGATGTAGTAGCTAGCACGGCTGAAGAGGTATATTATGAACACTGATTAAAAAGTGTATTTAATGTGGAAAAAAACAGGAACAAAATAGTTAAAGATGTGGAACAATGGCTCCATTTAATTTTTTTTTTTTTCATTTATGGTTTCCTTCTGGGACAGGTGAAAAATCCAAAACGAGATTTGCCCATTGGTATGGGCATATCATTATCTATATGTTGCATTTTGTACATGCTTGTTTCTGTTGTCGTCGTTGGGTTAGTGCCATACTATGCACTTGATCCAGACACACCAATCTCTTCAGCTTTTGCTTCATATGGGATGCAGTGGGCAGTGTAAGCGTGAACTTTAATAGGAATGTTCAACTCTTTCAATTTCCAAGCCACCTGCTTTGGTGGTGTCCATAACCCCATCTATAATTTATCATTCGGCAGGTACATAATAACAGCAGGGGCAGTAACAGCTCTTTGTGCAAGTCTCATGGGTTCACTTCTTCCACAGGTAAATTAAGACTTTAAGTAAAAAAATAATATGGAAATCGTAGGGCACTTCCACTTTGAAACTCTGGTAAATATGTTTTTGTCACTGAGGAAAATTTGGGCAGAAGGATCTGTGGTGTCTTTCTTCTATGGTTAACAATTTAATATCCTTCCTTTCCTTTCAGCCCAGGATGTTTATGGCTATGGCTAGAGATGGATTGCTACCGTCATTCTTTTCAGACATAGATAAACACACTCAAGTTCCAGTAAAGAGTACGATAGTGATCGGGATTCTTGCTGCAGCCCTAGCCTTTTTCATGGATGTTTCACAGTTAGCAGGGATGGTGAGTGGATTGTCAAGAAACTTTCTGCAAGTTTGTGAATATTGAATAGTAGAAATTTCATTTACATTTTGTTTTTCTTTAAACAGGTGAGTGTGGGCACACTACTTGCATTCACTGCTGTTGCGGTTTCTGTCCTGATACTGAGATACGTTCCACCAGATGTAGTCCCACTTGTCTCGTCATTTCATGGGTCTATTGATGCTTCCTCACCTTTGCTGCTTGGTACTGATGTTGAGGATGTTTCTAGCTTGAAATTTAAGGATCCTGTCAAGTTCTTTGATCATGGTAAAGGATTAAATCACAGTGAAGGGACTTCGATTAGCACTTCTATTGGGCACAAACAAATTGATCAAGGTACTGCTCTCTCTGGTGATTATCATTGAATGCTGTCCCATTTTCTTCCCGCTTCAATTGCTTTTGCAATCCCAATTGGTGGCCTCTAAACTTGTGCTAGTGCATCATATACGGGCTTTTAAATCTCAAGTAAAGTGAACTGCTCAAAGTGCAAAAGGGATTCAGTCAGTGTCTTCAAAATAGCTCAGGAGTCTGAAAATGTCAGTTGCTGGCAGTTCCCTGACTAGCTGATTTAGGCTTTGGAGGGACTGCCTTGCAAATATACCTAACTTCTTTGTCCTTTTTGTGAATGACCTAGATGATGGAAATCACGAAAAGAGGCGAATGATTGCTGCTTGGAGCATAACTGTTGTCTGCACTGGCGTTCTCATTCTCACATATTCTGCTTCTTCTGAGTACCTACCAAGGTTTCTTACACCATATGCTTGCCGACTTCCTTGTAACGTTATCTAACCTGTATCAGTTCTTGTGATTTTTAACATTGCGGTTTTTCTCTCCAGGCTTCTACGTTTCACATCTTGTACAGTGGGTGGGGGTCTTCTTTTGTGTGGTCTGATCATTCTAGCTTGCATAGCTCAGGATAATGGGAGGCACAGCTTTGGCCACGCAGGAGGTAGGTATTTTAAGTATAGAGGTACTGTAATTGCCATGCCATTGACTACCCAGAGCCATTGATTGATAAACTATCGTTTAAACCTTTCCAGGTTTCACTTGCCCTCTCGTTCCATTCCTACCAGTTGCTTGCATTCTAGTCAACACGTACTTGCTGGTGAATCTGGGGTGAGTTAATATTCATGAGTCATGACAGTAGAAAAAAGAGCATTTCGCAATTTAAGCGAAAAGCTGAGAGCAAGCATCGATCTTTGCGATTTTGCTCCTCGTTCTAATGAAACAGAAATGCGGTGCAGGGGTGGGACGTGGCTCCGAGTATCAGCATGGCTGTTGATTGGAGCAGTTATCTACTTGGTCTATGGCCGGAGTCACAGCTCTCTGCTGAACGCCGTTTACGTTCCTACTGCGTATGCAGATAAGGTACATCGTGCTTCATCAAGTTACCCGGTTGGAGAAGATTAGTGCAGCACAAGACATGTTACTAATTATGAATCACTACAATCCCCATGCTCTTGAGCATTTTAACCCTTTTGTTGAAAAGCGAAGTGTTGATGGGTTATGGCCATATGCTTTTAGCAAATTAAGTGCATTTCTTTTGGCTGGCATTCAAGCCAACCAATTGTATAGTTATGTCATATGTGAGCTGGGAATCAAGAACAAAGTGTACATAGCTCTCTTGTATAGATTAAAGCATGTATACCAGTCTCTACATAGCTTCCTTGATATGTGCGTGCCAAGAACATCTGGATATATGGGCCTTTTGTTTCGCAAGAAACCATCAATAAGGAGTTAAGTACACACTAAGTCAAGTAGAAACGGAATACTTTAGGAGTAAATGTCATTTGGTCAGTGGGATTACTAAATCGTGTTATGTTTATTTACTAAAAAAATTAATATCAATTTTGATCACTTGAATTACTAAAACGGGTCACATTTAATCACTTTCCCATTAGCCTCCATCCAACTTCGGTCACTCGCATTACTTTTTTTTTTCTTATAAATGTCACTCGAATTACTGAAACATGTCACATTTCGTCACTTCACTCTCCGTTAGCAGAGTTGGACGGAAACTAACGAGAGAGTAACTAAATGTGACATGTTTCAATAATTCGAGTGAGCAAAATTGATATTAATTTTTTTTCTGGGGATTAAATATGCCATAATATATAATTTCAGTGAGCAAATGTGCCCAATTAAATACGCAACAAACACAAAAAAGCTTAACTGGCTGAATTCAGCAGCAATACATCACAAAGGCTTTAATTATACAGGTCTTACAAAATAGAAGGGTCGTCGTCACTTGTGGCTGCGGATTCTTCGTCCAGCACAAAAACAATATGCAAAGGAAGAAAGGAAGGAATCTGACTGAATTTACACAAAACTCAGCGACTTTAATATTCTCGCTGGTATTCTTATAGCGCCTTCTGTTTGGGACATAACCAGACCTCTTCCTTTCTTTTCTCTTTTGTTACCCACATTTGACTGCTTGCTCGAATAAGAGTTGGCAAGAAAATAATAATTTTGGGCAGAATTCATGAGGAAATTTAGCTACGGCAACTATAAGAAGGTAAGAACATCAAAATTTTGCTTCCTGACTAAACCAAGAAGGGAACAATATACACTGTACAGGAGCGATTGCCTAGTAGAGTTGAGTCGACTTTTGAGAGGGTGGTTCTCACATCTCAGCCATTGAGCTTTGCCAGGAATTGAGACAGATTGTACTCCTCGGTGTACTGGGATTGATCCCATAGCTCCTCCAACCCACCCAGAATGGCTTTCATTCCCTTCCCTGTACCCATCAGTTTCGGGTCTCCATCAAACTTGCCTTCTCCACGCTTTGAGGCGGTCGTTCCCTGTTTTGATTAAAACAAACCAAGTTTGGTTGGTGGAAATCTCGACACTTATATTTGTATCCGTCTACAAGAAAGGTGGCCTTAAAAAAATTGACTTAAAAGGAAAAACAAACACACCCCAATCCTCATATGAATGTTAGGAGTAAGTTGTGTTCCGTAAAATAATACCTTTGAAGTGGTCTCCGCGGATGCAAATAGATCAAGCAATTGGTCAGTGTTCATTGTTTTCATACTAGCATTCTCCGAGTTAATGACTGCATTGGCAACTGAGACCTTGAACCTTTGGAGACTCATGACTTTCTCTTCCAGGGTACCCCGCATGATGAGTCGATGAACATTCACTACTTTCTTTTGGCCTAATCTATGTGCCCTGTCCATTGCCTGCAGAAGCCAAAGAATATCTCCGTTCATAAAAATTAACAGGAGAAAAGAAGAAAATGGCCACTTTATGAGCCATGATAGTAAAACGATGTGCCTAAACTTCAACGATGTGCCTAAACTTCCTATGTTTTCTAACATTGCACTGGTATCCCACTTTATGAGCCATGATAGTAAAACGATAGGACGTTAATACGTTAAAAATCCTTAATGGGAACTTTCTATTTCCAGTTAGCCCAAACAAACTCAACCCACAAAACATGTAATGAAGAGAACCAACATATGCAATAAAATACGACACCTGATGGTCTCGCATAGGATTCCAATCATGTTCCATAAAGACGAGGGTGTCCGCAGATGTGAGATTCAGCCCAAGCCCGCCAACTGAAACAAGAACAAAAAGATGTGATAGATTCACTTGGTTACAGTACCAGGCGAAATCAATCGACCAAAAAATGCTAAATTCAAATCAGAAGTCAGTCTTGGTAGGAAGGAAAATGAAGTACCATGAGTAGTGAGCAACAAGACATCAATAGTCGGGTCGGAATTAAATGCTTTTACGATACCAAATCGTTTTTCTGGCTCCACAGATCCATCCAGCCGCAGATATGTGACACTGGTTTACAAACGGTCAGAAAAATCAGAAAAGACACCCGCATACATACAGCCCACAAAACACAGAAAAATGACTAGAGTTGAATGAAAAGCAACCAACATTGTGTATCCAAACTAACTGGAGCTGTAATAACTTGCTTTCACATAAACAGACAAGGGAATGCAAAACTATCAACTAAAATATCTGCACACTTCAAACGAGAAAAATACACTGCAAGGCAAATAAGATATTTGATATTAAGATGGCATTAGGGAACTCACCTTCTCATATGAGCATGAAATAAATCGCTCTCAATGATGTCAAGCAGAGCCTACAAAAAAAGAGAAGAACTTCTGAGCAACACATTTTAAGAGAAACAATTGGGAACGCCGAAAGATTAAAGGACATATTACTTTATGCTGAGCGAATATCAGAACCCTGTGCTGCCCAACTGTGCCAACATTCTCAAAACTTGAAGCATCTATGCCAATGCCACACTCTTCAAGAATCTCTTGGAGAGCAACTAATTTTGGAGAGTGGTGTGGCTTGTGTAGTTCAGAAATCACGTTAGCATTTGAAGGAAAGAACTCAGATAGCTGGGATGAGACTGATTCAGGCATCTTATCACCAAGAACAAGTAATGGATGACTGCAGAGCTTTAACAAATACTGAATTGCCTGAAATAAAGAGCACATGAAGATCATTAATGTATTCAAAATGGACTACACCCAGATAAACAAATCAAAAGAGTTGAGCACAGTATATAGTACCTGAAAAACATGAGCAGATGCTTTAGGTGAGGCAGCAGACCCTTCTGTATCTGCTGACTCGTGCATTTTTACCATACTTGAAATCTCTTTTTTAGCATGCGAACCAGAAAACTGCTCATAGAGTTGCAGTTGGATAGGAGTAAGGTCACAGTATCTATCTTGAATAATTTTCTCAGGCAGGTCAGATAGAACTTCATCCTTTGTCCGCCGGAGAAGAAACGGCATCACCTGGTCCAACAAACCGAGGTAAATTATGGGCACAAACACACACGAAGACAGAACCCACCCTCCTAAAGCCCAAGCACCCTGTAGGCGAAGCTGCATAGATAGTTCCATTTAAGTGTTGAGAGCTAAGCTCACAAGACAGCTAAGCTGCTGAGTATAGGCACCTATCTTACTATTATGTACTTTATTCTCTATAATTGCCCAGGAAATGAGAAAAGTAAAGCAGGCTTTCTACTCCAGTGTCATCTTTGCTAACTTTCGATACATTAAAATCAAGATTACAGAAGGGACCAGACCTGCTTGTGCAAGGCTTCCATAGCAAGCGCTCCAGCTTCAGCATCCTTGGCAGAACATTTCGCATCTCTTGCAGCCAACAACGGTTTCCCATATGTAGCTTGAAACTGCAATTTAACATAGAATAAGTAATTCAATATTTGAAGAATGTGAGGGGACATGACTTGACGCTCAAAGGGATCAGTTCATCACCATATACAGAAATGTTCAACCTCATCATCAACAAGTCCCCCTCTTAGTTTAAGGCTTACCTTAACACCTATCTATAAGATACCCTGGACCAAGAAATGGAAAACAGTTCTAAGCCAGATAAAACATGACTACCAAGCAAGAACTATGTTCCATATCCTGACACTTGTTACTCAGAGACAAGAATCCAAATTACACAATAAGGTTGCTAAAAAAAGCAGGGATCTTGGAAAAGGATCAATCAAGCACAAAATAAATGAAAAGGAAGGATACTGTTCCATTCATTTCGAAATGGCAAGTAGACATATCCTTAAGAGCAGACTACAAATGATATACTTCACACTAACGAAAACAAGCTTACTTGTCTCTCCGTTCCAAGAAAGCCAGGCATCAGAAAGTCAAACAGTGACCATAGATCCATGATGTTGTTCTGCAATCCAAGAGCCATTATCAGATAAAGCATGATGTTCTATCTATGCAACTTTGACTGATGCTAACCTGGATTGGAGTCCCGCTGAGTATTAGGCGGTGTTGGGCTTTCAGTTGCTTTACCGCAGCTGTAATTTTAGATTTGGCATTCTTGATTATATGTCCTTCGTCTAAAATACAATAATTCCAAAGAAACTGCCCAAGGTACTCAATGTCCTTGCGGATGACATCATATGAAGTTATAACAACATTGTGCTTATCAAAGAGTTCCCTAAGAGACATCCGTTCTTGAGCAGAACCCGCATACTGTAAGGTGCTTATCAGAGAAATGTCAATATACTTCTCTATTTCGAATGCCCAATGACCCACAAGTGTTGATGGGCAAACAATCAAAGAGGGTTGGATATCTTTCCCGTTGTCAGCAGTATGCCTCTCAGCTATGTCAGATGCAACAATGGCAGATGCTTGTAAAGTTTTCCCAAGCCCCATATCATCACATAGGATACCATGAAGCTTGAAACGTTTCAAGAAAGCTAACCAATTAATGCCTTCCTGTTGATACCTGAAATGTCAACAAAGAAACAAATATAAGAAGCCTATAGAAAATTTGTATCCATACCTCAAACAAGGGCCCCAAAAACCTAAGACAATAAAATAAGTTACTCCCGAGCAGATCATGAGATAGGATCAAACTATCTAAATGCAAAGATCCTATGAGAAGAGTCATGAAAATCACCTATCTTCAAACAAATTAAATAGATTTAATCAAATAAAACATGGCGAAGTATATGCAGTCTACTGGCTGCTTCCACTCCCGCATTGCAATCTTTCTATCAAATAAATGGCGTCAGTGAAAACACTCCCATAACAGCCGAGTTTTCTGAACTATGTACAACTACCTAAAAGTCCCAAAGTAAGAACTCAATGGATGTTTTAGACAACAGAACCACCTCCACTCCAATCAAAACTGTACAGAGAAGATAGGATGTTGGACTCTATACGTCAGCGAGAACTTTGCAAATACTTGTTGGCTGACAAGGCTAAGTCAACCTTCCTATAAAGATCAATGAGCTTACACTGAAGAAAGGGCTGTCCTACGCATTATGTTTAGAAGTCCAAAACAGAACCATCAATCAAGTGGGAACGATTTCCCTTGCTAGACATTTCATCACATTCCATTCTTATATATCCAAAAGTACAAGATGCTACTTTGACATTCTAAGAGAACTAGTTTAATGTTTTATGAACCTTCTTCGCCTTCACCTACACAGTTTTTGTCTCACTAGACTTACAAGATGACTGCATGACCATCCAACATGTGAAGAAGTTCCTTATACCCGCAATAAGTTCAGAGTGCCCTTAGCCTACAGCCCACTTCTAGGATTCTCAAGACAAAAGGTAACTCAACAGCTATCCCTTCCAGACTTGCAGGCATTCACAATAATCAATTAGAATACATCATCAGAGTCATACGTTTCTTTTGTCTAACTTTTTGTATATACCCAACATGGGTTCACAGGAATCCTAGTTTGGAAAAGGCAAGCAAGGCCTTTTACAATGTTGGATAAGGAAACACAAGAAGCCGCTTATAAAATGAAAACTACACAAGAAAAAAGCCACTGCATATACATTAGCATCCTACAATTCAAGATAAAGATAAAGACTGACAGAGCAGTACCTCCTCAAAGACACTTTCAGTTCAGTACTTAGTTTGTAATCCTCGATATGGGAATTGTCAAGCAGCTGCTCCAGAAACTGTGCATCTTCTCCATTCCCATGAAATCCTTCACCTAATCCGCTCGGAGGTGGAACACCTCGTGCAAGAGGAAGAAGCGGGACGAGAGCAGCAAAACTACGCGTCACACTTTGTCTGACTGATGGATCACAATCACTCATACACCGTAGAAGAGGAACAACTAATAATGGAGCATATGGAACTAGCTCCACACTTAATCCCTGCACAAGCGTACTGATAAGCATTCCTGCACCTTGTCTGGAATATACAGATGTCATATCCCCTAACATTGGAACAGCATTCTCAATGACAGCGTTCATGATATCGGTCGTCATTGATTTGGCCATTGAAGTGATGCACCTTGAGGCAGCTAATCTAACTGCAACATGGGAATGACGAATGCATTGAAAGATGCAAGGGAGCAGTGTGTGTAGCTTAGATTTCAACCCGTCATCCAGCAGAGAAGATATAGAGCGTACTATCTGCAACCATGAATCAGAAAGAAAAAGCAACAACACAAAGTCAACTAAAAGGATAGAGCATTGTATTGGTTCTTTCAGAACCAACTATCATGCAATAACAATAATTTATTCAACTGTGGCCCACCTAAAATGAAAAGATTTAATCTTCTACCTAGTAACCCAGTGAAACCGTTTCATAAACATATACGACGACATACAATTTCAGAAATCTACATCCCAGGACAAAGGAAATAAAGGCTCATGAATTTCTTGTTATACCTTGCAAACAAATTAAGATAAGACAGTGTAAAATACCTGTATATTATTGATCAAGACTTGAGGATCTGCAATAGATTCAATAGACTTGGCAATTTGACTTTCATGCACAGCAGCTCCAGGAATCAACACTTCAGTGAGACAATCCCATATTTTGGGAAGCTTATCAAATAACGAACCACCAAACTTCTTGCACAGATGTTTCAATGCAAGTTCAGAACCTCTACGGCTGATGAAACCTTCAACTTTGGATCTGTCTTCTCCACCGGTGAACATATGGACTCTTGACTTCTGTCTTCCTCCACCGTTCCCAAATGTGAGGAAGTCTTGATCATCAGTGATCTCCATACCGCCAATAACTCTGGCTTGGGGAGTCTCACAAGGATCCATGCATGTCAAACTACAAATGTTCTTGATTAACTTATCATTTGGGCTAGGATTACGTGAAATGCAAAGCGAGATTAGCTCTGCAAGTGCATCAGCAGACTTCTCCTGCAGTATCTCCTCCTTCAAAGAAGCAAGGATGCAGGTTAAACCCATAACAAATGGAGAATAAATCAATGAAACACAACAGAATCCAGAAAGACAAGATACCTGCTCTCGTTTGATTGAGGCCATAAGAGGTTGAATTATTGGATTGAGTCGTTTTGGCAGCTCAGACATCCAGACAACAGCAGCAGCCACTAATGCTGCGACTGTAATATGAAGATTACCCTGCACATTTTGAGAAAACTAATGAGAAAAAAATCAGAGGGAATCAACCACAAGCAGGACTCATCACTTGGAAAATGCATTAAATTCAATCTTCAGGTTTCAAGATCATGTTAATATGCAGATTAGATTAAGCTTTTGGAATACCTGAACACATTTTAAATAGCCTGATGTTGTCAAAAGCCGTTGTTTTGTCAATTCAACATCATCTACATTGTTCTGTTGCAAGTGTTCATTTCCTATATCTCCAGTCCCAACTGGCGGTATCTTAGATGCAAAATTAATTGCCTCATCAGCACTCAAACTCTCAACACGTTCTCGAACAGCCAAAGCTACATCATGTAACATCCCCCAAGATTCCAGAACATGTACCAACTGACTGGCCTCATTGCGCATCTTTGAATATGTCCGTGATAGCTCGGAATAAGGAAATATAGAATCCTTCGTAGGAAATGCCGGGTCAGTACATGATAACAAATCTAGCAACCAGTTCTTAATGTTCGTAGGAAAAGCGGACATGACTCCCTGGGTCTTGAGAGGGTCGTTGCTTTGCATCTCTTTAAACCATGATATCAGAACCAAGGCTGCAACCTAATAAAGCAAGTCCAGATAGAGACGGCAGTAGGTGTCAGTTACGTGTTCTAATAGTTAAAAAAAAAAAAAGAACTGCAGAAAAAGAAAATGGAAGAGAGATTAGAACAAGATACCTGCCGCTGAACACCAGAAAAGGAAGAAAGGGAGGCCCAGAGGGGCTCTATCACAGGCAGCGCAGAGCTTTCACGTAACTTGGAAGCAAAGATTCCCAACGCCGACGCTGTTATTACTCTAGTGTTAGTCACGGAAATATCAACATCACCACCAACAATTATCTTGATCGTACTCGCCGAAGCATCTCCATTTCTCTCCTGAGCTGGAATAGGCTCATTTGCAGAACCTAAGCCAAGGGTTCTATGAGACTCATGTTCAAGCCCAGCAGCTCTCATCTTCGCTGCTGCTTTGAAATGGGATTTCCGAGGCAATGCCACAGGCCAAAACATTTTTGATGAATCCAATGGTGAACCGAATGGAGTGGTAGAAAGTTCGATCCAGGAAGAGATATAGGCATTTGCAACAATTTCCAAGTCCTCAACTGGGCACTAAGGTCATCAGAAAACATTTTCTGTGAGTTCAAGTCTGAAACTAAGATTCTAAGACAAATAGGACAAAATTTAATGCAAAATACGCTACATTACATTGAGGAGTGGGCACATCTAATAAGCACAATAACTCAACTGATAGACTAACAAAGCATTTGAACACAATACAACTTCCATAGGCTAGGAGAACAAAAACAATTAAACTTGACAATGAGAAGTCGCAAAATGTTTTTTTTTTTTTTTACAATCAAACGAAAGTCACAAAATGATAGCTGCATGTTTATGAAGCATTTTTGCATAACGGCACCTATTTATTGGTGAGGCCAGTCAAGCATTACATGCATCAGGCATGCAAAACATTTGTGCTTGTGGGAAAGGTTAGAAACGTTTTTTGAAGCACAGACAAACATTGATAGATAAACCAAGAAGAATCTTAAAAAGGATTTCACTGTATTTTGAGCCTCGCATACCATCAGGGAGGCAACAATGTTGCCATGTTGAGAAGTATAAGAATAAAAAATCAATCATAAAAAGAAAAACTAACTGAACAAATTTCTTCTAAGAGAAAGATAAGTTTTGCTTCACGTCAACCACAAGAACACAGGAAATCATATAGAGACAGTCCGGACGAAAAATCTTTGAGAAGTGTAAGAATAAAAATTCAATCATAAAAAGAAAAATAACTGAACAAATTTCTTCTAGAAAAAAGCCAAGTTTTAACTTCACGTCAGCCACAAGAACACAGGAATCATACAGAGACAGTCAGGAAGAAAAATATTTGAAGTGAGAACAACACCTGAACAAGGAGCCTCCAGACCCTCTCTGAGCAATGCAAAATTCGTTCATTTGATTCGAGCAACAGATTCTGGAAAACAATCCGAAGGGTATCCCCCAAAATGAAAGAAGGCCAAAATGAAGAACCAGATGGATCAGAGACACTCCGTTTATGGCCAGCTTCAAGCAATCGCTCCTGTAAATGAGATTCTTAAGCAACAGACAAGAACAACAACTGAAAACTAACCAGCACTTCCATGGTCGCACATATCACTGGTAACACTGGGAAATCGCAGGATATAGTGACATCCAAGGAATTACAGACAAAGTTCTGCTACCACAGCCATCAAAGATTATTATTTACCTTATAAAAATTTGGCATAATTAGCTGAAGTTTTTATTCTGGTTGAATAGCCCAGTTTTATACAAACAGAAGCTCAAAGTTTCAACAACCAAACTATATGAAAAAATACTGCATATTGTTAGAAACTAAGATCAGCTTTGCGACCCCAACTTAAATTAATTGTTCTGGTACTGATAGTTTAAGCTGGCATCAAAACGATAGGACTTCCAACGTACTCTAAACTCAACTGAAATTCAACAGGCACACAGAGAGAAGAGAATGCATGCAATTTACCAAAGTTCGAATAGCTGAGTATCTGACTGATGTGATGCTATGCCTCATGAATGGCCACAATCGAGGAGCCAGAGTGGATAACATGTATGGATTTTCAGCCAAATCATTTTTCTCTCCAGCATCATCAATATGTACGACTTCATTAAGATCCAGCTCTTCTTTTGGTTTTGATATCATCTTGGGTATCATTTCTTCCTGGGAATAGATTTCGGCCAAAAGATTCATCACACTGCAAAGAAATCATTGCAGTTTTGAAATCACTTCACAATCATTTAGTTCACAAAACCTTTATCAGATTGCACAAGTTTCTTCTTGTGTGGACAAAAGATATAAGAAAAAATCATGTGTACTAGAAAAATTAACTGAACAGGCACTTGCCATAAAATCGGCATGTCTTGCCAAAGGAATAGTCAAGAATAATATTCTGGACAATAATCATGAAATATGAATCCATCTAAAGAGCTATCTGAAAACCCAAAAAAAGCTTTTTTTATAAATACTTAACAACAATAATATATAAAATGTTCACCAGAAATATTAATACCAGAAAAAAAAAACAGATTAAAATGCCAATGAATATTCATAGCAGTACCTGCTAGTGGATGGACTTAGATCGTCTAAATCTAGCAAGATATCCCAAAGCAGCATAACTATGGAATGCAACGTCTGACCCTTTAGCGAAACAACAGCACCTGCAGCAGGTATTAAAGCATCTGCAGCAACTGCTCGGACATCATCGTCAGGGTCCTCCAAGCCTGCTTTACACGCAGGTAGAATGTGGCCAAGCAAATCAAGCAGCAGATCCTACAGAGAAAGAAAAGGGGAAAGAAGGCATTATGCGATGGTAACGTGATCCTAAAAAATAATGGCATCCACAACAACTGCCGAACAAGTCCCCAGCCTGAACAGTCGATACTGGAGCCTGGGTGGCCACTCTCTCTTCATTTTCTTAACTTTTCACATGCACTTCCCAGTTTCTCCAACCAATGCAACCAATATGTCCTACTATGATGCACTCCCTTTAGCATTATTTAACATTAACTCATGGCAAGATGTTTACTCAATTCAACAGTCGGAGCATTGGTGATCATCAATCTACAACTCAAGGATCAGATTCCTACAAATATTATGACCACGGGCCCTGATTTTCAATAAAATGGCAGCAGTTTCTAGAATAATGATTATATACAAGGCATCATAAGCAATAACAGATGTTACACAACAAGTTACCCACATCGTAGAACACAACTTTTTAGAGTACTCAAATCTAATGCCAAAGATCTTTTGGCGTACACCGAAGGAACAACAGATCATCCAGCTTACATTTGAATCTTACTCTCTGCATTCTTCAGAAAGCTCAAGATATATGTAAGTGTCTTGCTTTAAACTTGATGTGGAAATGGCAATCCATAACCATAAGTATGCATTAAGTATATAAACTAAGTGGCTGGTAAAGAAAGTGCCAGAAAAAAAGATTTTGGTGGAAGATCAATCATAAGAAAGATTTAAGAAAATAGGTTTACCTGTCTAACAGCAACTAAATATTTGATACCCAAAAGACTTCCATGACGAATTTCCCATTCTGGTCTACGCTGAACACAAGAATTTCAAACAAACAAAGATTACTAATAAGGCAAATGGAAGTACTAAATCGGCTTCACAAGATAGGCGAATAGCTTTTTGGACCAAGACAGCTACCTGCATCTGGAGCAAAATGTTCAAAGTTTCATTTACTAAAGAGCGGTCCATGTACTTGAAAGTTGCACCTAAAGCTTGGGCACAAGTTTCACGTACAGGAGCAACAACCTGATCAGAAACATAATCTCCGAAACTGCAGCAGAAAAGCAACACCATAAACAAAAAGGAAAACATCAACTCATCTAAAAACTACTGCAGTATATGATCAGCTGTATAGCAGCTGTTGCATGGGACTGAAACATTATGACCATAGAACCATGTCGGCTGAAGACATTCCAGTTGGCCGCAACTGTATTGTTTTGCTTTTTTTTTTTTTTTTTGCGAGACATGGTTTGTTACCTTAACAAGAAAGAAAAAAAGTGAAAAGGTTCCAACTTATAAATTAATAGAGATCATTACCGGTCCAGGGATAGAACGCATAAGAACCGAATCGCACAATCCTGAAGGAACTCACTATTTTTCATCCAAGAATAACGAGCCAATTTAACTAAATTCATCAGCTCATTGCTTCCTGAAAAGTTGTCCAGTATTTCTGACTTGGCAACACAATGCTCATTTTCCGGATCACCCTTTGTGTCCACCATATTAACAACCTCTGCGGACGAAGTAGGGCAATAAGGATAAGGTTCTACCTTCACCGTTAGGGGATCAACCTGAACTTCACCAATAACCTGCCCTTCAGACAAATCCCAAGCATTATCTTCCACTTTTAAACTGATGTCAAATTCACCATGATACCCAGAAGAGATCATAGTATCCATTGATGGAGATGACATATTATCAGTCTTCGGCTTTTTACTGAGTGGTTGTGAATCATCTGCTGGAACTTGCATATTCAAATCAATTTCTCTTTCTTTTTTTACTGCAATCGGGCAATCGATGTCCTTTAATTCATTAAAGCAACCATCAACGCTCAATTCAGGCATAAGCACTCCAGCTGAACCACCATGATGTGACAACATCTCCCTCAGGGCCATGACACAACCATGACGAACCTCCCAAACTGTCAATCACTTCATGAGTTATTGTCTAAGAAAACAGCACAAAGAATACTTAAGAACCTAGACTAGCAAGTTAGCAAATCTTACCAGGGTCAAACATGTCAAGGATCAGTTGTTCAACAAAGCCATAAAAAGGCCACCTCCCATCCTTATCATTCTCAAAGCCATCTTCATCAGAATCTACCTGCATAACAAGAATTTTCCTTAAATTTTGAGAGGACAAAGCAAAAGACAATAATCAAGAAACTCATGGCAGAAAAAGACTTATCACCCATGGTTCCAATCCACAAAATAAGAGAAGTGTGATTTACCTTGCTAGGAGCAATAAAAGGATCTGTGTTTGATCCCTTGGGAGTAGTGCTTTGGGATAATGAGGCATCTGAATCACCTTCTTCAGACCAACCTTTGGTCTGGTCTTTCCAATTCACCTTTGCTTTCCTTTTCAAAAGATTCAGCTCTCTCGCACTTGGCCTCCTTGACACAACACTAGGAACCATAGTTCTGACAAGCCTCTGTATATTATGCACAGATGGAGGCATGTAACCCCTGTGTTGCAATCCGTTCCCTTGAGTGGGTATTTTATGGAGAACGAGGTCTTCATCTTTAATCATGTCATTGACATCCATGAACTGCTCACAAACATCCAAACCTGTCATGTTATCAATTCAAGTAAATTAAGCCCACAATTCAAGTAAACTAAGCCCACAAAGAGTCAAAGACATACACCCGCTTCCAGGCACAAACTATACCACAGTTTAAATGTATAGCTACAAGGGGTGATGTAATATAAGATTAAAACAAGAAAAAGTACCATACCCAGCATTTATGTCAAAACAGCTTTGATCAAGACTCTAGAATCAATCTTGACATCCAGGAAATAAACACATCATAAACAAAAATCGTTTCCAGGCCACTGAAAACAAAATAACAGCTAAGCTTCTAGCAACACATATAAAGGGGCCCTAGAATGGAAGACAAAAGAAAGAAGAAATTGGAGGGAGGCCAAATTGATGTGTTCATCCGAGCTGGTGGAAAATTCAACAAGCTGAAACTTAAACTTTTGAGTTAGTGTGAATGAGACGGGGTTTTTAACATTAAATCATGGAAAAGAAAGCCTAAAATGACCAAAACGAATCAATAACTACAGAAAACTCAGAAAAAAATGTTGGTGAAGTGATCGAGGATGGCATTTATCTTTCTTTTTTTTATGGTCCCTCGGAGTAGAGAATTTCAACCATTTATCCTACAATGATTGAGGAAAGATGGTACAGAGCACCAATGGAAGTGTTTCCATCAAGACCAATGAGCTCTAGACATCTTAGTAAACAAAAATTTGCATAATGACTGTAAAATGTATGCATCAACTCATATTAACCATGCAGGTGATACCACTTTACTAAAACTGTTATTGGACTGGTCATTGAAATCTAAGTACTATTATGTGAATGCATTCTGGGTGAAATGAAAGAACACAGTGAAAATCAATTAATGAAGGTAACCACCGGCTCCAAAGAGTAAGCATTAGAAGTTACTGCATGCCCTTTAGCAATATAAAATGACTGGATTCACATATAGGTAGCAACACTGAAGTTCAAGAAGCATTAACCAATTCAGTAATAAGGACTCGCATTTAACACAAGCATCCAACTAACAAACTCCCAACCAACAAAGATTCAGAATGCAAATTTTGATCCAGCCTTTTTCTCATTTTGTAGGATTTAATTAAACATTAACCAATGCAGAGGCAGACCATAAAAACCAGTCATCTGGCAAGGGAATACAACTAAATCAGCAACTATATCTAATTAAGAAACAGCAGTGTCACCATTACTAACCCAAACGACGTCTCAGATTTTGTTTCTGACGGGTCAAACGGTCCTTTGGGTTCTTGGAATTATCAGTAGCTATGTCATACTCCTGCATCAAAGCAGGTAAAAGCACTTGGCTAAGGGTCACTGCGCATAAGAAACAACAGTATTTAGAAGGAAAAAACAACACTATGTTTCTGACAAGGAATAAGTGTTAAATCATATATCTTATTCCATGAGAAGAAAAAGTAACTAGATAGAGTAGATTGTGAGATATGTGCATGTTCAAGTTAGTACAAGCAATGCACGGGGTATGTGGTAAATCCAATGTCTCTTTGCAATCCAGTTTCCACATGTGCAAGTAACACCTATTATGGGAGCGAGTTCCCATATAAAACGTTACATTGAATGGTGATTGTGTGAAAACCATGATTTACGTATTACAAACAAGAATAGAAAGCAAATATTAGGAAAAACATAGCAGCTTCAACATAACCAGTCCTCCATTTCAATTTACTTTCAATCTCATCCATGGAAGTGCTAACCCACCTGAGTTCATAGGCCCGCCTATGTGAGGCAAGGTTACTGCAAATACCAATACCACTAGGACTATTCTCCCCAACCTAAGATCATAATTTTGTGGGCGGCATTCACTGATTAATAATAATAAAAATACTCAGCACTTATTTACAACCTACCTCTTTCATCTAATCAACGAAACGTAAAAAAAAAAAAAAAAAAACAGCATAGAATTAAGCACCAGAATATATCTCTGTGATCCAGGCCTTATAGGATTACTGAAAAGCACCTCAGACTCTTCTGTGTTTTGTTTTTCTCCATTAAGGGATGCATCAAATATTGATTCAAGGGTTTTACAGGAGGATAAGACGCAAAGCTTATTTCTCTTATTCTAGGACTAGTAAAAAAAGACACTCTGCAGACTGGCTCAATCCTTCATGCGTATTACTTGTTGATTGAAGCAAAGTGGGAGACAACATTTATGTACTTTATATGATGTTGGTCAATAAACATACAAGCCAACTGTAAAATAAAATAACTTTTTGGTGGACAGCCTTGGCCCCATACCTAAAGTATCTGGATTCAAGATTACCAGAGAAACCAAAAATCCACTAGGAAAGCTAATCAATTCAGTGAATGATGTTTCCTCCCATTCTGCAAACTTAATCTTCTAATTGTAGGAAGAAATGCTACTATTACTATTCCATTTCTCTTTAGACTTCCGTAAGATTGCACTTCAGTCTGTGTCTATTGCATCAAAGCATAAGGCATAAAGTTACCTGCCCCCCTGACGCCAACAAAGCACCAAACTCCAGCACCTTGTTGATTTCAAAACTGTACAGGGCAACAAGAAAATGAGAGAAAATTATATATATCAAACAATCTGGTGAAAGATAGAACAGTAAATTTTCATAACTACCAATGCTGCATTCATATACAAACGAAGAAATCCAACAAACATATGAGGAACCATAAATGCCTCAACCACCTTCTGAAAGAGCCATAAGATATAATCTGCGACTGGAAATTAGGCCTTATCACTAAATCTTCAACAACACCAGAACTCCCGACCTCATATAGCTTCCTCTGAACACAATCAAAAATTTCAGGCAGAGATGTATGCTTAACATTTTGCACAATGGCCCCGATTGCATGAGCAGCAGCAACTCTTGTATCCCAGTTTTTGCTCCTCAAGAATGGTGAAACCTATTGACACAGGGTACACAAGCAAGACTTTATGTGCATCAGCAATTAAGGAAGAAAGCTTTAATAGCTTAAAAATGCATAAAATAAGGCTATGTTCGTTTCTCTTATGTTTAACTCCTAAACTCTGGAAAACAAGGAAAACAAACAAACTATTTAACTTCAGACATTGGAGGGGCAAAAGTAGAAAGCTAAAAGTAAAGAGGACTAGCCACTATGCTCATCAACCAATTAACAAAATCGAAAATGTAAAGGAGGAAACTTGTACCCACTCTTTCCTTGGCACCTTCTTATCCTCCGTTATTTTAACTTAAAACCTTCCATTGGATAAGTCTGCTTTGATAAAATCTAACTGAGCAACTCTACTGATGCCCAACTAAAACTTCCCTTTTAGCTGATAAAACTTTACACAACATACAACCAAACAAACACTGGCTGATAATTTATTTGTATCTAAAGCGCTTAAACTAGCATCACGTAAACAACATGGTAAAAAAACCTCAAGTAATGTGCTTATTTTGAAGAAAAGATCAGATGCCAAACCAAATTCAGGAGTCAATAACAGCCGGTTTGATACACAACGAGGTCCCAATGGACCCCTTTAAACTAAAGGAGCACTAGTTTGTATGTAGATACCAAACGCCGAGGCCGAGGCGCGGTGTTTTCCCCTCGCCCAGAGATTACTCGCGCCTAGGTGGCCGCCTAGTCGCGGTTTCTTGAAAAGACAGTTCTAATACCAGATATCTACATAAAAAATCACATTACACTATTCACAGCTCGCATCGACTCAAAAGCAATGGCTCCGTTATTCGGATTGGACAAAAACAGAAGAAGGATGCCATTTTTCTTTTACTTTTCAGTAATCTACTAGATGCCACCAGCACCATGGCAATCCTGGCCGGTTTTGTCCATCTCACTTTTCTCTTGGTGCACTTTAGTTCCTTTCTGCATTCAGTTGCATCAACCCACACATGCAGCTAAGCTTTTGAGCGCAATATAATTAAAAGACGCTCAAGAAATGAACTTCTATTAACACCAAATATCATCCTAATCTCACATCAGGGTGTATATATTAGTTAAACTCCACACCTCTTCAAAACCTCATTGATGATTCTCTAGAGCAGAACAAGTCCCTCTGTACACATAACCCACTGATCATTCCATCTGTCACACAATCAGTAGGAACAATACCTTCTCATACCACCATCATATTTTATACACCAAGACTCAAGCATCATACACTCGTAGAGCATCCAAGATACTCAATAAGAGGAAGAAATAACTAACATCAAATCATGAATAAGAAACGAAAATATTCCAAAAGGTTCTGTTCTATCACTAGAAAGTTCATGCTTACTTCACGACTCATTCTCCTTTATACGAGCCAAAATACTTAAATTCATAAGAATTGAACAGGCTTTCAATCAATTCTACAAATTTCCAAGAGGAAATTAACTCAATGGAAACCCTTGTCCACATTCACGTCTTCGTCGTCCATCTTAGCCTTCAGTCTAAGGCCAATGGTGATTGTTCTGGAACAGGGGGGAAATATGGACTAGCAAAATCTAGTTGGAACCAGCGCAAAACCACTGAAAATAAGGGTTGGCTAGGCACGGTAAGACATGCAAGCAGGATTCCACAGAACGTACCTTCTTTAGAAGAGAGCTCAACTCCTGTGGATGGGAGTTTGCTATATCTCCAATCTGCTTCGCGGCAGTAAATCTCGTTGCTTGACTCGAACCAGCTAAGAGGAGTCCACGTTAAAGAAGACCATAACAAACCCACGCTATATCCACGCGCAAAGATGCATAAAAATGGAAAATACCCAAAACCATGGAAAACCAGATTCAATCACCACGATTCGAACCAAAAAGAGAAAAGCTAAAATAAAAAACGCACAAAGGATACTGTCTAATAGGGTGAGCAACCGATTGAGCCGGGAAGACTGCTGAGCCATACCCTAGCGTACACAACTGCCAACTCTACCGCGAACTTAATCACGCCCAAATTGGAAAGAACAAGAAGCATTTAGCATCCGCAATTCAGTTGATACGACCACCTTCAACCCCAGATACACATAAGCAATCGAGACGATCGAAAGCTGGAGACGACGAGTTCCCGACAATGGCAATGGAGATATCAGATAAAACGATTAACGAGGATCCGATGCGGAAAGAATGTCAAAGTAAAGGATAAAGTAAAGGCAGCGAGGGGATTAGGGTTACCGGAACAAGGCGGAGCAGAAAATGGTGACGGGGAAGGAGAGTATGCCGACCGATGGCCTCTTCAGTTTATTTCATCTTCTTTGCTTCCGTTCGCTCCTCGCTGACCCCTTTTTTTTATTAAAAAAAGTTCAAATCTTTAAATTAATTTATTTTTATTAATTAGTTTTTTTTGTATGATTAATTAGTTTTTCTGTGTAGGAATTAGGATGGTATAAGTAAAAAATTTATGAAATTTTTTGAGGGGTACTCTGATGGAATATTGTGATGGATCAATTGTACTAAATTGTTTTATTTTGAGTAAATTGGGCCTAATTGACCCGTTTGGCAAACAAATGAAGCAATCTGGTGCCGGGACAATTAGCTTTGGCGCGTTATGGGGTAATTGTAATGACAAGGGAGGGGGATTCAAAGGGCATTGCTATTCGTCGCCCTAAAAATTCTTATTTGTCGCCCTAATTATGTTAAATTTACTCTAATACCCTTCACTTATTTTTTTCTTCTTTTCTTTCAAACACTTATACCCAAAACAAACCCATTAACTACCAAATAACAAAAACACACCAATATAATCAATTGATCAATGAACAAATCGGGTTTACGGATAAATCCAAAAACAAAATTACTATCCTATATTGATTACAATTAGGGTGGTCCATTTGACCATTAGCCATCTAATGATTCTGATCTAAACCGAATTGTTCTGCAACAAAATGCAGGGCAAATTACACACTGCAAATCATTATTAAATGCAGACTAATCAAATACGTGAAAAACAATCCATGTCGTCTTCGTCTTCTTCTTCTTAATTTACTCGTTCAGATGGCCTTCTTCCCCCTCCGGTCGGGTCGTCTTCTTCTTCTTCCTCCTCGTGATCAGCCCTCTTCTTCCTTCCTGGTTCTTTCTTCCTTCTTCCTCTTTCTCGAGAGCAACCGCAGCAGGAGCAATGGGGCGGCGGTACAAGGAGCAGCAGCGACAGGAGAAGAAACCTCCTTTTGAGAGTGTCAGCGGAATTGAGCTGGTGGACGGCAGTGGCAGCAGCAATGGAAAGGGTGGGTGACAGATTTTCCTGCCCAAATGCAGAGGTGGGGGATCAGGTTTGGACTGAGATGAGACCTTAGGGATTGTTTGCTTAGTGTACGGTTTAGAAATTAAGGTTAGGGTTAAAAGTGTCAATTCAATGTGTTTTAGGGCGATAAAATTTAAATTTTAGGGCGACGAATAGCAATTCAGGGATTCAAATTGTCCCGTTGTGTGTTTTTTATTTCCAAAGTTGTCCTTGCCTTTTAACTATAACCCCAAATGTGCCCTTGATTCACTCTTTACCTTTTCATACTCTCTTTCTTTGCTGTCATTTTATCTCTCCATCCTATCTTGTTGTTGTCGAAGGAACGAGTAAGCTACTGAAGGTGTTCCCGCAACGATCTTCTCTTCGTCAAAGATTGACCCAGGTATCTTAATTTTTTTTACCCTTATTCACTTTGTCCTTGTTAGAAATCCAAAAAATCCCTCTCGTAAACCCTAATAAAGAAATTGATGACGAACTTTCTGTTTGTGTACCTGGGTTTATAAGGGGTAAACCACGAATCTTTCTGTCATCTCTCTTTCTTCACAAGTTCCAAATAATGAACTATCTTTTCTTTTTTTCTTACTAATGCCGACAAAGTCCAACCCTAATTGGGTTTATCTATTGACTCCAACAAAAAATCATTGGTTGTCTACCGATTGGACACTATTGAGAATGCTAAGTGTATCCTTCCATGCTACTGCTTAGCATTGCTTTATAGTTCTTGGTTTGCTTCTAATGATTTATGTTAGTTTAGGTATCAAACTAGCTGACTTAGTGCAAAAACATTACTTGAATCGACGACTTAGTAGGCAACCGGTGGACACCTACCTGCAGAGGCACTATGATAGACAAAGTCACCTTAGGAATGCAACTAGAATGACTGACATTGATATTTTCGACAAAGTTAGGACGAATCGTAGCTTATTCAGAAACTTCTGTGAACTTCTTGTTAGTGAAGGTGGGCTGAAAAGAACTAGGAATGTAGATATAGACGAGATGGTCTATATCTTTCTTCGAACGATTTCACAGAACGAGAAAAATAGAACCTTATGCCTGAATTTACATCGTTTGGGAGAGACAATATCTCAAACAATTCACCGCGTATTGCGGCTGTTATTAGGCTCAACAACTTACTAATGAAGAAGTCACTTCCCATTCCCGACAATTGGACCAATAGTAGGTGGAAACATTTCAAGGTCAGCCCCGTTTAATGGGGCTGGGTAAGGGAATTAATGAGGCGGGGTGACTTATGATGATAGTGAATTGCATTACATCACCTACCTCAAGTAGAGTGTCATTAATTATGTTGTCTTTTTGTGACTTGTTCTTTCTTTACAGTCACATGTTGATTGTAAAACATATAAATGAGTCCCATTCCCACAGTTCTTTGAACTAGGATCTGTTTTCGGGAAAGGACGTGCTACTGGTGAAGCCGGATTCTCAGGACATGATCCAAACATATCAGAGTTGGGAGATGACGCCTCCGATGATGATGACAGCCCGGCTTACCCTATCGACCCACTGAACAACTCCACAATGGATGAAGCAATTCTGAATATGATCAATGATGGTGTGGAAGCTCGTGTGAACAAGAAGCGACCGACAACTAATTCAGAACTGGCTCCTTCTTAGAAAAAAGAAGTAGAAGAAGAAGAAGAAAGGGGACACTAAAGAAGGCATTGGTGAAGTGTGCATTGAATTGGGTGGACTTAGGCCCCTCATTAAAGAGTTTGTGGACACCATTGCAAGGGCTTTGGGGCAAAGCGAGGACTACAACATTATGCGTAAGGAATTGCTGAAGAACTTGGAAAAAATGGAAGGACTAACTAGAGCTCAAATGATCATTGTTGTGAGGAAGTTTTCTAACAATCCAGGTGACGAAGTGCTTCTATGAGCTGGAGAAGGAAGAGGACAGGCTGACCCTTGTTCTTAATCTACTCAAGGATGAATGAGGGCGTGTTTCCAATATGAATGTAATTGTATAGTAAGTCCACTAGGATGTAAGTTATTAGGTAGTTGTCAAGTTTGCACAGAGGCCTTTCTTTTTGTCTATCTGTCATTGTGAAGTACACTCAATGACAATCTTTGCAAATGTTATTCTGTTGGTATAGATTCCCCTTTCTCTCTATGTCCCTGATCTGCATGCATCCATACCTGTTCTTCCGACTGACATGACTGCCTTTTCCCGCAAGTGACTTATCCGATGACTTCCTTTCCTTCGACGCGGAGTGAAGACAAATAGCTTTTCAACCTATATTTTGTGAAGTTATATGGTTAGCTTCTTAGGATCTTGAACTTCAATGGAGGTAAATCCATAATCAGGCTATTTTTTTTTTTGTAAAGTTCACATGATGTACCAAGCTGAGGATGAAGCTGTCTCATGTAAGTACCATATATAATTGCAAGACAGCTTGTGAGAACTTGATTGTAAAGTGCACATTGGGAACCTCTGATCTATGATGAATGTAATGTTATATTGAAGCTTATATTTTTTTCCTCTAGCTACTTAGTTTCTGTCATAAATGGTCTTACATACATTGTTTCCGCCATAAATGGTCATACAGATAGGTCTTACAAACATTGTTTCTGCCATAAATGGTCTGCAGTATAAAAGAACTCTCTGGTCTTCTGATAATTGATTACAACAACTAGAACATTGTTTCTTCTTACAATTTTCATTTGCTTTCCTGGAACATTGTTCTTAGACAATACAGGTTTTGCAAGTACAACATAACTGCTACTAAAACAGTCAAAATACAAGTTACAGGTTCACCTATACAAAAACCAGCTTCTCCGACTTAGGTGACCATATCAAAGATCACAAGTTACAGAATTGTCGCAAACCAAACTACCACAACTACACAAGATTACCATAAACAAGTACTGATTTAGCTAATCACCAGTCTACTAAGTTGTCTCTCCACTGCACGCAATCTTTGTTTCACCACTTGAAGCTCCTTTGTGGCGAAATCATTACACTACCCACAAGCAAGAGCTAGAGCTGGTGAAGTGACAATAACCAACTTAGCAAGTTTCTTATTCTCTTCTTCTAGTTCATAGACTCTGCTTTGCAAATTGACAATAAATTTCAGGAGCCTTTGTTCCCTGTTTTGCATAGCTCACAAATCACAACAGCAAAGAAATCTAAATCACACCACACCGAACTATTGATTTGAACACCTCTTCTTATTATAATAATTATCAAAAGAAGAGGTAGTCTCGGGAGCTCACCCAACATCGCCGGCCAAACAAAACCCATGAAGCCGATCTGGATGATTATTCATCACAAACAATCAAACAAAGCAAAAACTGACCGGCCGACCTTCTAAGCTATAATCCTGCAAGGGTGGTTGCTGGGGTTTGCTGGTGGTGGAAGGAGGGTTCTGGTTCTCGTTCTGGTTCTGGGTAATAGTTGCAGCAGTAGTATTCACCAACTCCGGCGACGAAAATGCCCGCAACCAACTCTCTATTGAAATTGTGGAAGAGCAATGAGAAAATTCGAATTAAGGGTGGATTAATGTTAACATTGCTCGTCCTAGAAAGAAGAGAGACTACATCATCGGCACTCTCTCTAATTCGTTCCTTAGGTCTCTGGTTTGTTGTTTTCTGTCTCCCCCCTAATTTCCTGTGTTGTAGCTGTAGCCTGTAGGCTTGTTTTGCGGTTTTCTTTAATTATATATATGTGTGTTTTCCATTGTTTTATATTTAGGTGTCTTAGAAGAGCACTTCTAATATTGGTGCTTTAATGTACAACTTAAAGTTGTACCATAACATTAAATGTATAAGTTTAGGTTGTACCATAAAGCAATTTGTACCATTATGTTATGGTACAACTTTACAACTTAAAGTTGTACCATCACATAAAAGTACAAGTTCAAGTTGTACCATAAAAGAATTTGTACAAAAAGTATAGGTACAATCTGAAGTTGTACCATAACGTAAATGTACAATTTTAAGTTGTACCATAAAGGCAAAATCCTATAGCACCAATACTATATAGCATTGTAAAATTTCTCGTCTTAGAAACAGTTGGTTGTCTTAGAAGATTTGCTGCGGAGGTTACGAGCACGGCGGCGGGGCCAGCGGCGGGGCCAGCGGCTGCACTTCTTCTTTTGATAATTATAATAATTTTTTTCGTTTTTTTAATGGTAAAAATGAGTTTGACATTAAAATAGATTATATTTTATTTATTATTTCTTAATTGCCACGTCACTAAGTTAACGGTCAACTTTGAGAGTTGACTGCCACATCAGCCAAACTTAATGGAGTTTGACGGAGAGTGACCAAACGCGAACGGTTTCAGTAAACTAAAGTACCACCAATGTATTTAAATTTTTTTTTCCGGTGATTAATGGATTTAAATATTTCGAGTGACCAGACTTGAACGTTTTTTGTAATCTCAGTGACCAACTATGTAATTAACCCAATGTTTATATTAGGTATATATTTGTAGGGACTAGGGACTAAATTGCAAGTTTGGTCACTCAATTTATGTTTGTTTCGTGTTTGTCGTTTAGTTTTTTTTTTTGTGTGGCTTAGTGTTCATTTAATTTAAATTCTCATATCGTGATGGTCACCTACCGTTTAATTCCATTAAATTTATCCTAAGCAATAGTCAACCATAAATTTTGATAGGTAAATAGATGATGTGACAATAAAAAATAAAAAAAAACTCATTTTCAGTTTTTCAGTTTCAACCCTCATCGAACTAATTTTCAATATAGCTTAATGAGCTATCATCTGAACAATAACCGAAATATATCATATGTTCTAGTATACGTATAACATACATCACACCTTCGAACTTGAGTGGCCGGAACAATGGTAACTCATTATCGAGTGAACCCACTACAAAATAATTGTGGATTGAATTGCAAATCATGTTTAGTTTCGACCAAGATCGTTTAATCTTATTCCATGGATGTATTGCTTTACTTCCTGACTCAGGGTGTGTACCCCTTGAGGTCTATTCTCCTAGGATTTTCTTATTGATAGATCTAACTTCGATTGGTACTCTTTGGGTGATGCCAATCAAAAGCTTCTAAAGCTACTCCTAATCTTATGAGTACCCAGATCAAGGGATGGTGAATGAAATAGTGGAATTGGTGAGATTGGGAAGAAGTGGGATTTGGTGGATTTGATGGGATGAACAGAAAAGAGAGGAAGGGTTTGAACGTGTGAAAGAAGGGAAAGGGAGAGGGGGACTTAGCAAAGGGAGTGCGGAGCACAAAGTTAAGGTCATCCAAAATTTGGCAAAATAAAAAAAATTGTTTGTTTGGAGTAGCAAACGACATTTTTCGGGAGGAAAGTGAGATCAAACTGCCTATAGCTGTTTGCGGTTTGCAAGATCTCGAAAAGTTATGTAGATTAAAAAAAAAATTCGCTACGATTGGATACCCGAGCACAAAGTTACGTTCGTTTGAAGTTTCGACTTAAGTTCGAATTAAAATAAAAAATATATATATATATATATATATTCATACAAACCGCAACTCAGGGGCTTATCAGACCACCTCGCCCCGATGCGGTTTTCAGCAAAAACCGTGCCCTCCCCAAGCGGTTTTTGGAAAAGGGTGGTATTTTTTGAAATTTTCGTAAATATGAGGTATTTTGAATTTTTTTTTACTTAGTGTCATTTCTCGGAAAAATCCGGAAATTGGAGGATTTTGTAACTCAATTGTTTGTTGCCTAATTTCCACATAATAATCATATGGAGTCTTATAATCTCTTTTTCCTAACAACTATCATAATAATAATCTCAAATCCCTCAAATATTTTCAATAATCCCTAAATCTCCTAAAATCTCAATGACTATAATTAAATAACAATAATAATGTAATTAAGTGAATAAACTGACAACACTGCCAACAATTCGTGCCTCCATCATGATCGCAATCCTTTCGCTAAAAAGAGAACAACAAATTCCATACTCAATATATTGGCTAACACCTTTCTTCTCTTCACTAGTTTGCTTCTTATACTCCTTCACTTCAAAACACCTATTGTGCTAAATACGATTAAGTTTCAATATCTAGTTGTAGTCATTACTCTATCTCTATTTGGAAAGTGTAATTGCTGGGAATGAATATTCTCAATACCCTTGCCAATGTAGTTAAAATTTCAATTTTTATCTTGAATATCCAAGTTCATGATTTTACCTATAGCCTATAGGTTCCAATCTTGATTTTACTACTAAATTTTTGGATCTTAAAATCCTATAAAATTCCGCTTTAAAAAGATCGATTTCAATGTTTAGTCTATGGTGAGTGGTGACCAACATACATTAGCAAAACTGCCAATTTATAAAAATACTAAAAGGAATTATTTCTACCACTTATTGCACCAGAATTACATAAGAAGTAAACGTTTCAGTTCTGTCGACAACATTGCACTTCCATTTTTCCGAATTGCATTGGTAAATCCTTCATCCAACAACATTGCCACCTTAGCTTAAAATATCATATAGGAAATTGCTACGGATCCGATGAACAAAGGATACGTTCAGCTCACAGTAGGACATAGAATTCCGCCAAAAGCTACATCACAACATAAAAGAAAATCCATAGTTGAAGGTTCCAAATATTGAACATTTAAATTGACGACCGGGGAGTGAAGCTTCAGGGACTATTAGCCACGCTCTCTCATTCATCTTTCAGGGAGACTCGCTGCCTCTAGGCGAGCGACGGTTGTTTTCAAAATCATCTTCAGCAGCAGGGCTCTTGTCATCCCTCGCCCTCGGACTAGGGCTGCGGCTCCGGCTTGGACTTCGGCCATTAGCCGGGGGACTCTCGTACCTGCCATTTCTAGGGCTCTCTCTTTCTGGGGTCCGGGTCCTGCTCCTGCTCCGGCTCCTGCCCCTTGGACTGGCACTATACTCTCGGTCATCATCCTCCACCTTCCTAGCTTTGGGAGAAGGGCGTGGGCTTCGATCTTCAGGAGTTGGGCTACGCTTCCTCCCCTTGGAAGGGCCATCGTTCCTTGGGTCCGGGCTCATTGACCTGGCCTCGTTGTCTACACTTCGGTCTCTCTTAGGCACTGGAGATCTCGATCGGCTGCAAGTAGAAATGAGATCCAATCAGTCTCGTTAGCTAAACCACAAACGAGTTGCAACAGACAAAGCTCTCTTATGATTGCTTGCTATTGACGAACCTGTAGCTGTGACCTCGGCTGTAACTTGGGCTGCGGCTCCTGCCACCACGACGAGGTGATGGGGACCTTGAGTAACTTCGCCCACGCCTGTTCATATAACATAGCACCCAATTATAATAAGAAATAGAAATCGTGGAAATTGCAATCAGTCCCTACTATTTAGAACCAAGAAGAAATTTATGAAGTGAAGAAGAACGACTCACTTCAACTTCTGAGGGCTGTTCTTGCAATTTCTCTCAATGTGTCCCCTCTCCCCACATCTGTAGCACTTATTCTTCCAATCCCCAGCTTTGCAATCTCTAGCCCAGTGGCCATCAATACCACAATTGAAGCACCGCCCAGATCCAGGAGGCGGACCTCTCCCCAGGTATTCCTTGGAGCCTCGAGGTACCTAGCCATGTCAGCAAACAAGGTTAATACAGTATGAAAAAAATTGGGCTGCTTTAAGCATCATAACCATTAAAGAACATCGACTAGCACGGTAAAACTGAACCTACCCCTTTAGCAACTTCCACAATGATCCGACTTCCATCAACATCTCGGCCATCTAAGTGATACCTTGCATCATCAGCATCTCGTGGATCACTAAATTCCTGTAGAGAAGTGACAGAAAACAACAACACCACACACGAGACGATATAGTTGTAGGTAATAATTTGTCAGACACTAGTAGACAATACAGAGTTCAATTATACATCCGCCAGACAAATAATGAACCAAGCTAATGAGAAAAATGCACAACACTTACAACAAATGCATAGTCACGCTTCATATCCACATCTCGGACTCTGCCAAAACGGTTGCCACAAACAGTAAGGCCATCATTACGTGTAAGAGTACTGCAAGTTGTATGATACTTCACTCCTCATAGACGTACTAAACACCAGTTTGAATGAACACCACTTTGAGAGATTGTTGCCATTTCCATTCAAAAATACGCAATAACATAATAGAAAGAATCGCCAAAGTCCCCTAGGCAAGAATTTCCACCAATTTCCACCATGGCAACCATCTCACCACAGGCCTCCAGGTAAGGCAAAAGCCCCAGAAACCTTCAACAAGATCATTCAAGTTAAAAACAATAGACACCTAGGCACCACAACATTTCCCATAGAGAAAACTTGAGCAAATCAATGCGAGAAAGAAACAGTTGAAGACAAATATGTCCAACTAAAGAAAATTGAGGGGACTGAAAACACATACCCCAGGACAAACCATGTCAGTCAGTAGGAAAATATGAATATTGGAGGCATATAAAAAGTTCATGCATAAACACAAAAACCCACATCAAGTCAAAGAGATTTTATCTTCATGTGCAACTAACCTCCCATATTTGCTGAAGACATATTCAAGATCACGAGACCTTGTGCGGGGGGCTAGATGGCCAACATAGAGGCGGGTGTTGGCATATCTGTCATCATAACGCGGCATCTTCAAGCTGCAAGATGAAGAAGGTTTCAACGCAATGCAACTAAATAACATCAAATGAAAAAGGGGAGACAGTCGCATATTAAAAACAGCTAGCTGATGCAATGCCTTCAGCTATGGCAGTTGCATACTTCATTCCACACAGATCACAAATACGAAAGTTCTCCCTAAAATAATAACATAAAACGGTCTAATTGAGTCCTAATTAATCTCTCTGTAGCACAATAGTCTCACTACAATGTAAAGACACAGACTTCACTCCCCCCTTCACAAAGCACCTAACCTTAAAAATAATTTTCCAGACAAAGATCAGTTTTTTCCCCCCTCAAGCCACGCAACTATGTCGACACTGCCAATGAAGATCCTAAGCAGCAGCACCCATGAAAACAAAAACTACATTACCAGCGAGGAAAGGAACGGATCAATCAAATTACTCGGATGAGACCCATACCGCCATAAATCTCAGAAAGAAGCCGCGTATAATCGAAAAACCCTAGCTGAAAACCAATCTACAAGCTGAGGCCGAGAAATAAAAATCCCTAGAATGGTGAATTAATCACAAACAGGGAACCAATTGAAACGGGAACCAGATGAAACTGAAAAAACCTAGAGCGGGCTCTCACCTTTGAAGAAGAAATCACGAATCTTGGTTTCACAGCAGCAGCTCTCTCGTTTGCGAACACGAGCAGCGTTTTATCTCGAGAGCGACGGCGGATTGAGAGGGCACGAGAGCGACGGCGGATTGAGAGGGTAAGAGAGCGACGGCGATTGGGGGCTAGGGTTTCGGTCTATGGTGGAAGAGAGACGAGAGAGTGAGAGGAGAAGAAGATGGCGACGGTTTGAAGAGAGCAGGCTAGGGTTTCGGTCTATGGAGTTTGATTCTGGAAGAGGAAGAGAGAAGTGGAAGGATCGAGAGGAAGAGAGAGAGGCGAGAATGAGAGGGCGGCCATGTACCTCGACTTTTCAAAAGACCAAATTGCCCCTAGGGTTTCTGCAAATTTACGTGGCCCTGCCACCGTCCGTTTTTGCAATTACAAAATTGACCTTCCCCTTTCTCTAAAATAAAAGGGACGATAAAATGAGGTGAGCAGATTTCGAACCCTCATTCGGTTAAACGAGTCGGTTCATGACTGGAAACTTAGCCAGTTGGGGTCTTTGACCATCACGCGTTAATTTAATAATCTTAGTTATTTTTATTTTTTTTTAAAATCCTTAATACAAAATGTTGAATGCGAATTAAGTTTATCTTGTTTCTTTTCTAATACATCAAAATACTTCCTAATAACTAAAATCCTTGTATTTATTGTCATGACCTCATAATAATCTATGTAAATTTTATTAACAAAATCTTCAATACAAAAATTACGTTCAGTGGAATGTAGTAAAAGTTATAATTAAAATTATCAAAGTTCCCAACGAACTACGTGGACTTTGATCCCGTCTAACGGGTACGTAGGCAGCCGATAAAATTATTAAAGACTTATTGACGTGTTTGTATTTTGCCGAGAACGCGTGCCTAGAGCTATCATCTTCTCTGGCTACCAAGTGGTGGTTAATGTCCTACAATCTCCAGACAAAGCTTTATCTTTGGATTCAGATCATTGATTTTATTTCTCAATTCTTTTGTAATATGTCTACCTTGTACATTGATACTATATATGGACTGAAAATTTCTCTTAAAAGAAAAAAGCTACACACGGTAGAGAATGAGTGCATTTTCGATTTTTTTCAAGCATAAAAACATGTCATGGTTTTTGCAACTGTAGTAATTTTTTTATAATTGTAACCCCAACGCCGACTAGTTCAACTCATCATTAGCACGATACTAACCACTGAAGGGTTAGCAGGGCAGTTACGAGCTGGTAGGTAACCAAATTAAATATGATAAACTAAAATTTAAATTTTTGCATTGAATTTGAAACTCTCACTCACAAAACTGGATTACAGATTGGTTTAATGATGGTAAGTTAACGCAATTGACTGCACGCTTTTCCTTTTGGCCTGGCCTTGAACTTGCAAAATTATAAGAACCAGAAATGAGCTTCCCAGCTCCCAGGTTCAAGTATGCCCATCTGCAAAAATAGGACTCTGCTTAGCATTACAACTCCCTTCCCCAAGTCACTTGCCCTATAAACATTCGCCAGATGTGAATTGTTCTTACAAACGTAGCACAACACTGGCCTGGGGATCTCAGCTTTTCTTGTGCTCAATGCCTCCTCTGCATATGATAAAGCGATGCCATAAATCAGCTAGAGATATACCCAAAAGATACTACAGCAACAACATTCATCACGCAAAAAAAAAAAAAAAACTCCCCATGGCAAGGATAGTTACAGCAGCATCCATACTACCCATAAACAATGTATTAAAGTTTGTTGCTTAAGCTATCCTCTAAATGATCTCAGCCTCGGAACACACATGCGCAATTTGTTTCTAAACTCTTAGTTCTATGAACATCCATACAGAGTACAAAACGTAGGAAGTCAAACTTGGGACTTATACAAACAAGGAAAAGCTATCATCAACATTTCTGAGCATACCTTGTGTTTCTTATGCTTCCTAATTCCAACACTGTCATTTCTAGCTTTCTGTTGTTCACCAGCACCATCATCCAATGGTAAGAATTTGATATCGAAACCATCAGTCAAACCATCCAACCTGCCAGAAAGGAATGGAAACAAGAAAGGTTGTCGAGAATTATCATAGAAATCTGAATAACAAGCCCATCCGCTTGCTCAGTAAATAATATATCAACTTCTCAGAAATTAACCCCAAAAGATGCAACATACCCGCCTCTTGACCTCTTTAAATTCCTCAACTCTTTCTTCTCCTTCTTTGTGATAGGCGCACGGAAGAATTGGTCTTCTTCCTCTTTCTCACGTGCTTCCCAGTGTCTCTGATATTTTTCAAACTCCCTACTCTCGTTTCCAAAGGATTCTTTAACCTGGTATGTACACATACAACAAGTGGTGATCTCAAGTGCCTGAAAAAGTTTATCCAACAAGAAGAATAAATAAAGCGGAGAAAGAACTAACCTCTTCATGCTTCCCCTGCAAGTCATCAAACAAATCTTTTTGGAAGCCCAGTCTTGACCGTCTAACCATCTCTTTCTCTTTTCTCACTTCATTCCTTTTTTCCCTCGATATTCTGCCACCTTCCATTTCTACTGGGACCAATTTTGGTGGCTGATATACACCAACAGCATCCTAGGACACAGAATCACCAAATTAGCTAACAAGAAATGCCAGATATTCTTTCATCCAATGACAACCTAATTTTTAAAACGAAACTCACCCCAGAGGCGACCACAGATTTATTATTAAGCATATCTGGGTTGGGACGATACTTCAAAAGATCCTCAGAATTCCTAGGAGCATCTGTATTGCTATTGACATTTACTTGATCCACAGGCTGTGAAGCACCCTTTGTGAGCTTTTGAATTTGATATTCAAGTTTTTTGTCAATTGGTCGTATCTGTTAAGAAAACATCACAAATTGATATCCCCATTTCTGCAACAAACATTCATCAAGTGAACAAAGAAACATAAAAGGGAGACAAAGATGAACATACCTTCTCCAAAAACAACCTCGTCTCGACAAGCTTTTGAACAACAGGGTGATTGTCAACTGACAAACCCTTTGCCTTACGAAGTATGTAGTACACCAGCGATTGGCAATAGTTAAGAAGCAACAAATTTTTAGCCTCTAGGCAGCTTATCCCATCAGCTGTAGGATAATTATTAGCTTTTACCTGCTCATCCAGAAGGGGTTAAAACATTCATTTTCAACAAGAAGAAGTTAAATCATCAGGGGAGGACTTCAATTGAACTTTCATTCACAGCGTAAGACTCCTCGCAACTCCAACATTCAAAAGTAATATCCTCAAAACCTAAAACCCTTTACCTTAGCAGTCAAGCTTTCAACTTTACTTCTCACCAAATCCAACCCTCCTTTCATTTCTTTTAGTACTGATGCTAACTGAGGATTGTCCCTGATTCCAAAAAGCAAAATTAGATGCTAGCTAAGAACAATTCAATCTCATGTCAGCTAAACCACAAAGAAAGGTTACTCTTTTATCCGCTGGCTCAATCCTTCATCGGCCATCCTGCCCTCCTTTGCTTCCCAACTTCCAGAATCCTGATTCAAATAGAGACCAATTCAGCTGAAGAACAATATAACCAGAATGCCAGAGCTAGAATTATATCCTATGCTCTGAGAAGCAGACCGTACGCCATGCTGGAGAAAAAGAGTGGTTCGATCAGCATGAACCAGTGCATTTGTTTGAAACAGCTTATTTAAACTCCCGTATAACCAATCTTTACGTAAACAGATCCCAAAACTCTAATAGCCTGTTGGATTTCTCTACCTGCATTGCAAACAAATAAACACTAAAGAAATCTATCGCTCAAATACTATCAGCCGCAACCACACAGGTTAAATACTAATCCCCACAGACTTATACAGTTTCCATCCATTTCGAAAGAGCAGACGAACAACTATAACATAAGAGTGAACTTGAGAAAGGATGAAACCAAGTCCAACCCGAGCCTCACAATGAATCTCAAATAGGAGCCGCCTACAATTCAAAACCCTAGCTAAAAAAAGAATCTCCAAGCACGGCGTGAACAGTACAATCCCTATAGAAGAAAAATTACTAGGCTAAATCACAGACCAATACTTGAAACCCTAGTTGTCTCTCACCTTGGCTAATTCACTGAAGTAGCTAGTTCAATCAAGCAGCGATTCCCCTTGGCACTTTCGTAAGGAGGTTAACGAACAAGCTTCAAAGTTCAAACAGAAGAGTTAAATATCCGCCGAGAATGCGCTTTGAGACGGCCGCGAATCCCTTTTCCCATTGATCGAAGGGTTGTATATATTTCCGTGCGAGAGCAACTTTGGGCCCATGGGGTTGTGACTTTGATCCCATGGGCTTATGTTACGGGCCGTATTCCGGTAACCTACACCAATCGCGTTTCTTCAGGGCCTCTCCAGATACAAAAACCTGATGGTGATGGATTGGGATTTTTCACAATTTGGGAAATCGTAGGAACCATGACGACGGCAGAGCGACGAGAGCGACTGTGATGCGGGGAGCATCTCCCGGCAGCGCAAGTTCTGTCGCACTGAACAAGGCAAAGGCCAGCGGCGTCGGCAGCCACTTTGAATCGCGGTCTGGTGGTTCGAGTGGTACAACCAATCTCAAAGGAGAGAACACAACATGTTTTTTATTTCTTTCTTTCTTTCTGCGCACGAAAAGTTGCAGAACAGATTTGAAGGATCTGGATCAGAAGGCCCGCGTGTTAATTCGATTCTCTTTCTCTGCCGTTGAAATGTAGGTTCGTCGAGCGAGCATCACGTAAAGGCAGCTGCGATCGCGGCGCACAACTACAGACCCGGTGGAGGAGCTTATACAGAGTTTCTCAAAGATGAGGAGGTTCTGGAGAAGGTGAGGTTTCAATTGAAGGGGAACAGAGTGAGTGTACATGTGTTGGGACGTTTTATGTTGATCTGCCTGTGTGTGAATTGACAGTGTTTGAGCATGTGGGAGCATTCCGACCGCACTTCCTGCCAGAATCGAGCTTCGACTCTTATGAAACATTTGGAAGACAATGCTAAAGGTAAACGCTTTTGTTTTGTCCATTGGCAGAGAAGATGATTTCAGATGTATGTATCAAGCGAAACTGACGACCGGGTAGTTTGCTTTGTGAAATCAACATATTTTGGGTTTTGAAAATGATGGATATATGAGCGCTTTGTGTTCATTATAGATTTGAAAAATATCATTTCTTGTTTATAAATTTCATTATAGATCTTGTTAATTAGATTTGTATGTATGAAGGGAAATTTAGTTTTTATTGTTCTCATTGGTGTGAGAAAGAAAAGAAATAGGAGGGTAGATTGGATATGAACTTCAAAATCCATGATCATTTCCTACCTAAGGGGTGAGATTTCCAAGTTTGCGGGGCTCACGGATTTGGACCCTCAATGTCCGTGGGTCCCACCGATTTGTTGTCCCCTAAATACGTGAAGCAAACAATATAGTTTGGACAAAATTCATGATAATGATAGATCCAAATTCATCATAAAATCCATCAAGCAAACAACGTAGGGGTCGTTTAGAAGTTAGGAGTCTAAATGAGTGATTCAACGAATGTGTGTATTCTTTACAATCTATCGTTCTTTTGACATAAACTTATCCAGAATGCATGCATTTAATTGGTACTTTAGAATCTCAAATGGCTAGAGTCATTCATTTTAGAATCTCTACAAAAAGGTGAGATTCTCTTGCTTTACTTTTGCAATTGCTTTTTAGCACCTCTTATCTCTATTTTTTTTTATATATTTCATATTTGCCCCTTCTTTAATTACTATATAAAGAGAACTTCAAGGTTATATAAGTCTTTTTGGTTATTAAAGTGAGAATCCTTATATTCTTTAAAAGTGAGAATCACAACTAACAAACAACATATTCTTACAATCATCTATTTCTTACAATCACTACACTTAGAATACATACATTGCAAGATATTCATAGATTCCCAACTTCCAAACGACCCCGTATATGGATTTGAAAATCTCACATAATTTGGTGAGATTTGAGAGAATGAAACTAATCCTTGATGCTAAATGAACCAAATCCATCCCCAATCCTTCATTTTCCAAATCACGGAATTCAACACAAACCTTCATTTTTCAAATCCTTAATCTAAACTACCCCTAGAATGTGACTGTCATATATACGATGGGCAGTTGAAATCCGGTCCTTTGGTCAAGTATATTGCTGCTAAAAATTTTGACATATATAGAAACTGATATGGCAAAGTTGGTTTCTACTTTCTACCTTGTTCAGGGATGACCATTAATGCAGAGCCGACATTTGTGCCAACCTCCAACCGCAAGAAGATTCAATCCAGCTTCTGGGAAGAGCTCCTTGAAAAGGTTTGTGATTGCTCACCGTTTAATTTCCATGGAAATCGAGTTCCACCTTTAAGATTGAATCAAAGCTCTGATTTGTAAGCCTTGCTCCACTGGTTCTGTGCAGTGTGTGAAGGAGCATGGAAGTTTCACGCAAAAGTGCGATATCCAAAGGCAAAGGGTGTATGAGTGCTTTGGCTCTTATTATGACGGTGGTATTATTGCTTAGAAATTGATTATGTCTGCACAAGTTGATGATTGAAATGCACCATTGTTATTAGCACGTATTGTTTTTGGAATCAAATAGGAAGTCGAGCTACTCAATTATGTGCATCTAAATAAAGTAGCAGAATGTCTGAATGAAATACTCTGCTCAACACTAGTAGTTCATTCTGTTATCCAAACCTATTTGTACACTTGCTTTTTCGACAGCATTTGTACACAAGCTTTATTTGAAAGAATATGTTCCTTTCCACCTGCTACTGCATTCCAAATCAATTTCTTTGCATATTTGTCCGTTATCCTCCCACGCATGGCTCAAGATAGGGTGAGTAACCTTAGTGTGAGTAACAATGAGTAACCAAATCTGGACCCTTCTTTTAAGTGGCTGCAGATCTAAGGGTGGAGAATTAAAGGAATTTATTTTCCCTAGTTTTCTTAATTGGATCATATCTTCTTCATTCTAACTCGGATTTCAATTTTTTTTTTTGCACAGATGGAACGAGTTCGTTGTGCTATACAAAATGATATCCATGTTCAATATTTTTTGAGAAAAAAAATTTCATCCCTCTCGTTACCAACTCCATACCATATGGTATCTCCTTCGTTGTTTAGTCATTTTCGGATTTTTTTGCACAAAAGGAAAGATTTAATCATGATCTATTGGATTTCAAAATTTTATGGGAGAAAAAATTTCATACTTCTCATTACCAACTCCATACCATACTATACCACCCTGGTATGAGGTGGTATTTTTCATACCATATGGTATGCTGTTATTTAATACTAGTCAATACCATATGATATTGACTGGTAATAACTGACAAATATTTTTTGTTCCAAAAAATATCAAAGTGGATATAATATAATTTTGAATCATTACCAACTCCATACCATACTATACCACCCTGGTATGAGGTGGTATTTTTCATACCATACGGTATGCTGTTATTTAATACCAGTCAATACCATATGGCAATACCATATGGTATTGACTGGTAATAACTGACAAATTTTTTTTGTTCCAAAAAATATCAAAGTGGATATTATTTTGAAGAGCACAAGTAATCTGATCTAATTGTGCAAAAAAAAATTAAATTATGAGTTAATACGAGTGAGAAATCGCTCGTTAAAGATTAAGGGAAAAAAAATTAATGATTTTTCCAGGAGAGAAAAGGAGGCGTTGATGTGGCAGATTCTTATTGGGTTATGCATGGGGTTACTCACCACAAGATTACTCACCAGATCTCCTCACGAGAAGAAGGAGGTTGATCTCACTTTAGCCAAATTCATCAAATTGGATGAGTAAGAGGATCATTCAAATTAGGAAAGAAGACTCTTTTTTCCCATTAAGACAAAAAATTAAAAACAACACTGCTCACAGACCATGGCATAAGGGTATTCAAATTCAGCATACATAAGGAGTAGCTTACATAAGGGTGAGCAGCAAAGTGAAGGAAAATCACATCACAATACCCATTAAGAGCAAATACCTACTGTATTCCACCACAAGTCATGCAGACAAAAGTCCAGAAGTTGGTGCAAACATACTGCGGACCCTGCAAATCCAAAATGAACCAGACAAAATAAAGCATTTAACTACAGGGCAGAAAAATAAACAAGCAATATCAAAAAGAAATTACTGAGCCCAGCAGAACTATTTTGATAAACGAGTATATGCTTACCAAGGAGTTGCAATTGATGCATCGACGATTTGGGGGCAGCTTCAACAGCCCTCTTATAATCTTTTTGTTACGCTCTTCTTCCCTCCTACTTCCCATCACCGACAGCTTTGACAACCAGGAACCAAAAACCTTCTTTCAAGTTACAATCACTCCCAAAACTCGCAAGGCAGAGAAAAAGAAAAGATAGATAAGTAATGAAACAACTTCGATTCCTTTCTCTTTTTCTTGAGAAACAAAGAAGGAAAATGGATACTCTAATCGCAACCAGGAGAAAAGAAGAACAGGGGTGAAGATGGGAGATGAATCGAGAGCTTGTGAGCTGAGGGTTTTTAAATTCTATCCCTTTTTCCCAAATCTGTTTGTTGTACTATGAAGTAAGGAATGTCATGAAACCCCTGAATTTCTTCTCTTAGTTGTATAGTAACTCCTAGCTTTGCCCGAATGAGTTTTGTTTTATCTTTTACATTAATTAATGTATAATTATATTTAAAATATTTATTTGATTAATTTTATTTTCTGTTAATCAATTTCTTCGTGTTTTTAAATAATTTGAGATTTTCTAAAATAGTTAATTCATTATTTCAAAGTAATCTTTATGATATTTGTTGATTATGATATTAATGATAATTAATTAATATGTATTTTTTTACCAAGTCGTTCTAGTTTACTGTTGTGTATTTTTTCATATCTTAGAAGAAATTTGTGAACTTTTTATTATTGGAAGAACACGAAAGCATAATGCTTATTATATAAATTAATATTTTTTACCAAGTCGTCCTAGTTTACTGTTGTGTATTTTTTCATATCTTAGAAGAAATTTGTGAACTTTTTATTATTGGAAGAACACGAAAGCATAATGCTTATTATATAAATTAATTTTTTTTACCAAGTCGTCCTAGTTTACTGTTGTGTATTTTTTTCATATCTTAGAAGAAATTTGTGAACTTTTTATTATTGGAAGAACACCAAAGCATAATGCTTATTATATAAATTATTATAATTTAATGTATAGGTTTTTTTGGATAATAAGTGGCGGTTGTTAAGTGTTAGATACTAATGCACGTACAAAAGTTAAGAAAATTTAAACATTATAAAACCTTAAATTCTACTCTACAAATACGATATTTGACTTTTCATGTGGAGTTAATAGCATAAATTGTCACTCTATTATCCATTTTTCTCAAATCTATCCCTCTATTATTTTTCACATCAAGCATGTCCTCATAATATATAGTATATACGTTTTATCAAATTAAATTTAGCACATTTTTATGGCTTATCTTCTCCATATGCAACTCCCAATAATTGGTATGGTATTTGAAGGACATGCCTGGTTTTCCCAAAACGGCGTGCAACAGTAAGTCATCGAAGCAGACAAAACCCTGTCTCAGGCTTAATTCCCCGGTCGAGGATTAAGGGGTCCACATTGGGGAAATCACTAGACGACTTCCCCAGTCTCTGATGGCATTTCCCCAGTCGGGGTTTTGATGCCTGACCGGGGATTCTGGTCCTTGAACTCCTCATTTCGTCCCCTTAGTGCGTTTGACCCGAACTCGCTCCCAAGCCTGCATAGCTGCTCTAAGACCTGTTAATTTTGGCAAGGGTTCCAACCTGTTAATTTCATAAAACCGTGCTCCCACCTAGCAAAGATTTTGAGGGAGCCTAGCTCTTACCGGCCATGCCGGGAGCAGATGTCTCAAGCCTCGTGCGGGGGGAAAGAGATGTAAGGGGGATGGAGGTAATAGGTGGAAATTGGGAACGGATTCCCGTCTACCCTTACACCCTTTCACCGATTTTCACATGGGAGACATTGTTGTAAAAGCACAATGTAGAGCACCTTTTTCAAAACATGATACATGAGTCCATAAAAGGTAGAGAGTCATCGATACCACACGAAGAAGAAAGGAGATTTCTTAACTGCATCAACATCCTCCATAGTGCTACACTACCTCACTAGGTTGCATATTACTATAAAGACTGTCAATTCAAAGCATACTGGGCAGACAATTGCAAGGAGTACGTACTTGGAGCCCTAAAATCGAAATTTGGACAGTGGACTAGGCTCCAAGCACACAAACACATCTAATCAGCCAGATAGAAACACACCCCACACTTAAGGTCGACATTGCCCTTAATGGAGAAGAGGAAAAGATAAGGGGAACAATGTTACTGGGAAGAATAGACCGCATCAGGATTGGAGAGTGGACCAGTCAGCATGAGCACACGAGCTAGAACAGAAAACAACCACTCAACACAAAGTCGTTAGGAAGAGTTGTCATCCCAATGGTACAATATCCAAAAGAAAAACACAAAAAATATGCACTCGTCTAAAAAAAACAAAACAAAACAACCACAAAGGAGTGGAGCCAGGGAGTACAGCCTACTCGAGGTGATCGATGTCGATGTTGTTCATGATGTCATCAAAGTCCTTGGGCGGAGGTGGTGGTGGAGAGTGGACCCACGGAATAGTCGAATGGTGCTCCTAGTGGCAGGACTGGGGTAGATGCTCCTGGTACTCCATCATCCGGCGGCTGCGGTCTCGCGGCGGCTGCGGTCTCGCTCATGCTCAATATGAGCAAGGTTACGCCCTGCTGAGTCTCGAGGCGGTCAAGACGCTCATCATAGGCAGCCATGCGGGCGCCGTACTCGGCCTGATGGGCCTCATACTGCTGCTGGAACTGATGCTGGTGAGCCAAGAGATGTTGGTTCTGTAGACCCAGCTGTTGGAACTGGAGAGTCATCTGCTGGAACTGGTCGGTGAAGAACTCCATCGACGAAACATAAGGACCCAAGGAGGACTCGCCTCGCTCGGATCTCTGTCGTGGAGGAAGATCCCCAAGTGGGGACTACGCGAGCTTCATCTCAACATCATCATCAGCACCACCATCATCATCCTTGTCATCATCATCATCACCATCCTCATCGGACTCCTCATCCTCATCAGCACCACCATCATCAGATGGCATGGAAAGACCATCCACCCACTCTCGACCATCAACTGAGTTCAAGAGAAGAGCGTTGAAGCGGACGTCCCTACTGAGCGGGTGGAAGCCTAACTGAGCAAAGGCGTCAGTCAAATCCTGTAACTCCACCTCAAAGTGTCAGGCTAGACAAGTGATCAGGGGATTACAATAGAGGTATTTTGGCTTAGCATGGCACTTGGTGAACGTCTTTGGCTTGACCGAACCGAGGTGAAGGCTGTAGCTCGGAGTCCGCATAGCAAACATGCAGTAGAGCACAGGCTTCATGAGCTTGTGCGGGCCACTAACATTGGGAACCATCGAGCGAGTGAGAAGAAGGTTGAGGATGTGCCACTGAGGTCGGT